TGTCGCCATAAAAAGGGATGAAAATAGATTTGTTGTATCTAGTGACATACCTTGACGTTGGAGACTTTTTGTGAAGGGAAGGGGGGGGGGTAGAAGGGGGTTGAGGGCCATAACAAGCAAAACTAAGGATACGGTATATTTTGCTGACACCTTTCTGCCAGGGCCAGATGCAATCCTTGTAGACCACATGTTAATAGAACGTTTGAATTAGAAAACTCTTAAGTACTGTTTGTATCAAACGAACAGCAAGAAAATTGAGACTGGATATTAAAAGAATGAGCTTGAAGTTATAAGCAAAATAAGCATTTGTGTCAGTCAGTGGCAACTCCTGACTGTACTTTTTTGTTACTTCAATTGATTACTAGTTTTTATTCCTATGTTTGCTCAACTTTTTCATGATCCGTTTAATTATCTGTAATCTGTCAGTGCAGCGACAATCAATTTTTTATAATACCCCCACACACCCCATATCTTCTATTAAAGGCATTGAGTCGTGGTAGATAGGCCTTCTCTATAGGGATCATTTGGTTTCGGCGTGATCGCTGCTGTTTCATGTGATATTGGCATCCGTTGTTGACAAGTTGCTATTGATGGAAACTGTTTTGTTAATCAGTACGAGGCGAGTTCATGTGACCAGTTTAAGATCAACCAATAGCATCGCAGTCATGAAAATCATGACTTAGCAGATTTTGGCACTTTGGGTATACCCAATCCATTTTATCATTACTCAATGCCTTTAATAATCTGATACATCTCTGTTCACGATTATCATCGCTCCTGGCTATTCTCTAACATCAACATACGACGAAAGAAAGGCCAAAAGATTTGGCTCAATTATTTTCTTTTCATTTCTTTCATTAGACAAAAATAACCTAAAAAGGTAGTACTTTTACATTATGAGCACGCCCGTACTGGAAAAAACTTTGAAAAGGTCTTAGCGATAGCTTTTACATGATTTTCAACCAATATTATTCTGAATTTTAACCTTTTATCCTTGAATATTTAAAAAATGACTTCGTTTATGAGCTAGAGTCGGATTGATCCAATCTGTCCGTCTATCTAAATGTTTAAAGTAATCAACCAACATTGCTTTGCACTATCCTTCAAAGACAAATCATAGCTTTTTCTAAGGAAAATAAGCGTTGGAAATAAGCCTTTGTTAATATAAAAAGATGGACAATAGAATTTTGCTTTAAACAGTTTAGGGTCAATTGCTGGTGGGGCAACTGCTCTCTATTTAGCAAATTGAAAAAGGCCCTGGTGTAGCCTGTTACTGGCGTTAATGAGTGCTTATGATCGTGTACTGGTGTCCATGTTATTTGCATGAAGTATTGGGCTGATATTTTAGACTGAATGATGACTAAAATTCATTGAAATTTCGTTACGTTCTGTCTCATATACTCCATTGAAAGCATAATTTAAAATCAGTTGTTCCTCTAATTTGAAACTTTGGCGACAAGATCTTGAAAGAATCTCGATAAAAATATGAATTTATGTTTTCCAGCGCTCAGCTTTATGCTTTCATGACCATCATAATTAACTTTTCATTTCCACTCAATCATGTTGGCATGGGATTTCACGTATTTGCAAACCACAGCGCCTCATTTCAGAATTGATTTTGTTTGCTGCGCAAAGGCCTTTTCTAGTCTTATCGCGTGTAGGTATGATAGACCGCCCTGAGGACACCAGTGGTCACTACATTCATAAAAGACTAGAATTAACCAATTTCAACTTGATTGTTTTCTATTTCCATAAAATTAAGATAAAATACGTTCTATGAGATAAAAATTATTCCTTTTTTTACTGGGCGAGGAGATATCATTGGACAGATTGTTTTTAAGAAGGATTTGTCATGGAAAGAGCATAATGTCAAAATAACACAGGTGACTACTAGAGCACTACAGCAGACACCCCTTGAAGACTTTGTGAATTGTGAGTGGACATTTTCAGGGGGAAGGGAGGGAACCATTTTGCAATGAAAGCTTCGTGGTGTGTTTGTATCCGGGGCCGTCGCTAAACGCTTTCACTAAGGGGAAGGCAAGCCACCAATTTGCCATCAAAATAGGGCGTGGTCTTAGATAAATCAATTTTTGGGTGTGGCATTTTGACGCAGTTTATTCTATCTATCAAAGAGTATGTTCTCGTCAGTGAAACATCGCTTCAATTTTCGGGTTCTAATTTTCTTTGCATGAGTACCCGTGAGTACCTTTCTTGATTTTACTCTAGAAGTCAAGTTTTCAGCAATAAGACACCCTCATTTATTCAAATACACTCTTTTTTATAAGAACCAGTAAATTTAAGTTTGGGCTGACTGTTCTTAATTTTTCGAAAATCTGAGACTGGATTGTTCTTAATTTGTTCTTAATCTAATAGGGTGTAAGCAGTGCAAATGCTAGCTTTTTCGCTCTAGGGTGGTGTTCAGGCCTTATTTGCCAAGTGAGTGACACAACCTTACTTTGGTGAAAAATTTGAATATTCACCGAAGAAGCACCCACACATCGCTAAAAATCCTTGATTTTGAGAAAAAACGTTGTTCAAAATTGCATTTTATAGAAAATCGGCTTCAGCTTGTTTTTAATATTGTTCTTAACTTTTGACCAATTTTGAGGCTCGTGTTCATATTAAATCGTTCTTATAAAAGAAAGAGTGTAGTTCAGCACATTTAAATAGAACCTTAGTTTTTATGAGCAGATCTCACCGAGGCCCCCTGCGAGGAAAGCGAGCAGAAATGCTTTGCTAACACGCATTTTAGATTATTTTAAAATTAATTTCAGAATGTTTCTTCCAGTCATTTCTTGCAATCGTTTAGAGCGTTTCACTATTTGTAGGCATGCTTTTGCTACATTTCATTAACCCCATTCTTAAAATGAAATTTGTTACTTTATGAGGCCCCCTATACCTCGACGCCCTGGGACACTTTGCCTCCTTGCCCCTCCTCTCGACGGCCCTGCTCACAGGGGGTTCCTGTACCTCCATCAACAGCGTTCAGAGTATTTCAATAAACTTTGATTGTTCCCCAAACATTAGTTGGAAACTAGAGTGCCCTGGATATTGCGACATTTGCCTAGGTTCTAGACCCCTGCTGCCGACAGAGAGTCATTTGAAATTTTGGGGGACATTTGCCCCTCTGTGACACCCATAGCGCAATCTGTACCTATTTTGAATTGCTGAGGGCTTCTGGGTCTTTTTCTTTACTAAAGCTATTGCTTTCGGAACTTTGAAAGCAAAACCCGAAAAAAATAGACTTTTCGAAAATTTGCCGACAAGATTTTTCTAGGGGGTGCCTCACCCCCTCCCTCCCGCTAGCGATGGCCCTGTTTGTATCATCAGCATGACAGAAGTTCTACAAAGACAGTTAAAAATGCAAGGGGAACCTTGAAAGTCAATCAGAAGTTTAGGGGAGGTTAGCTAGTCAAAAACATTTACAAAACGGCGTTTGTTTGATGTAAACTTGTAAAGTTATCCTAATTGATTGACTTTGGTAGATCGAAAGCGCATTATAGTGTCCTGAGAGGCCACCTGGATACATTGATACATTTTCGTTTTAACGCACAACACGGCTCAAGATTATTATTGTTTTAGCGAAGAGCAGGTGTCCTAAAATAAATGTTCATCTTTATATGATGCGATGAAGACGTAATGACATTTTTGAGCGTATTTCATATGAGAATTAGGATGTCAGAAGATGTCTTCCAGACATTTGGCCATTTTATTAATGGATAGGCTTTTATAAGCTGTCTTGTAATGAAAACACCAAACAACCAAAGGGAATCCATGCAATTTTCATTTCTCTTTATACGCTGGGTTTGATCAATAATTCAACTGTACTACTCCACGTTGAATTAGCACAAAACATTGTAGAAATTTATATTGGCATTTTCAGGCTTTACCATAGGGGCGTGTTTATGCTTTCAAGAGGCGGATGCCCGTGCTTTGTGAATATGAAGAAATTCCTTAGCTAAGCCGAGCAAAAGGTAATATACTTCTTTGCTTTAGAAGAAACCAAGCTTGGAGACACTTTCGGTTTCTTATTTTTTGCTGATTTCAGTGCTAAACAGTTCTTAAAATATCAAATGCTAAATATTGACTTCTAATAGTTTGGTTTCTTATAGACGACTTATTATAAAAAAGGAGTTTAGATGCGATATATTTGAATAAGAAAAACAGGAATTGATTGTTCACTGTTTGCAGAAGTATTCAGTATTACTGCAGGAATATATGTTTTTGCGATACCAAAGACCACGAAAGATGTTACAGAATTAGAGGGTTAAAAAATTTACTGGAAAGATAAACCAAGGGAAATGCGATTTTTTTTAAGATTTTAAGAACTTGAACTTGTTAGGGTTATGCCCCTTTCATCCCCCGTTCTCATGGTCCCTTCGAGACATAATGATATAAAACTATTTACAATCTTTCTAGACTTATTTTCCAGTTCCAGTCTTTAGAGTTTCTCGATTGATTTCAGAGTCATGTATATGCGAGAAACCTACGACAAATGACATATCGTTTTTGTAAAACCAGTACATTTTTCATCTTCATGTAACCAGAGTTTTTTCTCATTCTTCTCGTGACATTTTTTTCTCTAAATATTCTTCGTCTTGTGACTCGAGACTTGCTTTTTACCATAAGAGCCACAGATGTTCTTCCCACAGAACTCATTATGCGATGTGAAAACAACGTAATCGATTTTAACTGCGCGTGCGCATATGATGCAAAATGTCACAAGCCAATGACCTGCAAACAGATGCTGGGTCTAATCGCCTCACAATCATTTTAAAGATACATTTATTACTGTCCCGATGTCCCATGGCCTATTGAAAATCTTGAGAAAAACAATTCAGTTGCAACAGACCCTAAGCAAGCACATTTCCGTTTCTGTGCCAAGGATAAATTTATTTCAGAGAAAGACCAAGCTCTTTTCAGCAACCTCTTATCCCCTTAGAAAGCAAAGGCGAAAATTCCTAAACATATAGAAATGCCATGATTAATATCTTGTTGCTTTGTACAAAGAATCCAAGATTTTGAAATAACAGTTACTACGTAATATTGATTAAACTTTGCTCATGCTTCACTTGACTGTTATGCAGATCAACAAACATAGATAATTCAATTAAGTGTTTTTCACTCGGGTGTGGTCAGTTTATCGAACATTTGTGGGTTCTATGCATTGTAACAGAGCGCAGTGCGTTTTCAGGAGACTGTGGGAAACAGGTGTGGTCTGGACAGCCAAATATGAAAATACGCGATTAAACTCCAAAATAACATTGGATTTATTGCTGGTAAAAGCCATCTGTGTCTTCATATTAAAACAAATTTCTCGTAGAGCGCGAGCTCTGTCACATAAATGACCTTTTACAAAAAACGAGATGGTAAAAGTCATCTGTGCCTTTAAATTGACACAAATTTCTCGTAGGGCGCGCTGAGCTCTGTCACATAAACGACCTTTTACAAAAAACGAGAGTGTGACATGTCAGCAGCTTATTTATAGAAGATTTTTAACCAAGATCATATGTTTAAGCAATTCAAGTGAATTCCTAGGACTTAGCTATGCAGTGTTGTGTTTAGCAAGTCTCCCGTCCAGATTCTAACCCTAAAGAAGTCCATCTGATTTTCCAAAGCGATCGATATTATGTTGGTCAACAAGTAGGCCTAACAGATACCAGTCCAAAACTAAAAATAAAGTCGCCACATGGATGATCAAGCTTTAGCTCCGTTCGCGGGTCTCTGGATTCATGGCGTCCAAAAATATGCCATTTTTCGAAGCCCTTTCGTTGCATTTATGACACATATTAACCACATTGCCTTTGGCATGGGCATCACTTACTGCAATGAACAGCTGAGAGTACCTTTCCCTGTGCGTCTCTTCTGGCTGTATTTTCACGTACATTAGTGTAATCGTCTATATGCGCAACATGTATTCATTCAGAAGGGGATGCGAATCAAAAATGCATATGGCCGAACGCTGATCGAAATCTTACTGTTCTTACGCCGAATCTCCACGAGAAAAAAAGAGAGGCTATCGAAATTTTTCCTTCTCGTGTTGCTCAGTTTTTTCACGTTGTGTTCAATCACAGAATTGTCATCTTAACTGTATAGATCCTTTAATGTTAGTTTCTAAGATAGTGAACGTACACTGATTAAGACTAACATAAAGAAATTTCAAGGATTGCGTAAAACTGATTACATACTGCAAAAGTAACATGCGCACTTGTTTTGAGGAACCGAGTCGTTTAAGAAAATATTGAAAAGTAGAGGTCCAAGTGTTGATCCCTGCGGCACTCCTTGTCGAAGTTTACCCCCAGAAGATGTAATGATCTTCCACATTGGCTTTGCTTTCTATAAGAAAAATACTATTTTATAAGTGAAATTAATTTCTATCTACACCATAGGCATGTAGTTTTACTAAAAAGGTTTGACAGTTGTAGATAAGAGAAGGCTTTCGATAAATCAATAAGGAGGGCACCAACATTTTTATTCCTTTCCAGTCTTCAATAAGTCTATCAAATTAGATTGGGTAATTCAAATGGCTACAGGCGAATAGTAAAATGTATTTAAACTACAGTACAATGCATGCCTTCTCTGCATTTGGTATATTGTTTTATGAGCATTTGTATCGGGAAATGTCCACTTTAGCAGTTGAAACGACATCGCGTTATACAATAACAGAAACAAAAACACATCATATTTAGGTAACTTGGTACCTTTATTGGGCTTAGAAACCATAGCTAAAAACACACATACACGATCAAAGTTCTAAAAATAAATTTTGATCGTGTATGTATGTTTTTAATTATGGTTTCTGTGTGTTTCTATCGTTATGTGTATTTGTGTTTCTAAACACAATAAAGGTACCAAGTAACCTAAATATAATTTATTATCCAACACACGGTCATTCATAGAATGTTTGGCCCAAAAATCAATGATCGAAAACAAAAATACATTAATTGGGATAAAAATTACAATACGCATGTAAAACTTAACCAGTAGAAGATACTATGGTTATCAGCAAGAGCCCAGCATTCAGCAATAGGTTAAAAGACAGTATAAATATGTACAAAATAAAACATAATAGTTATAAATATTTGCTGTACCATATGTCCTCGAAAACGCCCCCAGTGGCTTAATTCACAAAAAATGTCTTGGAGCGGGGGCTTATTCGATTGTGTCTTTTTTCATCCTCTTATTGAGGCTGGCCAATGTGCTTTAAAATGCTGATATATTGGGATGAACCAGTTGCTGTACCTTACCTCAGCCCAATGGGGCCTATTTGAGGATGGGGACTTACTTCGCAAAAAGTACTTTAGGATGGGGGGCTTAATCAAAGATGGGGGATTTTTCGAGGACTTACGGTAGAAATGATAATTGGTGAATCTGAACATAAAGACGAATGAATAATTCAAGGAAAAATGACGGAATAAGTGAAGCGACCCATAAGTAATGTTGGAAATACTGATGGAAAAATGCCCTTGTTTCTTAGATTTTCTAACTTTGATACTGTTCTTGTGTAGCTTTATAGGGCAACAACTTTTCCTATGAACTGGTGGAATGCTCGCGTTGTATTGATTCAGCTACATCTATGTAGTCTGTGTTTTCATCGTCAATTAACGCCTTGCATTTTGTAGAATATTTACAGGCGGACATTTTTGAAAACATTTTTTGCCTTGGTTTAGGAAGGGTTGATACAGTAAATTCAATTCAAAATGGCTGTGGGGTGGCGATTGATTATCGTGAAAATATAAATGGTCTCTTGTTATGGCCTCAAATATGAAATTGTAATACCACCCAAAACCACGCCTTTTGTTATTTGCTGACGGCCTTGAAGACAAAATGAGTGACCGACACTGTCTGAAGCTGTTGCATTGAATCAGAGTCAGTTTTGTAAAAATTTTTGCAAATGAACATAATCAGTAGGATGTTACGCATAAAGTATAAAATTTTCAAAAGATACAAAGGCCTTTTGTTTCAGTTATCGTTTTGCTGTTTTGGGAGCCGTGAAGACTGCCCAGTTCTTTGTTGTCATCATGGTTTGGCCACGAGATACTTTCAACCAGGAATGCCACCTTTAAGTTCTAGAAAATGATAAACATTGGCCATTCCTTTTAATGATCTTATCTAGCCGTTGGTTTTTCAAAACCATCATATCACTCCAATGTAAAATGTAGACACACATTATTAGAAATGTTTGTGGCAGAAGGTTGACATTCTATGACAACTCATAGTGATGATTCATCTTTTAAAAGTCTTTCTTGCATCTTTTAATAGAGAATAAAGACCCCTTTTCTCTATCCATAGACGTAGGCGCCAGGGACAAGGGAGCACGTTCCTCCCCAACTTTTAAAAAGTTCAGTTAAAATGTTCCTTTGCAGCTCACGCGAGTTGCCCCTTTTTGCCACTGCATGACCAAAAAATGCAAATTTCTACTTTTGCTATTGTTTTTTGCAACAATTTGTGCAAGAGCCCCCCTTGTTATTTTGATAGCACTACACCACTGTATGCAGCATATATTTTTCATACATCATAAATAGGACGTCAGGGGAGGGCTAGGGGGAGGGGCTATAGCCCCCCCGTCTGAAGCATCTAGCCCCCTATCGGAGGAAATTTTGGGTTATTGTCGGAGCAAATTTGACAAAGTAACGTACAAAAATTGCATATTTTAGTCATTTTAGCCCCCTTGTCGGAAGCTCAAACCCCTCTGTCAAGAGGTTTGTGGCGCCACCTCTGTTTTCATATATACTTTGATCAAAGTCATAAACGGAACGAAAAGGCAGTTGTAAATTAATTCAAATTTTGGAAGGCTTCACGGGGAAAGGGGGGTCACAAAACATCAAGCGGAAATCTTTCGAGAAGGATTCTAGATGGAAAAGTATAAAAAGCACCAAGAAACTGAATTTGGTTTGAATAATGCAAAATTTTATAAACCATAACCTTGTTGTATACCTTTTGATAAAAATTACATGCTACATTTCTTATAAGTATTTTTTCTAAAAATATGACATGAGTACAAGAATTGCAAAATAAGCGTTTGGAAATTCTCTTCCTCAAATTTAGGTTATTGACTCAGTTCTATGACAACTATGACAGTGATAGACCTCAATTCTATTGATAAAGCTACAGATACTATTCTTTGATTTTCGCAATTTTGTAATTTGAGCCATTTAAATTTTTGATCCATTTGGATTTAAAATTCAATCTAGGTCGAAGAAAAAGGAATGGGGGCTTTGATTTCTCAGATGTATTAAACACAAATACGGAGGTTTGGTTTTATAGCAGATGGTAACTTGCCTGTGATACTGAAACCAAAGTATCTTGAGGGAAAATAGACACAAGTAGAAATATGCTAGGGATTTTAAGCCAACCAACCGCCTTCCTCTTCTTAACAGACCCAGAATTACAGCTCCGTAGACCTATTGTTAAAAATTCTAATCTGTCTTCAAAGGGTGTCATCTTGTCATTCAAGGCTCATAACCAGAAATTGGATGTATAGATTTTTCTATATTTATCGTAGCTAAGAAAAGTCATCTTTTGTAGGCTTGTTACTAAAACCTTTGTGTCGTGGGGAATTTCTGTATTTCATGTTAACTTCGTGTGTTAGTAAATGCTAAAGGGCTCTTAATTACAAGAAAGGGCTCTCAACTTAGGCACGCTCGAAGAATATTTTACCTGAACTTTGAAACTGAAACGTTTCAATTTTGCCTTAAAAGTTTAATTTTGCACGATTTGATTATGCATCGTGATTAGCAAAGGTGAAGTGAAGTCTTTCTATCACAGTACCAGATCTAAAAAATCTAACGTCAATTGTCCTCATGATGCAACAATAAAGCCGTTAGGTCAAGCCAATAAATACACGATAAATGTTTTCGCCTCCTTAATTTTTCACTTATCAGCAAAACTATTGAGCTCACCTATCAACAAATTCTATATTCATTATCATCATTTTCCAAATTGTTCTTTCATATATTTAGCGTTCTTGAAATGCCATTTGGGTGTTGGCGACGCCTTACATACTTAATGTTTCAAGCCAAAATTAAAAACAGACTACTAGAACTGAAAAGATATCTCGTAAACTGCACAAAAAAACTGATTATTGCAAACATGTAAAAAACAGGCTTTCAACTGGGATTCTGTAAGTTATTCAATTTTTCAGTCCATGTAATTAAAATTTTAAAGGTTACAGTCCCGATACAATTCCCAATTCTTTACTCCAAAATTTCCATGCAAATCCAAAAGAACTCAATGTTGCAAAGATATTAAATCTGTTACAGATTGTTTGAGATATTGTCACTTGAGCAAAGTTCCTTTCAACATCAACGTACTGTAATTTGGTCTCTGCTAATAACTTCATGAACAGAGCCAAATAAAAGTAATCTGCTAGCAAACTCAGCTCTCTCTCTGACTATTTCTCAGGATATATTCTATGATTTTCTTTCATGTTGTTTTGTCATTATTCAAAATAGATTCAAATTCACTTTTATGACGTCATAATCTAGACAAATAATAGAACCGTCGCTATGAAGAGGTTGTATACGAAAGATAGCTTGCAATACAAATTGATCTTTGCTACTTATTTTGGTTGCCTACAAGTTACATAGTTCGAATCTTGATAAAAGACTGACTGATGTAATCACTTATGGTTGATTGGGAGAGTAGTAGGTTGAACATTAATTACTGAATCCTAAAAGCCTTAAAAAAATGTTAAGTTTATTCAATAAAAGATTCAAGTAATTATTTAAGTAAATAGCGTGACCATAAATAGGATTTGTAAGCATTTATTCAAATGATAGAGTATTTCAAATACCGACAGATCAAACTCACAATAAAATGTTAGAAAAAACTGTATTTTTTTGTTAAAAAGACCGCTTGCGCTGTGAAAAGAGGACTAATTTGTTATGATATTTACTAAAGTTTTTGAATAACGAGAAAAGATGAATATCATAAATTTAAATCAACATTTTCTCATTCGGAAAAAATATGTGAATAGGAAAGATAATATCGACAATAAAAGGCAATCATTGGTTGATTAAATTAATTGTTCTTGTACACACAATTTTGATGTACCTTTGCCAATAAAACTGAAATAATCCTTTCTGAATTAAAAATCCAGAACTTTTATCAAACTTTATTAAGATATCAAAGTAAAGAAAAATATAAAATATGTGCTTTCAAAGTTTGTGATCTCTACAAATCTTGCAATAATGTTTCACAAACCCAAAGGAGGAAGTAACAATTACTTTGTTTTTATTTACAAACTTCATTCAGACTCATCATTAAGCCAGTTATAGGTAGAGAGATATATCTTATGTTTAAAAGAATCAACACGAAGAAGGTTTACAAAGGCAATCTTATCAAAGTTTTGATAGCGAGAAATATCTATCAAATATCATTGGTAATAAAAATCAAAATATCAAAAGAAGAAATGCACAGTTACTGTGCGATAGCAGAAAGAAAGGTTCAATGAAAAGCACAGTTAAAATTTAAGATGGATATTTTGAAGTAAACAGATTAGGTTGCTTTTCTGGTATATGACAAAGAAACATTTTTTGACCTAGATTATATTTAACCTACGTTGGCATCGTGCAAAGAAAACCACGGCCATTGCAAAGGAATAAAAGAAAGTATCACAGCCAAACCAGGCATTAATTTCACAGTTTTTCTGAGAAGGGTTTTCAGAACTTACGAGTATTCATCGGTGGAAGAATGGGCCCTTCAGTTGCCTCTGATTGTGCGCACTGTTCCATCCTTTACAAACCAAAAGGAACATTCCTACAAACAAGGAAACACCATAAACCGATTAGAATGCGTCCAGAAAAAAAGAAAACATTGCACTTTTCAGATCTAAAGGGCTGCATTAAGATGGCTTTCTACCAACTAAACTATTTCTTTCTGCTCAGATGGATTTTAGGAAACGATTTGAGGAGGGTTCTTAAAAAATAATTGATTTTTAGTGCCACACACTTCAGGTGCCTGTCTTACCTCCCACATCCCCCAGTAAGTCTGTCTCTGTTATTCTGCCACCTTTGACGGGTTATTTCGCTGCAGGAAAAAACTGAATTCGTTATCCAAGCTTTCTTAAATTAAAAGTTATGTAGAGCAAGATTCCTGCTTCATGTTTCTTTTGTGAACTCAGACCAAACTCGAATTCTAATGTCTAAAGATGTTTTTTTAAAATATTATGTTGCGTGGCTTTAAAATAATATTCATGCTGCGCGAGGTTAACTACTCGATGCTCGGTTTTACTATAAGAAAGCATCTTTCCTTTAAAACTTCGCAATAATGGTCTTCCGTCCATTCTTTGGTGACCAAAGATGAAAAAGCTGTTAAGCAGTGGAAATTTGATTGGAACTGCATTAAGACCATCCATTTCCTATAAATATAAGAGCATTCATTGAATAGGCTAATAAAACAGCATTACTTCTGCTATCTGCTTCCAGAATCTTTATTGGGAGACTAATAAATTCAAATATACTCACGTTTGCCGAATTCATTTTTTCATGAATTCAAAGTTGCGGAAGTGCAAACAAAGGGGTGCGTACGTTTGCGTTTTCCTGGGGTTGATTGCCTAGAGCCATCTTATATTAGCTCACCTTGTACGCATCTGTCTTGATTATACACGCTTAGTGTTTTATATTTGTATGGACACAATATATCTTATGACATTAAGAAAAAGCAACCCGGAATTTGACGGACATGAGATAAAAATACTTTATGTAATAAAAGTCCTCATTCTGACCCTAAGAAGACAGCAGTAAGCAGCTAAACGTAAAAGGACATCCTATACGAGCAAACAGAAGCGCCTTTATTGATAAAGATTGCAGTTAATTTACATTCTACAAAATGCTAATAAGGCCATCTGGTTGAGACACCAACGAATTACTTGTAGCAGTGGTTGAAATGAATTTCTGATTAGTCTATTTTACAGGTGAAAGTTTAAGGCAAAATTTTGAACTAATTGGCCTTGAGCAAGTCGAAAACGATTCACATTTTCCATTCTTTGAAAGTTATTTCTAAAGCAGTTTATGTACAGAACGGTAACTTTTATGAAAAAATCGCTGCCATCTCTCTGATTGATTCAGCCTCACGACTGCCGGGGTAAAATCTTTTAAAATGAAGGGTTCTAAAGGAAAGTGATCGCGAGGAAAATTACCTCCTCATTCAGAAAAGCAATCCTTGTCAAGAAAGATCAAGAAAGGAAGCCCTTTGGGTAAAACTGATGTCCAATAGTACCCTTAATATGTGATAATATTTGTTTTTCACTATGAATGTCAGAGTTATGACAGTGAAAAACTGGGACATATGTGAGGCACAAGTTGCCTCCCAAGGATTCCCAAATAACAACAATTCGGGAATTTTTTCTAGGTCAGAACAAACCAAAACCTTCGACCCTTTTGCTAAGAATAAAAGAAATTTGGGGAAGATGTTCAAACAGGAAAAATTGATAGAACATTTGAACGATTTTCACTGCTCCAAATATCTATATAACTTCATAATATGAAGACTGTTAAAATTGAGCATATCTCAGTTGCGGCATATTCATACGCTAGCAATCTTCTTTCAGCCCTAGACTTCAGCCTTTCTCAGTTAAAAAGAGCTCCTTAGAATGCTTACAGAAATTGATCGACTAACCAAAAAGTTGTTTGGAAAACTTTTTTGTTCGCCCCCTTTCAAAAACAATCTTGATAGTTTAGGTAAATATCACAAAAGCTATACAAAAAATATCTAATGGTACTATTTAGTAAACCTATATTGCTAAAAGGGAAAAATTTAGATGCAATGCTGGAGATTGACGCCTGTGTTCCAAGAACTCTTCTAAATGCAGTTTTTTCCTTATCAGAACCAGAAATTTTTTCGAGCCTTGATGTTCTTGTTTTTTGAATATTCGGATGCTCGAGTGAGAGTTTTTTTAAAAACACTCTGATTTTTTTCCTCTAATTTTTCATCTGACATTATGCATGTTTTTAGTTTGCTTTTCGTTTCTTTGCAAATTGAGTCCCGTTTTTTTATAAACTGTGATCTTTTACAAGTGTATATGTGGTCTTAAAGTGTATGGCAAAAAGAAACTTCGCGGGTGTTGTCACTTTAAACCTTCTACCACAATGGCACTTCACTGCAATACACCGAAGCACAGTGATGATGATAACGTGACAACAATTCTCGTTAATTTTGTTTTACAAAGATGCATAAATGTTTATAAGACTCACATTGATGTGTGGTATTCTAAATCATTTTGCCAAACTAACTTTACAAACTCATCACTCTCATTATTTGATATATTTTGTTGACTAATGAGTATATGTTAGACATAACCAAAATGACAATGGAGTGAATCGGAAACATCGTCAGCAATTCATTGCAAATAGTCTGGTGAATCAAGTAGTCATAACATACTTGCAGATATATAAATTCTAAAGATATAGCAGAGTGTAGTTAACAAAAATATGATTTTGAATTGAAAGGGAGACGTAAAGTTTTGACTTATATATGCATGCATACATGGATACCAATATAAATACGAAAATGTGCATACATAATATTGAAACATTTATGGAATAATTAATAATCATTGAACAGAGGGAAGATAATTGTATATCAAATTTCATACCTCTTGGCTTAAGTTCTAATGTTTTTTAGTTTAGGCCTCTAGTTAGTTTGAAACTTTTTTCCTAGTTGTTCAATTCAGACGTATTGGCAAAATATAGCATTTATGATTAATTTTACGAAGTGGTTTAATTATAGAATTTTATGGTTTTTATACGGAAGGGAACTGCGTCATCAGCTTAGGATTCCAAAGAATCTGTGTTTTATTTGAAGGCATTACTCGTTCATTTACAGCTGGAAACTGGTTTGTGATATGAACTAGGATCTGAAACTGTGGAACGTCAATTGCATTATCAGATTAAGTGGCTAAGTTTAAACCTTAAATGAGAAGGAGGGCAAAACGTTTGTTTCTCGTGAATAACCCAGCTGCCTTGAGTACTCACACTTGAATAGTCAAAGGATCAGTATGGTACGTAAAATAAATCTCTATTGAATAATAGATATATATGTAAGGATAATCATTAGCGCTTTGATTAAAACATACCCTTTTGCAAAGATCACAGCTTGAATGCAGCTGTTTGTGTACAGTACAATTACGGAATGTCAAATTTTCAGTCTTTGTCTTTAGTGGATTGATTGATTGACTTGCTAGTTACATAGGCAAACTTGACTTAGAAGCTAAATGGATTATGAGAATAATGCACTTTGAAATGACAAAACAGGACGGACACGCTTTTCATAAAGGTTCTTGACTTACAAGATTTGATACTAAAGAAAGATATTAAGGCTGTAATAGTTGTTGCAACAAGATACATTCCAGATTGACCATCACAGTGACGCAATGAACATCGCTTGCAGCCACCCTGGCGATAGTGACTGTACTTGAACAAACCCTTAAGAGATTACTCAAACTTTACTAAAAATTTGGACAGGCGAATGAATGATCATTTTCAGGTTTCCATAAATCAAGAATGATATGATAATAATGCTCCACCCACTTTTCAAACATAAATAAAAAGCTCTTGTTTTGTAAGCTGCGGAATGCAATCTCTCCGCCTCACTATTTCGCCAGTCAAATTTCCCGGACTTGAATTCCCATACTAAACCTACCGGTTCGTTACTTTCCTCTCAGAATTGCATCCTGATTTGTGTTTATTTTATTAGTCCGTAAATGTCTATGTTGAATGAATGCGTTTAATTTAGCGTTCAAACATCCGATTGTCTGAAAGTTTCAAAAGCGCCAGATTGCAATCTGTGTACTTAATCTGATTGGCTGAACAAAGAGCGAGTCTCTTCGAGTGAAAAAAGGCTGGCGCCATGCGATCTTCGCTATTATTCGAGTTGCGAAGGCCTAATCACAACCAATACAGGCAGGGATATCGTGCGCTCCTCTACCGAATTTAGACAGTGTCAGGACGCATTTTCGACCTGGAGCAAAGAAATTGACTGCACGCGTTATGAAAGTTACTTTGGTTCAAAGATCAAAGAAAACACCACAAGCAACGAAATTGATTTAGTTTGGTGTAAATGTACCAGGAAGTATTCGAGTCTTTAGAGGTTTGTAACTGTTAATTTGATCTGTGTGGATGTTGACGGCATTTAACGCACTTCTTGCTGCATTGCATTAGTTGCAACCAATAGCTAATTGATTGTCGATCATTGCAGCAACATTGCATCTGATCTTAACACCCGGAGATTAGATCTAATCTCATCCTTATCTCATAATGTAGTTTATTTTGAGAAAAAGTTTTGCCATCTCTAAATAGAGATGTTTAGCTGCAAAATAAGCTAAATTACTAGCATCGAAACCAACCAAAGTAGCTCAAACCAAAACCAGTTGGAGAAACTATCAAATTACCATTTTTCTCTGCCAAGTTATTAGAAGAAGCCATTGTTTGCCCCCACCCATCCCCCAAGATTACTCTACTTCACCTTGGAAAATGCTTCATTCAAAGCAAACTTACTTGATTTGTTCTGTTTTTGTAATCCGTTTGTTTTATTCTCTCCAATTCTTCCCTAAAGGCATTTTAAAATCGTCACTTAAAAAGCCAGTACCTTCTTTTGAGTGCCTCTGGGATCAAATGTTGGCCACTTTGGAACCTAACTAGTTTCAAAGGTTTCAACTAGCCAATTTTTATCTTAAATGAAGGCTCAAATCTGTTGTATGTTACCGTTGACTTCTACCCTTTCTTTCTTTCTACCCTCTGCTTTATTCGTTACACATAATTCAGCTAATCCCTGGTCTAATCTGACAGATGACAAGAACATTCATGTTTGCTCCTATACGTGCAAGGGTAGCATTGTCACTTTTTTGAAATACCCTTCATTATGATATCTGGCTAAGTAGCTCTACACTTCATTTCCGCCCGTTAATGAAATCTCCTTTCACAGTTGGCTAACACAAACCGGGATTCAATTTACCCTCTGCCGAGTGTGTTGCAAATGAATAACTGTGGTGTGCGCTTTGGTTTATTAGCGTTGTTGCTATCTTTGAAACGGAGGCCTGCTATACACAAGCCGTGACCAAATGCCACTGCTAACTGTTCGGAGTGTCATCAAATTGATGGCTACATAGACCGATTCTAAGTATCCTTAGCTTGTCATAGGTACCAAGGCTATGTTTTCAATAGCTTAAGGGACAAAACCCAACAAATGTAGAAAGAGGATGCGAACCATCATTTACGCCGAACAAGCATATAAGGAGAACTGAAAAGAGGAGAGGTCGAAACGACAAAGGCAGCGTAAGTTTACCTTCCTACATTCGATGAAAGCTTTCTACAAGCAGTGAAACGGCTATTATTTAGAAATAGAAGATATCTGGATATTTTGGTGTCAACCAAGTCATACCTCATTCCTTTCCTGCATATTTCACCCTGTTTGGTATACAATGTATCCTCTTCGGGTATTTTATCAATCTGTAACCTATTTCCATGTGTTGCTTATAGTATTTCAGGTTTTGGAGCTGGCTTTAGAGATGGCTTTAGGGGTGTGTTTTATTGTGAACATTAGGCCTTTATGGATGGATTTTGCATGTAATTAACATTGCTTTGAATGCAGTTCTTCAAAATTGCTTATTAGAAACACAAACTCAAACCATTTTGATAAAACGTAGAATTCTCTTCACATTCTTAACTTCTGAATTTAGTATTGAATTGAAACTACAGAGAAAGTGATCTTTTATGAGTTTAAAGAGTTTCTTCGATGCCCTTTCCAAACTACCGGTTTAACTTAATGTTTAAACTTAAAAACCAGAAAAAGAACTTCATTTCAAATATTTTAACAGAAAACTCACGTCTTAAATAGTTACATTTTTCTTCTGATTAATTTTTGATTGCCTTAATTTGGTACATTTCGTCTTGTTTATTTGCTTGGAACAAGACAAACAAAGCTGGCGCGAAAAGTCACAGTGGCAAGAACTGGAATTACTGTGAAACTTTAAAAGAAAACTTAACGGTAGCCATTGAAAAACAGTGAATATAACTGAATTTCACGGCAACGTTTACTTCAAAATGTTTTCTGAATTATGCAAGATGGATAGCAACGTAACATGACATTTTTGTGCAAAAAATTTTATAGCAATTTAGAATTAAGATAACCTTGCCATCAGTTTTGTTTCAATTGAAAGAATTATGTTGATAAGAAACGTTTAACTTAATACCTACAGAAAATGAAGTTCGTTTAAGTTTGGTTTTCAATAGGTTTAAATAGCAAGATATCTTAGTTTTCTCAAATTTCTTTACAGGTATTCTAAATTGTTTCATCTCTTGTTGAAATTCGTTTCCTGCCACTCATATCTAAACTCTTGTTTCAACTCTGTAACATGCTTCTTTATCATAAACATAATATTTAAGACGTTTAAGAACAAAATGACAAAGAAAAGTTACCTGTAAAATGCACGATCAAAGATTCCATTTAAACAAATATTTTCAAAGATATATTTTTAAATAAGGTACGTGTTAAAAACAAAATATATACTCCATAAGATACATGTTAGAAACAAATTGTATACTATTGAACGAAATTAGAAAATAAAGATTGTCACATATATATCAAACATTTGAAGCATTGCTCTTCAAGTCCTTGTTATTTGTTGTTATTCAGACCTTAATAATTTTACAACTGCCAGTTTACCTAAAGCAGCAATCAAATGCAAGACCTCATTTTATAATTGTCAACCAGTTTTACGATGGATGTTATGCTCTGTAAATATTCACATATTATAAGGTTGATCACAATATTACCCTTCTAAATTCTAATATTGATAGGAAATAGCGTCAGTTATTAGATGATAATCATTCTGCAATATAATGTATCAAGAGCGGTATTTAGCAGTTCTCGGTAGATAGCAATTGATATTTTTAAGACATTACGTATTAGTTAGCGAGCATTGATTAGCTAATATCGAAAGTGTCAGTTATTCATAACTATTCATCTATCTTTAGTATAGTACCCGCACATTAATAGGATGGTATTTGCTACCCCGTTTTGTACAGGCAATGTTAGACAGCAATGCTAAATTGCGTTTATGACCAATATTACATGCTATTACAAGCTTATGCCAATATACTTTTTGCTAAGGTGGCTGATATTGGTTTGCATTGTGCATAAACCTTGCCAAAACATTCACTTATCAGTACCTAGAAGGCAGCAGTGAATGATTTCTGCTCAATACTTTTAACTTGAGGCTGTTGATGGGTAAAAATGTATGTTTCTGTTCCAGCGTAAGCCGCTTGCTTCATTCTCGAATCAACTCTTAATAAAACAAATGAATTTCTAGAATGTCTAACCTGAAAAGGGGCTTTAAAAAAGAAATAAATTTGTTTTCAGTTCGTCGAATGTACTGTCTCCCTCCTTGCCACACAAGGAGCCGAGTCCTTGCAAATGAATGTTGACACACTCTTTATTCACCTCGTAACCAATTTCTGGTAACTACCTTCCAATAACTGGCTCCACATTTCTTCTGCTGTTTAATGATCATATTCATAAATTTACTTAAATTCTTCAATATGCATTTTGTGATGAGAGGGATTTTCTTATGCAGAGTTGAACGTGAAATATATATGTGTTCCTAGTTTTAGTTTTTTTAAATATTATCAAAAGGCTATTACGCCTTGAGGGATATTGGGGTGGCTGACTAAGTTTTAGTACATTACTACTTGCCTTGTTTTTAGATCAAGAAGAATGATTTATCTCTTGCTCAGTGATTATATCGGTCATATAATATTTGGCGATGTATTTAATTTCATGTATCTATTTAAATACTTCTTAGTTTATTTCTAGTTTATACTTATAGTTAACCTGTCGCGTAGCAACTGATTAACCGTTTCTTTATCTATTTGTTAATGTTTTAGAGTGAAGATACAAAATTGGCATTTCTGAAGGTTGACTGGACCGAATCTTTGACATTTCCGTTGTTCAGTAAGCACTAAGGAATTGTCTTGAAAGGTTTACATCCTTAAATCGGTGTCTCGCTGACATATAAATCGCGAGTAAAATGGATACGCTTTCTGGAGCAGAACATCGTTGGTACCATTCATTGGGATATTCAAATCAACATTCGATGTACCCAGAAGGTGCCAGTTTTGGCTCAGTGGGTGGTTCTCAGTCATCACAAGGCTACCCGGTCGAATCGGCCGACCATCTCTTTCATGGCCATGGCGATTCTGAAAGTGGTTCATGGCCTAGAGGTGGCTCTCATAATCCTTACCACTCTGCATGTCACCAGTCAACACAGCATCATCTACCTTCTTCAAACTCCTTGGTTGATGGCCAAGGTGGTAGTCCACATTCTACTGGTTGTAGTTCCAGGCTATATTTGCCATCTGGTTGTGGCAGGTCCCCTCACCTTAACCTCCACCAAATGGTAGGCTGTCCAAATGGGTCCTCCAACTGGCACGCTAGTTATTCGCAGCATCTTTTGTCCCAAAATGCGCCAGGAAATTCCTATGGGTCACATGGTCATCCAGGCACACCAAGTATTAGCAGCGAGAAGGACACGAAATCCCTGTCTCAACGGGATGCATATCTTTCTGCATATTACAGCAATGATGAAAAGCCTCCTATATCTAAACTCAACCTTCAAGGCTCTGTACCAGGCGTAGGATTTTCATCTCAAATATACGCCTCAAACATGAATTCATCTGAGCTAGGACCATCAAGCTTGCCTTATGGAATGCTCGGAGAGATGTCAAAGATGGCAAGATATAGAGGAGTTGCATATCCAGTTGCTGAACAAGGATTTGGTGAGTCTGAATTTTTCATGCTTATTTTTGTTTGGTATCAAAAGCGCTTATTATTGAAGGGTATTGTTACCTGCGTAATTTCTTTCCGTTCACTCGTCAAGTACATAAACTTGCGAGATTAGATAACGCAACAACAACGATTTTGTTTTGTGACAATAAGGCATGGTCGAACCATATATATACCTATCATGTGTTTGCAAATTTAAGTGCTACCTAATTTTGTTGTCATAACTCTTCCTTATTCAAAATAATTGGCTTTTTATTTCTGGTTTTATCATTTGCTTAAAAAAATGCTTTTGTTATCACTTTCATTTTCTCACTTTCATTCTATCGCAACCTCTGTCGTTATGCATCGCTGTTCTGAATATTGTGACATTTCGGCACGATTAATCAAGCATCAAATTAAGATTTACAAGGCCAAACTTATCCCTGTCTTTATTTTGAATTGCAACTTTTTAAATTAGGCCATGATTAGATCTGTTTTCTTCTATCTTATTCGGTATATATTCTAAGCCTCGTTGTCAAAAGCCATTGACCCAACAACCATGTATGTCTAGACTATTTTTAATCTGAGCAATGCTCGCAAATCAGAAACATTCCTTTCCTTTTAAAAGTTTTTGAGAAATGTAGAATAATGCAGAAAGAGTGTCACAAAGCTACTAAGGCTACGCTTCTCTTATCTTCACTTCGAATTAAACATGGCACCATCTGTTCTCATTATAAAGACTTAGCTGGTTGTGTAATTTATTTGAAGTGGCTTCAAAAATTTAAGCAGAAAACTTGGGTATGTCATTTCGTATCATGCTTTATCTATAGGTCAAAGAAATGCAGGAGGTTGCAACATTAATGATTTAGTTTTGTATCGATTTTAAAAAGACGGCTTCATTTTCAAAGGAAACAGTGTACACAATAGTTGTCAATATATGTAGAAATAATTCATTTTTATCAAGCCAAGTTCAAATTTTCTTTGCGCTTTACCAAGTTTCTGAAAGAGCCAACGTCACTTGTTTCTTCGGAAACAGTTTAATCATAATTGAAAATCTCTTAGATTAAAATGAAATTCAAATTGTGAGTAAGTTAAGACACCATCGTGAACCATAACTTTTTTGTTTTTCCAGACAGCAAAAAATCGCTCAATGTTGTATTGATATGCATTTCAAAACTTTTTTTGACTTAGGAACCAACCTTTGAAGTTTCATAAAAATATGAAACTGCACAAGAAGCTGTTGACTATATAAATCGCACATATGAATATGAAACTGCACATATAAATTGTGTGATATCGAAAATTCATGTCTCATAGATTTTATATAAAAGGCTCGCACCCATTTGACAAAAACAAAATAGGTCTTGTAAAGATTACTGAAATCAAAATTATGAAATCATGAAAGGGTACCAAGAGAAGCACATACTTAGCACTAAGGCGTCTTCGTTTTCTCACTTGGGCGTGCAGCAGTCCTTCCCTATGCATTAACTTTTACAAGCTTCGTGTATTCTACTATTAAGACTCAGGTGCCATGGCATTATTCTTTAAGACCAGCAAAATTTTCAGCTTTTTCTATAATTTTTTGCTGAAGTAGGATCACAAAGTAGCAAGCAAAATCACATAGCAAATAGGATCGTGTCGCAACATTACACAGCAAATAAAAGCATTTACCATTGATGAACGGGAAAATATTCTGCTTGTTGTGATACATGCGAGATCAGTATGCATTTTGTATTTCATTTTTTTTAACTTTGTTAATTTTCCCCTCAGTCTTTTGTTAAAGATTACGTAAAAAAGGATAAGATATGTTGTGACGTCTTTAATCATGAAATATTTACCCAAAATTAACTTGGTGATGGCTTCGAATTGTAAGTTCTTTCAGTCCTTCGGCGTTTGCCTAATCAATATTGCCAGTCGTCAATCCTCTTCGATGTTAAGTGACTCCTTAGCCATTTATCGAATATATAGAGCATCTGATGAAAATTTAGTGTGCCGAAGAAAGGAAAAGATAACCTCTTTGCAATATCTCGCTTCTGGAAAGATAGAGGAATTAATGGTCAAATCATGATAAGTTTACACCAGGGTGTTCGATAAGTAGAAACTTCAGTTGACAATGCCAAGTTGATAGATTATTTTGATTGCGATCAATATCACAAATGTAGGCCATATCTCTGTCTGTCATAACTTGTGATCAAGATGGCGATTTTGAAAGTTTGATAAACAAGCTTTCGATATGACGATTTTGTCAACACGCCTACTTTGTCAGTTGAATTAGGATAAGGGATTGATGCATGAGCAAAATCATGGAAGGTGGCATTGTAATTCAACTTTAACAAATCTAAGAAACTTTCAGGGCGCAGCCAAAATGCCATTTGAAAGACAATAAAATCAAGAAAATTTGCTGTTTTTGGTGATCATTACCTTTATACACAAATTAAAAACCAGCAGTAAATTTTCGCATCAACTTTACTTAGTACCACTGTAGCCACTTTCAAATGATGAAGATCAAAAAATTTGGCTATTGTTTCGTTGTTTGAAAAATTTCTTTAAATTTCAATTGCATTGATTATTTAACCAAATAAATGGACCTCTTCTGGTCTGACGGCATGGCGGACCTCTTCTGGACCATCAGATATCCGTCCTTCCAGCACACGCAGTACATTTACACCTATACTACGTCAAACTTCGCTAACTAAACCAGTTTTCTATAAAATATGTAATATGCTGTCACTTGCAGTACAAAAAGCAAATTCTAATATGCGCAATTGTGCTCATTTGTGGATTTATCACGATGAATGAATGCAATTTGAATGATACGATTTCTTGAAGGCAAATGCATCAATATATCTTTTGCTGTTAGACAGTGCAAACCATAAGCTCCTATTTTTTGATCAATTGCTACTAAAGAAAAGTTAAAGATGTTCATAAATGACGTAATTATTCCCTGTGTACCAGATCCTGTTTTCAGTATTTTGAGTCATAAAAAACAAGAAACTTTCATGTATCAAGGTTTCAAACTGCAATAGGCCTCTAATTAAAACATTATCAGAAAATTCCAGTGTTTTTTTCAATCTCAGCAGTATCACTTATATTTCTTCAAAATTTTACTTCTCCTGGTAAACAAAAGTAAATATCTCTACTATTGTAGTTCTGTTATTCACAATCTGCTTCCTGCATCATCTTATTCTTTCCTATAAATCCGGCCAACCGCCTATTTGCCTAAAAGTTAATAAAATGATGTTAACATGTAGATTCGAAGACTTCGGGACCCTGAGCATAACAAATTATACAATTACGCAATGAAAAGTCAGAAATTTTTTTGCATTTTTTGCCATAGCCCAAAAGAGCAATAAATATTGAAATGATTTTCATAGCATTATTACGTAATTCAAGATAAAATGAAAATTTATCTTGCTTAAATGCAATCTAAAAAGGCAGGCATAACTAAACCGGTATCCAGTGGATTAGCAAAACAGTCTTGCATTAGTTATAAACTGTACAGATGTTTCATAAATGGCCTGTCGCACGTGTTTTTTAATACTTGAGTAACGTTCACTGTTTTCGATGATCGTCCATCCTAAAATTTTTTGCCTGTTTGCAAACACCTACGGAGTGCTGCAAACAATCTGTCCGATGTTTCCACAATGTGCTTCTGCACCGCTGAGTATTTGCGTATTTTGCCTTGCAGCACATTTAACGCTAGGCCACTTGACCTGCCTCAAACTGATAAGCGAAAATCGAACGTTCTTATCTTTTGGTTTTCTTATCTTCTGATTGCTTAGCACTAATGAATGAAGTGTTTTAAATCAGTTCGAAAGTGCTCCTGCGAGCAGTAAACCTCTAAAATGTTGGTTCTCCTTTCCTTTCTCTGTGATAACTAACGATCATGTCGTGAATTCTCAGGTCAGGCTGCAGTGTAGGCCCATTTGTCGATTTTCATCTGCCACTGTTTATTAATATCCAAAACTCAGGGTTTTTCAACTACATGCAGGAAATAAATTCAGGTTTTCGCATAAAAGAGACTTTGTTTTGAAAGATGATGCTCTGTGTGTCTAGCTAGATTTGGCAACTGTCACACAAGCTGACCGTTTTCTAGCAAATCGAATTATGTTCTTCTTACGGCAATAATGTTTCATTTTACCCCTATGGACTAATTATGCCATATGGGCTTTCAATGAAATAAAGATTTACGTAAATTCTATCCGTTTTATTCAAATCAGACAGAAAAGAAGAAACTCCTTGTAAAAATATTAATTCTACTTAAAGCTTAGTGGTTTTTGTTAGCGTGGCGAAAGCAGAAACCCAACATCTTGTGCTCTAAGCTTGACGTCTTAAACATGTTGGATTAAAAGGTACTTTCCAATTTAACGAGAATATTTCAAATGTCATCATTGTCTGGAAAGTGGGTATACAGAGCAGCTTACCCACAATAACTAGGAGGATTTAATCTGTCTTGAAACATGCTTTTGAATAGAATCTTGCTATGAAAAACATTGTTGTTTAGATCTTCAAAAGACCTATCTAAGAGAGGTTCGTGTTGGACAATGCGAATTTCATGTAAGTCCAAAGGATAATCATAAAGAGATCACCAATATTATCTACAGTAACGCTATTACACATGCTTTGATGGGCTATTGCTTTCCATTTTTTCTTTTCTTTTATCAACAAATATTGCAAAAACTAACACAAGAAAACTCATTTCATAATGATGTTTATTCATAAATTCACAAAGAATCAGTCTTTTGCATATTCTGAAGCAGTGCTATCAGTCTACAAAATTGCAAGAAGCTCTCATTGCATTCGCTGATCAATTATCAAGATGACTTGATTAGTTCCAATCTAAATTGCTGGCACAAGACACGATCGGCCATTTCTCTAAAAAAGGGCAAAGTTTTTTATATTTGATTGAGTTGATTCATCCACCCAATTTTTATAATTCTATAAGAACCCTGAAATCATCAATCTTTCCTTTAGCGAATAAGCCAAAAATTGACAATCTTTTTACGACTCTGTTTTGTTTTTCGTGTGGCATTCAAATATTGAATTGTCTTGCTATTGCATTTGTATATAATGCTGCTATGAGCATTGCATTTGTTAGAATTCAACACGAATAAGAAATATACTCAACTAGCGTAGATAACTAGAAGAAGAAAATCGAATTATTTGTCTAATAAACAACCCAACTTTCATTTCAACTCAGCTGTTTACAATTTCTATATTCGAGTAAGCTTTTGTTACCGCGAAATTTGAAGATGGCACGAAATGAATTAGCACTTTTCGAAACATATCATACTGAATCACTTTTCGTCCGACGCTCTTCAGAGAATGAACGTCGGATAACGACTGTATGTAAGCAGAAATTTTTTATCCAGGTGTGGATGGGAAATGATTATATATCTTACTGTCTTCGTGTAACAAACCAGAGTTGGGCTTCTTTTATCTGATCTTGCTGCTCCTAATATCAGCGGTGAATTACTAAAATATATGCTCCGTTAGCGGATCATATAATTCCCTGATTCAGAAAACAAATGCATCGCTCTTTCATCACTACATCACTTTTTGTAGAGCTAAACTAAATAGAAATTATTCGAAAACAAACTCACTTAAAGCCATTCTTAGTTGTTTTTGCGCAGAAATCCATGATTCCTTTAACTCATCTAGATGTAAAGAGGCATCAGACACTACGCCAAATATATAAAAAAATCTTTGATTTTATAGGTTTAGTTGTTACAATACATCGAAAACTGATAAGCTGCTATTTTTTGCTTCATGTAATTGCTTTTATTAGTCGAGCATGTTTTTGGGAAAATGTCACCTTATATCAATTAACATCAATCTTTTTAGCAGCAAACGTAATGATACGCTGGAATACAGCGAGGTTTTGGTGTTTCCTATTTGTCCGTAAAGACTGCTATCTTCAAGATTTTACTTTCTTCAAAATGATTCATGGTAACAATAAAGAGCATTATTTTCAAGGTGGCACAGAATCCAGTTGAATTTTCAATTTTATTTCTGACTCAGACATTCCGTTTTTAATTTTGCGGTTTGTAATGAGCAGTCTGGTAGGCACCTGGTCTACTGCGTTTTAGAGAACATCGCCATAACACCTTTGCAATCAACTCCCTAATCTGTAATTGTATTATAAGGATTGTTTATGGGATCTTTCGTGAACTAACCTATCCTTATTTTGATAACAGTTCTGGCTTCTGCCTTTATCATTTCGATATACTTCCAAGAGATATATCTCTTTGAAAATCCCACGGATTGAGCATTCCACCAGTTGAATGTGCGATTTTTATCAGAATTCGTTTGTAGATTGAAAATCTCAATTAATTGATCTCGATCTAAATCGCATTGCTACCCTTATTCCTGATTGAAATGATTATTATCTTTGGGTATCGTGCTCAGTGCATTCATCAGGGCTGCTTGCGATAAGATACTCCACTCAGATAAAACATCCGTTATCATCCACGTTCAATGGACAAATTAATCACGTCTTTTTATCGCCTAAATAATGACAAATTTGTTTATATACTTGTTGATCTAATGGTTTTTCCATACTCGTGTATAAATTTTATTAGAATTATGAGTGAATGTTTTCTTCAACCTTGGCATTTTTTCGCCACCTGTTGGGTATTGTAAGCTACCTATCATTTTGTTCCCCTTTATTGGTTGTAAGCTTTTTACCTGTTCTTCTTCTAATCGTAATTACCTCAGTTAATAATCTCCACAACTATGTTGTTGGTTCAAATAGATTTTGTCAAGATATGCATGCGATTTCTTGCTTGTAGCCATTTCTCGATTTGATCTCTTTAATCCTTTAAATTCGAATCGTGATTCTAAGAGTTTCTCTTTTTTAAAATAATTTTTTGCTTCTATAAATATAAAAGAAGTCGATATTTAAAAAAGGCAGACAGCTTAAAGCTAGAATCAGTAAACATGAAAAATATCTTGCAATTTGCTTATTTAGTTGGCTTTTCTCCAGACATACTTGTCATCGAAGAGTGAAAGACAAAACAAATAAGATGCTAAGAAAAACAACGGTTTTGTTTCCGTTGAGTAATATAGGCAATAAAGATGAATTTTTAAAGCTAATTTGCCCATATCAAAAACGACGTTCATGCTTAATGCACACAAATAATTCGTTCTAATTAGTATGGTTTTCGTGTTGTCCTCTTACGTCAGAACTAGTTCCGATGGACAGTTAGGACGTCAGAACACGCAAATGGCTGGTGAGTCAGGTTGGTGAGAAATTTTGACAGCAGTCGCAGGAAATGCTTAGCAATGGCCGTACAATAAAAGAGACTGAGCTTGAATTTGCAGGATTGTTGGAATTTGAAGACAGTGATGGTTTCGTTTCGTTCCTTGTTGCAGCCGCACCCTAATTTATGCTCACCATCATCAATAAAAGGCTGTTGGCCTATTCTTAGCGCTTTTAAGTTTTTTTAGTTTCAATCAAAATGACGCAGCGAAACTCTTTGCTTACTCCTCAAGCAGCCGCAAATTTCTCTTTTTGCACGCTGTTTTAAAAAACCTAGCCTCCTTGACTTTCTTAGGCCCCTTAACCTATTTGATTACACAGACCAACGCAAAGATCGAGCGATTTACTCTTATCGTGCCCTTGATACCAGAACACCGCCCTAATCTCGTTCGAGTTCCGTTTGTCATTCAGATCCAATCAGAATTAATTGAAATTTGGTAAGTACTCCCTCACTGTCTTCAATAGCGGATTATTTCCGATGTTCAGTGTAAACAGGGTTGCACGCGCTTTTGAGTGATCATTCTAAACTTCAAAGAGAACAGGGTTACTTTGGATTTAAACACTTTATCAAATTTCCTCAAAATTCAGCTAAAAATTGAAGGAACTCCCTCCAAATTCTAAATCCGAAGGTGCTCAATTTTCTTCAAGATTATAAAACGTCAGTATTCTGAATGGTGGAATCTCCTTATAACCATGGTATTATGGTGTCTGTTTCAAATGGTCACGGTTTCAGTCAGAGGGTTGATTTTATGACATCACTCCCTTGCCATTCTCATGAACAAGATTTCCCTTCCTCACAGCCACAGAGACGACATACATTCAATGTGTCGCGTTCTGATTTAATTGCCATTATAAACTGCACTGTTCTTTATACTCATTGCTTTCAATTTTTTCTACAAAGATGTTTCTTTGGAAAACCCCCGCTGACTCAGTACCTCCTTCAATTGCTAATTATAAGCTGCATTGGTGTGCTCAGTATTTGTCAAAAACACAATTTTTTTGAAATACTGACTGCTGATTGTTCTTTTTGACAAATCCCAAATGTCTGAACAGCAAGCATCCTCCTTGATATAAGCATAAATTTTAGCCGTGAATTTTATGAATCAATTTGCCAAATACAGCTTGATTCAGGTTTAAACTCCTTAATTGGCAGTGTGAAAATCGCCTTACTTGCGCTTTTGTGACGCGACTGCATCATTTGGAAAGAACGTCAATCTTTCCTAAAATGAAAAGCGTCGAGTAGAAAACAATCTTATCCCAGCTCAGCACTTACTTCGTTTAAGTTTAAAGTTTGGCTGACTGCATTGTATACGATATAAAAAGTGCACTGTATTACCAATGGCTAGGCCTCTGAATATATTAAAAAAACCCATGATAGCATTTCGTACCATTTCTCTACAAAAGATACATAGATGTTTTTATTTATAAGCATAGAATGTCACTGCAGGGACACGATACCATTATTATTCTCAGTTTCTGTATCAGCAAAATGGCAAATTGCAGCAGCTTGTGTACCACGAGGGGCAAATCACTCAAAGAGAATCTCGTACGCTATTTGCAAGAGTGAATTGCCCCTCGGTGTATCAAGCGTTCCCTGTATAACTTCTCCGTCTCAATTTATTTGTGATGATTAAAATGCTCCATTTTGGAGACTATTAGGCAGCCAAGTTGGGTTAGTTTCTCCATTACATTTGTTTGAGTTACTTTGTAACTTCGTGTTTGTGAATTGATGGGATCATGGCAGTAAAGTACGACACCTTTTAATCAAAGCTCGTTTACTAGAACATAATTTCCCATATTTTGCACTTTAATCAACTTAGACCGTCATTAAAAACAACCTCACAATGTGCAAAACACCAATTGAAAATCAAATTGGAGGAGCACCATAGTTGCGACCCTAATTTCATTTCTCACTGTTTTGCATTCAACCAGAAATAAATCCTATTTCTCTCTAGGTTACAAATTCTGTGCCCATGAGTTGACTTCCCATCGTCCATTCTTTAAAATAATAAAAAATATTGCAATAATTTTCCAAATTCAATTAGATCCTACATGGAGAAATGGTTCTATTCTTTCAGCTTTTACCACATTAGACTTGCTTTCCTTGGGGGACAGACTCTCATTATTCATGCCAATTATATTTTTCACTGCCCATTCACTGGATTTAGACATTGTGGTCCGCTTTTCAAGTCACGAGAGAGCCTGCAGGTGGCCAGAGGTATACAATAACCATAGAGGTCAACTGGCGAAAATGAGGCTGGCTTTGTGCTCATCAGGCACGATCTGCCACAAGACAGTCATCGAAAACGAGATTTTCCTTGATATAGAGCAAGTTATGACGAAAATCGCGGTCGAATTAGAAGCTTTTTATTAAAGCCAGTAGCCGATAGCGGCCTTGAGATCAGAGACCAGAATTTACTATAACTTGATAGCGGCCTTGAGATCAGAGACTTCACTATAACCTGCGTTTTATAGCTTAGGGGACGATTCCTATGTCTATGACTCATGTTCAAGTCAATTAAAACATTTTTTGACCTAATAACGTTATGTCAAGTATTGTGTTATGAGCATGCCTTTCTCCTTGTCATGGATTACGAAGTCTTGTCTATGGTATTCTTCAGATTCTACGTGGGTAGAAAAGGATTTAGAAGTTCTCTATTAGTAGACGCGAGGGGTAGCACACTCTTTTAAATAGCGTACAAGATTTCCTCGAAAACAAAAGGATTTCCAGGGATTTTTTGGATAAACAAAATAATTTCCACCAAAGATGTATGACCTTTTTTAGAGTGGTTTGCCCCTCGTGTAGACGCTAATTTGGCCGGGAAAAAGCGGGTATTCTGCCACTTTTTATTGTTCTTAAATGATTTCTTCGTTTTCCAAACACTGCCAATTTGTACCAATTAATGCAAACATATTTATGAAGAAGTGAATGAATCTCTCTTTAAAGTTGTTGCAAGTGATAAATACCGGTGAAGGACTTTCTTCTATAAAGTATATTTTTGGTGAAGGATATATTTTTGTCGATGCACACAGGCTTACATTTTGATAATCAATTTCAAAATGTCCTACCATTTTAGGTGAGCATCGGGAATGCATGAATTGCGGTGCAACTTCAACACCCCTATGGCGGAGAGATGCTCATGGGCACTATCTTTGCAATGCGTGTGGGCTTTATCACAAAATGAATGGTGCAAGTAGGCCTCTTATCAAGCCAAAGCGACGACTAGTGAGTTGAGCATACGTCTTGATGTTACTTTAAATGTAGCATGCTTCTAGGAAGGAGCAGTTTGGTCTAAACCAATCAAAGTACAAGCAACCTGGTCGTAACCAATGAAATCGCAGAAACAACTGAAGCCATTTCAGCGTGTCGTCAGCAGTTTTAACGATCTTGCATGCAACTACAATCCATATGAACACACACTACTTTTGAAAATATTTTTTCCTAAGAATATTAAAGGATTGGCGCTTTATGCTCGACGTTTAGAAATATTTTCTGTTATGGTGGCAATGAAAAACTACCAAAGAACCAGTACTTCAAGCGACTAAAAGTGACTCGCAATAGCCTATCAGATGAGAGTGAACATTTGCTTTTGAGCATTGAAAATTTAAGCGTTATTATTTTAGACCAGCTAAATGTGATAATGTTGAACTTTTTCCTAAACATGGAATCGCTTTTCAAAACTTGTTGATGCTTTTTGTAAGGCAAAGCTGTTTGGTGAAAAAGTACATTAGATGCATTTCGTAACATTACTGAAGAAATATAGTGCTTGTCGATAGATGAAAAATCGATTTAACTAAATATTATAATGACAGAGATTTTATATTCACAAAAGATAAGTCCATGACGAAAATGGCTGTTACTTGATGTGCTGCATTTTACTTACAACACAAAATGTAGCAAGATGGGAATAATTTGAATTTATATAATATTTTATTATTTCTAGAACGATCTGTATTTAATGTTAGGTTTTTTTCAATATAGTCACAGTCAAGAAGAACTGGGATATCCTGCTCAAACTGTAAGACGTCTCAAACGACGCTATGGAGGCGTAACTCAAACGGGGAGCCAGTGTGCAATGCTTGTGGCTTGTATTACAAGCTCCATAAGGTGAGAAATGTTTTGGTTTCGTAGCAAAGTAACCAATGCTTATGGAAAAGACAGGTGTTTTAATGGAAATGGCCGATTTTTTACTCATTTTCTTAAAAAACATGATAAAATCTTGGTCTTCAACTCATTTTATGATCTGCTTTACCTACATTTAAAGACATGAATTTCTATCTCTTTTGTCAAAAAAATTCTAGAATTCACATTAACGATTTAAACCAGGATTGTCTTATGCAGGAAGAGAAATGCTGTTCTTTTAAATGATTTTTCAAAAATCATCATCTATCCAGATTTTAAAATCTTAACGCGATGTTGCTAATCTTATGCTGATGATACTTGTAATGGTTTTTAATTTTTATTTTACTTAAGCTATTATTCCAAAATGTTTCAACCTAGTTAGTAAAATATTTGCAATTTTTCTGGACGCAATATTTCGAATTAACAGCAACATCTGTATAAAGTTGATCTGAGACAAAAATGAAAACTTGGTTTTAGATGACTAGAAGCTTGGCTTTTGAAAATATTTAAAAAAACAATTTACTGACAGGTATTAAAAACCTTTATACAAAACCTTTGGAATTTGATGGTAAACAAAATACATTTTCTAACGTTTTTTATAACAGTCTTGAGTGTCTATCTGTTGTAAAAATATTTAATTCACTTATTTTGCGTATAGTGAAATTGTTTCTTTTACTTCTTTGCCAAGAAAAAATCCTTGAAAACTTAGAAACAAGGGTCTCTTCTGGTCCCTTCTGGTCCCTTCTACATTTTGCTAGAAACAATCTAATAGACACAAATCTAATCAGCTATTACGAAAGTTTTGTCTAATTAGTTATTGAATATAATAATTAGCTATTACGAAAGACAGTGGTAAAATATGTTTTGATCTGCAAATCTAGAAATATTATTCTTTATACTCGCCAAAAAACGTTTTGCTAGAAAATTTTTTACAACAACTTTTTGCTCCTAGGCCATAGTTTCTTAGAATTTTAAGTTTCAAGTTTCAACAGACGTTGCCTTCTTTAAATTCCCATTGAAAGCATTATTAAGTTTTTATTTTAAACACTATCCTGCTTTAGAACTATTTTGAAAAATCTTCTGAAATTTTTTTTTCTCCTTAGAAAAAAAACACATTTTCTCCTTCTAAGAAACATACCTTGAAAAAATTCAGAATTCGACCGAGCCCATAAAATATGTCACAATGTCATCACAAGTGACGAAGGCCAATGAAAATAAAAATGACTTCAACTGTTAAACACAAACCCAATTCTCAAAAGATTAAGGGTACTGTTCGGAGCAAGATTAAACATTTCTCTGAACACTGACCTTTTATTTGAAAAGTTTCAGTTTGAAAGAAATATCCTCAAAAATAAATACCGCTAGACATATAATTACGAAATTGTCAATATTATTGTTGATATTAAAATTATGTATTTTTAATGAAATTGTGAAAAACTTGCTGTTTTTGTGTTTCCAGTAGATGTAAGATCAGGTTACGATCTTTAAAAATTGCATATTTACCGGAAAATTTGCTTGCATACGGATAGTATCAGTCTGTTTATATATATTTTGAAATTCTTTTGGGAAATGCATTTATATTTTTTCTTTACCAAAGATTTTAGAACTTATTCATTTTACTATCATTTTCTTGCATTAGAACTATCATTTTCTTGCAAAATTTTTCTAGCAAGCTTAATCGCTCCTAATCTTGTCTTTAATACATTCCCTTAGCAAAATTGATTTTTAATATTGATTTCATATCCAGACAAGAAAGTTTTGGATATTTACAAAGTATATCGTCGATGGTTTGTCACCAAAATACGACGATTTTTCCTCTGCAGACAAAAGATTTTCGAAGGCCCAAGTTTTGCAAAAGTGATATTTATGATACATAGGGCAACGCAAATATGTTGCAGTTTTTACTCTAGTTCAATTAATAATTTTTGAAAGTATTTGGAGAAAAAATTCAAGGGTCGTTTTAACTACATGTAATGTTAATCTAAAAACTTTGTGATGAAACGATAAATGAAATTGTTTTTTAGTTCAACAGTCATTTGTAGGATTTTTGTGAAAAGATTGTGGCAATGTTTTTATCCAAGAGAACAATCATATTAAGAATTAGAACTACTTTCAAAGGCAAAAGATAGAGGCAAATTATTTCTTTCCTAAACAATAGCATAAATTAGATTAAAGTTACACATAAAGGCATGCAGCATTCAAATATCAAATCATTATTCTACATGAGTTTGAAATATTTGAAAAGAATATCTGAAAAACACCTATCTGGAAAATATTTGATTTCTATTCTAATGCATCTATTTTCTAAAAAATATAACATTTTCAAAATATGTTCAAGCTTCAATACTTATTGAAAATCATCTATTTGGAAAGCCCTTGCGCTAACAATCATTTTGCTGAAAGATCAAAACTTATCGATTATTTAGTCTTATTTTCTTCACAAAAGATAAGAAATGCATTCTGTTAGGAAAATGCCATCAAAATGTTTGTTTTGCACTTTTGCCAAGACAAATTATTGTTATTTCTGCCAACTTTTTGTGCTTAAGTTTTTTCACTTTAGTAAAACAATTAGCTTACGTGCTCTAAAAATTGTAATCATTTTAGCTTACATCTCTTCTCCAAAATAACCTTAAACATAATAAATTAATATTTTTTGAGAAAATTCTAGCATTCTTGCAAAATTCAGAACTCTAACAAAGACTAAAATGTAAAATTATGTGAATGTGTTGCAATTTCAAGGTTTTTAAATATTTAGTTATAATTTATCATCAAAACTTTCGAAACTTTTCAATTTATCGAAATTAGATGAGTATTTTTCTTAGCAATACTTAACAAAGCAGGATTAATTTTCGAACCAAAACCTGGAGAAGACGCATCTTGAAATGGAAGAAATGTTAATAATTTCCTCTTAAATGTTTAACCAATTCGTTTAAAGTTTGTCATAATGTCTTGCAAATATATTTCATCTGATTTTTTCTTTTTATCCTTATATTTCCTCTTATTTTGAAATATTTTTTGATGCACCAACGCTATGAGAGTATTTGGTTTCAAATCCTATTTTAGTTGCATTAATTTTTTCATTTCACAGATAAACAGACCGTTAACTATGAAGAAAGAGGGCATACAAACAAGAAACAGGAAAACCTCAGGGAAGAATAAAAAGCCCAAGTCAAAAGACAACAGCTTCGCGTTGGCAGCAAGAGACTCTTTACATCAAGGACTTACTTATCAACATAGCGTTCACCCACAGACGTTGATTTCGGATTCCTATCCGAGTCCAACAAATAACCAAATACTTTCTTCAGCAAATGGAAAAGCGTGCTGAACGTAAACATTGTCTATACGTGTAACATTAGGTCATAGGTAGGTAGGTAGCTAATTGGGGAGAGAAGCTTGTAAAAATTTCAGATCATTAGTCTTGTGACATTTCTCTCTTGTTGTAGATTGATCTCTAGTGATATTGAATTTATTTAAGTTGGTATTTAAATCATATGAACTACTTGCAGATAATTGCAAACAGTTTTACAAGGTTTTTTAACGATTCAGAAGATTTAATCTCCGGTGTGCTTCTTCTTGCTTTCGCACTCTGTCTACTATCATCATCACTAAATATTTTAAATTTTCAACTTCAAAACTTTTGGACAGAAATCTTTCGGAAAACAGTTTCATACCAAAAACCTCTGAGAATAAATTTCGAGAACTTTGATGAGATACTTTTGCACTAGCAGTTTTGATTGATATTAAAATATATGTTAAAACCAGCTCTAATTATAGGTCAACTATTTGAGTTTAAATCAATAAATAAAATCAAAAAATTAATAAGCGTTCCTTCTTCTATTAAGGACCTTAGAGTATGATCATTTCTAGCAAGGCTTTTTCCCTCCCACCGATGTCCGGAGTCAAGGAGCCTGCTGACCACCACAATGACGATCAATTTATTTCAATACCCCAATACAATCTCAACATTAGAGTATCAAATCACAGTAACTGGTCGTGGGTCCTAAGGCATAAAATCCAGACCAAAACTTTAAGTTTAAAGCAAAGCTTGAGGTCCTAAGGCATAAAACCCTCAACTTCTAATAGACTTATATTATCACCCTGGAACTTATGTGTTCTTTTTAAGCAATAATGCCTACCAATGATGCAGAAATTTCTTTCTCAAAGTAAACACTATTTGTTATATTTATTTTTCGGAAGGTTTTATTGTGAACAATAATTAAATAAAAGACTTTCTGCATATTAAAACTTTGCATTCCACAATACAAATTAGCAGCTGACAGCAGTGTGCAAAAATTGATTTTAAAGTTCATCCTTGTTCAAGCCTTGTGGTTCATTGGCACTGTGTTGTTTCTGACCATCTCTATCGTGCATTAAATGTTTGTTTTTTTCTTCACTATCTGGAACTACAGAATTTTCTTGGGCTTCTTCTTGAGTGTTTATACTAGCCCCATAACTAAGTTCATTGTCTACAAAACCCTTTTCAAAAATTTGCTTTCCTAAACCCATCAAGGTTTCATCATCCTTTTCAGAATCTAGATCAATATTTCTTCCAATATATGCATCATCATAATTGCCTTTTTCATTATCATCATCCTCTTCATCGCGACCATCATCCTCATCTGAATCACCTTGTCCACCTTCTTTTTTATCAAACTTTCTTGCTGCAGAATGGAAGTTGGTTATTATGCCTTCCTTCCCTACACTGGTTGAACCTTTTCCTGCTAAATCATCAAAAAAAGAGTCCCCAAATTTTTCAGACCCCCAAAGTCTTTCTTGATACTGTTTCACAAAATCATCTCTTTTGACAACCCCATTGCTTTTTTTGACCAAAATACTGAGCAACTCAGCTATCTCTCTTGGACTTATCTGAAAATACTCATAGTCATAGGAATTGGAGGGTAAAAATGGCTCTATCAGAAAGCTAACCTCTCTTATTGAACTCCTTGGCAAAGTTTTAACTAATTTCCTTGTGATTCTCTTGGCAGATTTTCCATGTTTTTTAAGAATGCTCATTAACCTGTCTGCTTTCTCCTCAGGAGAAAGTGGGTGTCCATCCTTTATGCTGACTGCTTCTAAAATATGTTTATATGTAGACTTATCATTATCGTCTATATTTGCCATCAATTGCTCCCTGACATTCCTTAATTCTGAATATCCCATTGACATCATGCCTTTTCCAGAGTATTGTAAATCCACATCTATATCTTGAAGTGGTAAAGGTTTGCTGGGGCAGTCTGTAAAGCGGGTTTTATTTTGTTGAATGTGATCAAATCTGGAAAACAGCATGGCTACAGCAGTATTCATTGTTCCATAGGATTTCACCTGATGGTACATACTTTTTGGAAGAAAAAGACAGTCACCCTTTTTAACAGTTGTGAAGGACCAAGGCACTGTAGCAACCTAGACAAAATAAAAAAAACAATGGTTAAATATTGAAGCTATAAAGTATCCAAAATAACAAATATAAACTCCATTATAAATTTCCCACAACTGAGGCCAAGGAAGATAATTGTCACCTGCATATCAACTATAGGGAAATCTTGACAAATTTTCCCGTGCTCATGAAATTTTTTTTGCAGCATTCTAATTGATACAAGACAAATTTCAGAAACTTTGTTTATTTTTCTAAAAAGAGGCAAAACAGAAAATCTCAAAATTTGGCTTCTAGGGATTCAAAAGGTCATCATCTGAAAAGATAAAATTAATTTTTTTGCAAAGTTTTCTTGACACAAAGATACCAATTGGCAAAAGGCGCACTTTCCATTGCCATTTGAACTATAATCTGAAGGTAGGACACTTAGAGGCTTATGCTTATCAGGCAGTGTCTCTGTGTGACCACATCTTGTGATTCCTAGGCCTGGAATTACAGAGAGCTGGCGACTCTCCTCACTCTGGGTGAAAGTTTGGTCATGCCGGGGACTTGGGTCTGTAGCCAGCGCCTCTAACAACTGAGCCATCCTCACACCATTAGATCCTAGTTCCAAGCTATTTAAATTTCATACCCAAAACAAGGCAGATATTTTGTGTATCCACATAAAATCTTGTATGCAATCAGATGACTGCCAAGAAAAATGCTACCTTGGGGTACTTTATCATGTCTACAGCATCTGGGTTGATCCTTGAAAAACCACCAAGAGGAGAACCAGGCTCATATGCTTTATACAATTTTTTCTCATGTTTGTATGCAAAAAGCTTCCACTCTTTTGTTCCATTGAACAGACAGTTTAAAGCATTAAATGCATCTTTGTGGAGCAAACTGCTGGTATTTCCACCACTCATCCATAAGTCTATCTCAACGAAGTTCTTTAGCACGGGTCCACATGTCATAAAGGATGGAACAACAACCTCATGCCATGTCGGAGTGGGCAGCTCTGACACTAAATATTTGTTTGTAATGTGGTACGTGTCTATGAAATTTTTAAGCGAGTCACGTCCCATCCCAATACTTCCGATTGGAACGTAACCTTCCTTTTCGGTTTTTGCCTCCATTCTTACTTCCAATTCTGGGTAGGTTTTAGCAATATATTCATCAGTCCATTTTTCTAGCATTGGAGAGTTCTTTAAGATTCCTCTGAAAACAACAGGCTTTGAAGGAAAAACATAGCGTTCCATGAACTCCTTTGCACTAGGCACATCGGATCTCTCTTCGACTTCACTTGGCGATGTATGCGAACCAAGTGGCAGTAAGTGTCCCGTTGCTGGGACACTTTTTTCGGAACAGCTACCATCTCTGTGTTCAAGAAAGAATATCAGCAGTATAACGAAATAACAGGCTGCCATTTTCCTTGGATCCACTATGGTGCAAGAAACTCAGAATATCAGGACCATCGGTTCTTTGTTGGAACTCTTCCTGTTCTCGATTTTCCTGCCTGTTTTCTTTCTGGCAACCTCGGTTCTATATATGACAAAGAGGCGGGAAGGCGGAACTTGATGAGATGGAAAATCAAAATTTGCCGCAGATGTTGAACTGGGGTTGCGGGGCTTAGGGGGCTTTTGCCAATCCCAGTTTCTACGTTCTGGTATTTTTTTGCACACATCCCTGACCTCACGGTCTCCTTTTAACAATATTGATAAAACAGTAGTGTATAATGAAAATCAAACTGGAATACATAGCAAATTACTTTTACGAAGAAGCTGTTACAATTAGTCCTCCCTGCATATGCACATCTTCTTGAAGAAGCTGTTACAATTAAACCAATGATAGTTGTTGGCGGACTCTGGTATCAACACCACTCCTCTCTTTATTATTTAGAAGAGTTTCTTAACCTTTGATAGCTGAAGATGCACCAGGTTTATTTAACGTTTAGAAGATTTAATGACAGAATCTATCCTTTAAAAAGAACTCCAATCATAAACATAGTCTGTGAAAGAAGATAATCCTCGTGGCTTGCATTCGAAATCAGAGGTCACCTTGTACCACTTCGAAACAAGCCCAAGAACTGCGAAACCGAGCTTCGAGGGGTCTAGGGGGCATAGTTTTCCCAAATAATTCCCAAAATCATGTAATTAATTATTTTGCTCTTTGCTCTTGGCAAGATAAAACATTTTTGACCCCCACCCCGATTCGTAAGGCGATCAGCAGTCCCTTGCTTGAAAAGGCTCTTGCACCAAATAAGGAAAAAAGTTAGAATGTTAAAATAATTATTAGAATTGGCATCTAATATTAATTTCTTTTAAGTCTCTGCACATGTCTGTCTTTTTAACCATAAAATTTTCAATAAAATTAATTTAGTAAGAGATAGAGGGATGCTGAAAGTGTTCAAGCAACCATACAACAAAAACTAAACACACACAAAAAAGAACAAACAGTAACTATTTGTATTGTTTTCATTGACAATATGAGCCTTTTATTCTAACATTAAAATGGTTTTAAACCGGCTCTGTGTAATCACCTCAACAAGCCGAATGCACCGTAACGATCGATTCAGAGTTTAGAATTTCCTCTGAAAATTTGTGGGAAAGCTAGCCTAGTTTTGGCATCCATAAATTTGAACTGTAATTGATTTTGATATAGAATATTAAATGTTGCTCCCTTAAAATTCGAAAACCCAAAGTTATCTTAATGGTTTGCTAACATTCAACTCAATCAGAAAAATGGAACATCTCATACACTATAAATGTTCATGGCGTCCGAAGCTTGGAAGAGCTCCAGGAGGTTTCAAAATTTCTCTGTCTGTCTAGCAAGAAAATACAGGCAAATTTTTACTTAAAAATGCAAATGGGCGTATTATTTCACAACCATGTATGTGGCTAAAATGGAAAGTGAGAACATAAAGATTGGAATCCTCCCAAACGGTCTCTTCTATCAATATGATTCGATGTAACTAAGATAGCTTGTCTATATGGTTGACCTGTTGCATATTGGCATCAATAGTGACAGTTCTCAGACACCACCGGCTATAGTACATTTCGGTGACCATACTCTACATAAATAATGATAATTACTGCTACTAAATCTGTTCCATAAATTATTCTCCACCCATTGAGGACTGGTTTGCTGTCGACTTTCCACCTTCTTCGGCACCCATTATAAATGAATCAATGTCAATAAGGGACTGGTGGACATCAAAAACCGGTGCATTCGAAAGTGAGGCTGAAGAGCTCACGACCATAGAAGGGTCTAAAAAGAGAAAAATGGAAGTCTAAAAACGTGGAGTCTAAGTAGAGAAAAAGTGCACGCTACAACGTCATTGTATGTGTGCTGATACCTTTGCAATGAATAAAAAAGCTGTAGCCAGGGTAAAGTGATATCGTTCCGCATTTACAGTTGAAGCCATGGCTGAATGGGCGTTATGTGAAACGACCAATAAAACGTAATAATGACATAAACTAAAAGGGGATAAGGTACGTGGCACGTGGTTTCTAGATGCAAAAGAGAAAAAATTACTCTTGAGCAACTGACACGATCATCACGATGGAATATCGTATAGGGAAAAATAAGGGACTAAATTAAAAACTTCAGCAGACCATTATTTTAAGAATTTGACGTAAATGCAAAGAAGATGAAAGGAATGTAAGGGTCTCGATTTCGTGTGTCAGATTGATGAAGCACAAAAGCAAAGCGCTTTTAGGTGCGATCTCAACAAACTCTTTAACATATTTACAATTCACTCTGAAAAAGGAACATTCTGGCTTTCAGATATCTACTCACAACTACAACTAACTGAACAAATGAAACGCAGAAAGCATGAAAACCCTCTGCAAGATTGTGCATACGACAGAAATCTGATTACGACAAAAATACCAACCAATGGCAGCCCCCTGAACGCCGCTTAACGAGTCATCAACACCGAAGCTTATATTTGAGCCTCCGGATATTGCATCCAAATCAAATGCTTCTACTTGATTCTCTGAGACACCTGAAGTGAACAAAGCTGAATGCTCAATAAGTGATGAGAAAAGCAACCAATTACAACATTATTAAAAGTTGCGCTACAATATATGATACAGTATTCACATTTATTTCATATTTATAAATAATTTAAATCAAGTATCTATGAAAGAAACATTTCAGTTAAATGAACTTGCATATAATTTACGAAATCAATCGTTTATACAAAAAAGCCGAACACTGTTATTCATGGGCTAGATACACTATCCTATAGATGTAATGAATTGTGGAATTCTATACCATTAGACATTCGGTCGACAGAAAATTTTAAAGCATTCAAAACTAAAATCAAACAAGTGGATCTTACTCACTCGTGTAGACTCTGCACACCACATATTTTTAATATTGGACACTTGTAGACATCACGATTTTTCTTAGTTATTTTTGTTATTGTTACAAGTTGGATAGGATAGGTTTAGATAGGATAGGAGCTGGATAGGTTTGAAGCACAATGGTTAGATTCATAACAGAATATAAGCAATGTCACATTTTGATATCAAATGATACATTTTATTGAAGACTAACCTTCTGTTGATGTTATACCAGAGAATCCATCTGGAAACGTGGAGCCAGCAATTCCAAGCTGAGTTACTAAACCACTACCCATCAACGACGAAACATCGATGCTTGGGCCTAAAAGACCTTCCAACTCACCAACCGAATTTATGCTTATTGCATTTGTGGATAAATTATCAACTGAAAGATCGAAAGGCATGTTGCTAGTTGTAAATGAAAGGTCTCTTGGTTGTTGGCCTTGAATGGCCTGATTCTCAGTGATCAATTGGGCCCCATCTGTGAAAAAGAGCATGATTTCATGTTATCATAGAAATTGATTTTCAGTGCCTGCCATAGTGCGTTGACAAAGTAATAAACTATTTATCACTCTAAACGCGGACATATAACCTAAATATAAAAAGGCCTTTGTGACCGACTTCTCAAAAAAACCAAACAGAGAACAACGAGGAAACTTATTTAGCATTGTAGTAGGTTTTGGCAAAACAGCTGATTGCTGCGACATTGATACTGTCGATCGTATATGAAAGAATGGGGCTATATAGATCCTAAGATCAAAAATTAAAAGAAGGGTAGTAAATCGTCAAGTTCACTTTTACACCCGACAACTTTCATAGAATGAATTTGCTTAAAATGTCATTCCGCTAACAGTCTGGGACGAAACTAGTAAAACGTTGTTTGAAAATTTGGCACTGAAATACATTAAAAAACACTTTGACTATGGCACAGACTACCAATAAACATTAAACAAATCAGCTGTCATTTTGGGTTTGGACATTCTTATCTTTTATCGCATGTTTTGAAAATTCAGTTAGCTTTGATGGACATAATTTCATTTCTTATCATTTTTAACAATTTCCTGAAGGTGGTTAATGAGAACAGCCACAATATTCATAGGCAGCAAGTTCCCTGCAAAGGAACATTTTCTGTAGACATAAATTTTTTGCATTTCACCTTTTTTACAAAGAAACGGCCATAATAAGGTTAAGAGGACACAAGTAGTGGCCCGAAATGGTTCTTCCGAGATATTCAGAAAAGGACAGGCATTCATTCCAAAGCAGCTTTCTCAGGAAATGGTAACACACCAATTAGGCCAATTTCGTGGCCGACGATCACAGGAAGCAGCAACATTGGGCCATTTTAACGCGGTTTCTTTATCCGCTCCACTTAAAACATAATTTAAAAACCAAAGGAATTTCTAAGAAGAATATATCGAGCTGTATCAACAACCTCGACAAGATACAAAACGCTCTGCACAAGTAAACCTGATAAAGGGCGAACATATAAATAACCAGGCATATGAAATATGCAGTCATTAAAATAAATGGCTGCATATTTCATTTAAATCAAATGTTTGGCAAAGTAAAGTAAATTCTGAATAAAACGCATTTCTTAAACACGTGTATGGATTAATTTTGCCATTTGATGCAGCATGAACATAAAAATTAAAAAAAAAAAATATTGTCCCTCCCCAATATCTAGCAAGCCCGTCTTCAAACAGTAGGCATTGGGCCCTCTGTATAGACGATCTGAAACTGGGATTTACCTCGCTTAGAACTGACACCTGATTGGTCAAGAATTTGCTTAGCATCGTCTGCTAAACTCTCAGCAATTGTTTGTGCATCCGATTCTTCTAAAACGTCGAAATTCGACTTTTCCTTGTCGATCTCATACTCATCTCCGTCACGCTTTCTTTTCAAAGTTATCTTTGGTAACTTCATAGTTCTAGATTTAGGAGTACCGGGTGTTGCTGGCTTCCCCAATGGGTCTTTTCCTTTCTTGGGTGACGCAAATGCTGGCTTTGTGTATCCACCTGGAAGGGTAGCTGCTAGATCCGGGACTGGAAACTGAAAGGAAGACCCGGATGCTGAGTCCGAGCCTAAAGAGAAGGTCGGAAGAAGGTTTGTACGAATACCAGGTGATACCAAAGGTATTGAACCGGAATTATCCATTGTGAAAGACGGAATAAGTAGCTTCAGCTGTTTGGGTCGGGATGATTCATCTTTGGAAGTAGGGACATCCACATCAGCTGACTTGCTAGGTACAAAGCACGCAGCCTTTCTCAGTATACATCGCATCGTAATCGGTATTGACAGGCATCTGCAATGAAACATCACAATACAATGCAGCCGTTACTCTATGGAAAGAGTTCTGAATAAATAATTTTCATTTATTGGTATGCAGGCCGAGATGGCCCTAATGAATTAACGAATCGTTAGTTACAAGAAGAAACTGGAAGCAACATATAAACAGCAAGTTTTTTTTCCGAACTGTCAACCAATTCTTAGCTAGATATTTCCCGGTACGAAATTGATCAAAGTTTGGTGTCATTCATACAAGAGAAACACCTCTTGATAGATATAGACAAAAAGGTAGTGGGTGAAAACTGATCACTTGACATAACAGTTGAAAACAAGAATGGAAAGCAATTAACCAAAGTTTTGGACACTTCAAAAAGCCTATTATGCACTCACAAGAGCAACTGTGCATCTTAATGTATTTAATTTCTTGATTTTTGAGATATGGCTGTTGTGCAATTCTCACCTGTTGACGACATTTTCCATGTACACCTGGCTGCAAAATACAGGGGCCCCAGGTGCTGTAATCAAGGTTGCTTGCACATTTCGATGTGAGGAAACAACAAAATTGACTGAAAAAAATGAGAACAGATTAGATTACGAGCTTCTTAATGCTTTGTATGTTTACACTTTGCTCTGGGTTCGGTTTGAAAATAGCACTCAATTTAGGAAAAACCTGCATTAAAAACGACTAGAAGCGAAAATTTTACAAAACCTTTAGACAAGCTTTAGACAGCCAGCTTTTTCAGCATAAAGTCTACAACATCTAAGATTTATAGACTAATTATCTTATTCACAGCCCTTCAGACGACGGAAAAAATACAACTGCATCCGATAAACTCATTTCTGAGTCTAAGCTAACACATTTAATCTAGTTGCATTGATGTTAATTTAGAGCAACGGTACAAAATCAATAGAATTTGTTTGAAACTATGCAAAGCAACAGTCTAATTGAACTTTTTTTGAATTATACAGACAAAAGTTTGTAATTATCAATTTAGATATGGGAGCAACAAAGAACCTTTGTCCAGAATCAAATGTTTTGGCCTTCTTTGGCGGACTAACCTCATGAAGGTGGCATTGCTCCGTACGCTCAACGCGGTTAGGAACCCACGCAAATTTCTACTAATCAAGACAAACTTGGCCCGTGGGTAAATGAGATTTTAACTTGTGGCCAGAAGAGATGTTTTGAAATAGTAGTTGCTTCTAATTAAGTTAAAGACTATTTAAGGAATGGCTTAGGCCTTACCCAATTCTCCTATCGCATCGGTTCAGCGCTAACCAACAAAACAATGATCTCTAAATCCCATGAGACATTTCATTTACAGATAAGAGCGTTTTCATGGTGAATTGAAACATTAAGATTAAGTTTTGTCGGCTTCGGCCTATCTTAACCATAACATAGAGAAAAGTGGTTACTCTACAGACAAATTCAATTAAAACAAACTTACTGTTTTTCATAAAATTTTAAGGGAACAGTTAAATTGCCTTTAAGATGCATTTTAGTTGGTTTTCGGTCACATTATATGAGGCAGTTTTAGTATTGACCTTAGGAATACTATTTTCAAGCAGAGAAGTGACGCATATCTGCTTTCATCATTGTCAAGTAGCACCAATAATTTTAAAGAAGAAGTAATTCCTGTGATAACCAGTCAGTGTGGTCCTTGCGTTGGTTTTCACGCCCTGAAGTGACGATCGTGATAAAGATTAGCAGCCAAACTCACGAAAACCTCACAAACACTGCGTTGTTATTTCATATTTTACCAAAGAATTAACCATATCCTATCTTCTAAATTGCAACGTACACCTTTTCGTAGAAAAACAACCAATTCGACAATATTTATCAGCAAACGAAAACCAGCTTTAGCAAAAGGTCGTCGATACAAATACGGAAACAAAGAAAAGGAGTAAATAAAGATTGGAACTGGGACAATAATCCTTTCCTTAGACAGGTAAAGTCTGTACTAAACAATAGTGTACGTTCTATCAGCATCCTATTATCTGAAGGCAGGGCCACACATTTTACAGAAGGCTTGAAATTTCAAAATTGTCTTGAATGACATTTCGTAATCGTGATTTTTTGATCTTTTTTCACAAGATATAACCTCGTGCTTCGGTAAAACCCTATTCCCTTCATGAATATTTAACTCAACTAAGCAGTGTTGATAAAAAGAGCAGTCCTGTTATCTTTGACGAAATCGATGTCATGTAATCCCTAGCGTAACTGCTCCATTGTAAAAGGGCTATTCTATTTTTGAAAACCTTTTCCAACGGGCATATTCCACTGATAACTGCTTTGATCGTCGCAGTTATGGCTAGCCCCTCTTTACAAGGATAAAAAACAGTTTGGTGGAAACAGCAATGAATTTTTTGAATGTAAAATAAATAGCAGAAAAATTTCCAATCTTAACCCAGAATCTTCAAAACTTTTTACCTATTGTTCAAAATCCATTTCTCTCATCTCCAAAATCCCATATAAGTTCTAAAGACATATTTAATCAGTTCTAAATCAAAGGTCAAATCTTTTGCTTCGACATAAAACAAAGTCAGTTAGTGGAGATATCAGCAACATAAATTAGTTGCATCACCTATTATTGCAAGCTAATTTATACTGTTGTTAAAAATCTTATCTAAAATGATCTTTTTCTCAAAAAAACAAGGACATGAAAATCAGATAAAATAGGGCTTGTGAATGAAAATACGAACAGAAAGAAGTCTTTGAAAAATAGAGTGTGGTAAAAATCTAACTGATTTCCTTCTTGTTTTTTCAGACAAATGGTTCAAGTCATTTATTAGGCTGACCTATCGGCTAAAAGACCTCTTCTCTTGAGATGCAGCTGCTATCAACGCTGAAGGGATCTTGTCGAGATTGACAGCGGTAATGAATTGATCTAATAGATCTAAGTTTCATCCGTTAGAAAAAGAACCAACGAAAATTCAAAATACCTGAACACATGCTCATGTGAAGAGGATGCTGAAAAGATACTTCAATGGAACTTGAATCTGTGGCTTTCACGTCAAAATACTTTAAATTCTCTTTACCTGAAAATGTTGTTCAATTTAAAGATCTTTTATTGAAGATATTTCTCAAAACAAAACGAATCGAAAAACATTACTTGCAGGTTAAGTTAGCAGAGTTGAAAAAGCTATGATATGACGGGCAAGGGAAAAATGATGTGTCACAAAAACAGCCATGAAGTAAATCCAATATGATACATAGAGTACGAAATGCAGACATCCAATGCAATGATTTTAAAGTGCAAGTTTAACTCAAGATTCATTGATCTCATTCACTCAAGATTCTACTATGACTTGCAAGAACATGATCAACAGTTGCAATTAGACGACTCCTGTAACATGAAAACTGCTAAACTCATAATAGTCTTATGAAGTATCAATTTGCATCTACTTATTGATGGCACTGATCCCCTTGAATTTGGCATTAGGATTGCCTGTGCTGCAGAACGTTCATCGTAAGACACAGTTGAATTAGAATTCTTTATTGAGTTTTTCATATCTAAAGTTTGTTGCAGTGCTGATTATTGCTTGAGTGTAGTTTTCATTACTTTGCTGTTTTTCAGAATCTCATTCTATTTCGTTGCAAGAAAAAGTTTAATTGATTTTAAATAATCAGAACTCTATTATCTTCCAAAATGATAGATGTGTTATATGAAATAAAATGTCTTTGAGGCATTGTAAGATTAATTCAAGTGTCTTAAGGTGATTGCTTTGAGCTCAGAAATGTAAGAGGCTTTCTGATATGGGCTGTTATTTTAACAGGTTTATGCACTAAGATGTTACCTATCAATGAGTGATTTCCCATTGAACTGGTCTATATTGAAGTAAGATACTTAACTTGTTTGCTTTGGAAAAAATCGAAGTTTCTTTAATTGTAGGAAACACATGTCATGATGTCATGAATAAAATTTTCATCGTCACCCATTCATGGTAAATCCATTTATAAACTTCGTGAACCATTAAATTTCATAAAAACCGAAATCAATGCCGAACAGAAAGGAACAATATATTATACCCCACTTGCAGAGTCTGTGAACACTTTGTAACAAAAAAATACCTACCCAGAACTTCTGTTTGTTTCCCTGTGCAACTAGTAAGCAACAAATTGTACACCGCCTGCCTTCTGAGAACCTATGATCATCAGAAATAGGTACAAAGATTCATATATGTTAAAAAATGCGGAAAAATTACATAGCAATACAAAAATCCTTACAACTGCTGGACTATAAAATTAAGCGTAAGCAAATTATGACGTTTGAAAGTTAAGCTTTTTCGTCTAGCAGTGACTCTATTAAAAACATTAACAGAAAAGGTTACAGAATTGCAAGTTAATTACCACACAAGTTTGGAACAAGCTGGTACGTACCTTAATGATCAAGGGTACCTGACTCGGATGCTGAAATGGCAGTCGCACAATAACAAACCCAATGTTGGCAGCAGTATCTGAAGGTGAGATTCGATAAACGTGGCCTTCATCTGGCAGGGTCTTCCAAGGAGTGAAAGAAAGTCAAGTCAATAACTTAACAGAGAACATAAACTTAACACAACATAACTTTACATCGCTTGATTGAAAATATTATCTTTAAAATATATATGCAAAAACAGTTTTGAATGCAAACATGAGGTTAGATAACAAATCAAAACCTAAAATAAGCAGGTTACAAGAAAGTTCAGTTCAGTTGACTCTAGTCTATATTTTTAAAATCTCACACATAAATAAAGATAAAATCAAGACATAAGTTAATTACTAAAAGCTAAATGCAAAAACACAAACCAACAATAGACATTCCTTGAAGAAGGAGCTCTTTAAGAAGACACACTAGCGTGAAGAGAGCCTTTACCTCCCCCCCCCCCCCCTAAAGGTTAGCTATGCAAGAAACACCAAGCCATCCATTGAAAATGAAAAACATCCTGGAAAAGGAGGCTAGAGGGAAATGATCGTAAATTCAAAAACTTACTACAAGGAGCGGTTTACGGCTCCAATCTTCGCGGCTTTTCATATTCAACTCCTGGCAGAAAAACATAAACTGGGGTAAGCAATTAATCATCGAGCAATTGCTGGAAAAATTAATACTTTTAACTAACTAAATTATAACAGAGAGTGGCATTTAATTATATGTAAAATGACAAACAGGTACATAGCCTTTTCTGGTATTGGTGTGCATTTTTAATTAAGAAAATAATTTACAAACATTAGTTGCTTTTTTAAAAAAACGGAAAGAGTGAGAAAACGCATGCCGTCCGATAAACATTACAACGAATACTACTTGCAGCTTTGCCAATGCGTTCAAGTGCAAAGACGTGATTCATTTACTGGAGTAATGCATTCATACTGCCACTTGGATATGTAGAGATTCGGTACAACTTTGGTGTTCTTTAATCTTTAGTCTAAGATGGTCTTTACAATCAAAAATTAAAACAACGACGTTACATTACATTTTATATAACAATTGTTATTTTTTAAATTTGTAAGTGAAGCAAAGCAAGCAAACTATAAAACTAGATGTATTTTAATTTATCTGTATATATTTACATCTACTAATTCGTACTTCTACTAGTCTTGGTGTCTATGAAATTATACATTATAAAGTGGTATTGAGTGAAGACCAGTACGCTGATAACTAACTAGGGATACAACAGATTTTTTTGCTTGCTGTGAAAGAATTTGCAAGCAAAGGATGTTTGGACATTCTGATCAGAAAAATTGGAGAAAAAAGAATTAATGACAATAATAATCAGAAAAAAGAATTGTACAGCTTAAATCATTTATAAGCAAGGTTAATTTTCCATACCTTTTTTATTACCAGGTTGTCCAATGAAGCCTCGGATGCATGCACGAATTGATCTGAGGCTAGAAGGGAAAAGTTCAAATCAATATCTATATTTGAATCGGTTCTGGGAAACTAATAATTCTCTACAAAACTTCAGAATCATTTATTAGAGTTATTCTTAGCATAGCATCTTTTGGTATGCTTTTTAAAGTTCTCCTCAGCACTTGAACGGTAATATGAAAATATCCCTTTGAAAGGCATGCATGTCACGTAATGACGACACAATAAGCAATAATTGCCTTAAGATGCATAACTCAAAATACAACTGTCCATTTCGTTGTTGTAAATTGATGAACATAAACTTTTACATCATTGGACAAATTGCGATACTGGTAAAATCTGGTGAGAAGCATGTTTATCTCATGATGTCCTTTAGTATAAGCGTTTGGTCTAATTCCCAAGGAAGCACAATGTTCCTTTGAAGTCGCTCTAAACTTAATCGAATCAAAGCGATATTGAACATTCCACCTTCGATCAATTTGGTTCAAAGACGGTCTTTGAAAATCTTTTTGGGCATAGATTCAGAGGAACAGAAACAACGTGAACCTTTATAGCGTTAAGGGTAAGTTCTGCGGTTGTGTCAACGCTTTTGAACGATGACAACATCTTTCGAGACATCACGTTTCAGTAAAGATAACAAACGTAAATGTTCTCGACACAAGCTAAAGACACTTCTTGCCTTATGCAAGTTTTCTTAGTTTCAAAAGGAAATGGAAATTCTATTAAATGCATAAAATTTTACCAAAAGCCAGCTTCGGCCAAGCCGAAAGTTTTCTCTGACTTTGTTTGTGACCCAAATATTTAAATCAAAGCTTAACACAACAACACCAAGATGCTTCAACAAGAAGAGACGCTTTCGATGTATATAACAGGACGGTTCTTGGTAGCTACCCTAAGTTTCTTCCCCAACTTAGAACCGTTTTTGCCTATACGACTTTATGACAGACCTGTAAGACAGTATTTTCAACACAAAGATAGATGTATTCCACGCACCTGATTTCGTTAATATTGTATGGATCTCATTCAAACAGCTCGCAGAGATTGGAAATGGTTTAGTCAGGCGCATGACCAAGGAAGCAGGCAGCTCGTCACTGTTATTGCTGTCTAAATTACCATACCTTACCCTAAAATGAGAAAAGCAAAAATTTAAAAATCCACAAAACGAAGAAAAAATTGCACTTTGATATGAAGGTGTAGGCAGCATAACAATAGAAATTAAACTGATATGATTTTAAGTCGTTTCAACAAATATATGGTACAGAAGAAATTGAAATGATGCCAAATAGAAGTACCAAACAAAAAATAACCAGTCTGTACGCTAGGCCAGCTTTGGTAATCAAAATTTGCTAAATGACGATACCAGACTTTACACCTTCTGTTATAAATACAATAACTTAATGAGAAAAAAAAGCAGCGTATCGATAAACAGTTTTAAAAATTTGACTGGATACAAAAGTTAAAAAGTTAAAAAGCAGATGGGATAAAACTGTAGCTATCAGATACATTGATAAAGAGATTCTGAATCTTTTAAAAGAAGTTACGGTTACAAATGTGAATACCTATTTTGATCATCAACAATGACGAGACTCGAAGTAGGAAGACGATATGTGTTTGCAGATTCAACGGCGATTTCCGACGATAGCCCGAAGTCTCTTGAAATCACTGTCAAAAAAAGTGTATATCAACGAAAAACTATACCTAAACATTCTTAGAACTTACACCACAAGCAAGACCCTATATTTCATGGTTATCTTATTCAACGTTATGAAAAGCAGGGTTACAAGTGAATGGTATATAGCTGAAAAGTATAATATGAATTTTATCTTTAATATCCTTAAAAAGGGAGCTTGGAAAGGCAAAGCATCTATATAAACATTTCTATCAGTAGAACTTTAATAAAATGAATCGATATATTGCTCTTATATGACGCCATGCATTAGATGAAAAACATTGTTTTTGAAACTTCATTTAAACTTACATCCAAATTCGTACTAAAAGTTATATTTCTATGGAATAAGGGATTTTTCAGAGGCTGATATAAAATTTCGACCCAATAACCTTCGAAAGATCTATGCTCATTTTTTGTGTATAAAGAAAATATAGGCTCTATATCAGCAAATACAGTATCTGGGGAAAATATCAAACCTGCTTTGATCAAGGGAATTGTTTACAGTAACCCTAATTCTCTCTGATTACAGCCACATTTCACAAGCAACGTTTACTGTAGCTTATCAAGCAATATTTCAAGAGACTTACAACTGGGATCAGATGTGCTTCTAAAGAAAAACGCCAGACTTACCATTATTTTCAGAGCTTGAAACCTGGCTTTGCTTACAAGTAATTTCAATTGGGTTTGCGAAAAAAGTCAACTGCATGAGTTGGCCTAAAAACAAAAAGCTCTAAATATTCAATATATTGGGATCTGTTGAAATGCACAACAGAATAATTAACGCTAGGAAAATACATCAGCAATACTGGCGTTAAATGATTTTTCAGCTACATGTCACAACAACATCACTGCAACACTCAGGGGAGTGAACAACATTAGGATAAAAATATGCATCCACAAGTATTGCATAAAAACTTGCTCCCTGCCTTTCTTTGATAGATTTTATGGTTCATCTTCGATGAAATGAGAATCAGAATAGGACCATATATAAAAGAGTGTTTTAGATAATTTCGAACGAAGGCTAGAGAGTATTGTCATGTGAAATAACCAATCAAATAGGTTGTTTGACCTAATAGGACATTTTGATGGACATAATGAGACCAGAATGCCGAACTAAAGAACGGAATGGAACGGATGTTGGGGAGACCACAGGACCACAGGCCAGCAGTGGTCTGAACAGTTAATGATGATGATGATGATGATAATGTTGAGGATGATGATAATGTTGAGGATGATGATGATGATGATGATGATAACGATGATGATGATGATGATGATGATGATGATAATGATGACGATTGATGATGATTGATGATGATGATAATGATGATGATGATAATGTTGAGGATGATGATGATGATGATAATGTTGAGGATGATGATGATGATGATGTTGAGGATGAAGATAATGATGATGATTATGATGATGATGATGATAATGTTGAGGATGATGATGATGATGATGATGATGATGATGATGATGATAATGTTGAGGATGAAGATGATGATGATGATGATGATGATGATGATAATGTTGAGGATGATGATGATGATGATGATGATAATGTTGAGGATGATGATGATGATGATGATAATGTTGAGGATGATGATGATGATGATAATGTTGAGGATGATGATGATGATGATGTTGAGGATGATGATGATGATGATTATGATGATGATTGATGATGATGATTGATGATGATGATGATGATGATGATGATGATGATGATGATGTTGAGGATGAAGATGATGATGATGATGATAATGTTGAGGATGATGATGATGATGATGATGATGGTAGCCAAAAGATTTCTTAGAAAACTGCTTAGTTTCTAGTTATCTAATGTTTCATTAATATCCGGCTATTCAAGTGTTTGATGAAAAGGGATTTTAGCATACACACAAAGAATATTTCTACTTCTCTGTTATTTTAAAGTCGTATTGAAATGATCTTACCTCCTTGTCGTTGAAAAATGTATCCTACAAGACTGTTATTCAAAGCCTCCAGCTCATCAAGAAACCTAAGTGCAGAATGTACATAAATTTGAACATATGGAAGCTATTTGGCGGCCTGGATTGGAAGGAATAAATGACAGAAATCTGGAAAGATATTTCGTTGAAAATTTGGGATGACAAGTTACTAATTTGTTCCCATACTTGATGCCAGACACACAAAATCTGTAGAAAGGCTTAAGCTGTTGATATTTTTGCCAAAATGCTTTAACTTTTGGTGTTTACCACATTGGTGTTGTTTTTTAAGCGTTAAGTCACTTATATTTTTACTTTGATAAACAGCTGCAACCAGGTGTTCCGTAAAAAAACAAAGCCATAACATGCAACCTTTTCAAAACATACTTAAAAGATCCTTAAGTATATCTACAGAGAAACTGAAAAACCCCGTGAACCAAAGCGATCTCCTTCCCCGCAACCTTCTGGCCATTCTTAGAGATCCAGGGTACACAGAAAATATCCTATGATTGGGTTGTGCATTACATGTATTTAAATACAGGAACCTTCCTCCTAATGAAAACTCGTTGTCGAAAGATCAGAAGAATAGAACCGTAGGAATTTCGCCTAAAATTCTTAGAAGGAAAATCATCAAGTGCATGCAGCTATGCATACGCAACAAGCTCAGTCATTTTATGAGGTCCAGTTCACAAAGTGTTACGAAATGAATAGACAAGGTCTTCATTTTCAGTTAACATATCACAAAAGATTATAGGTTTTGGCTTGTAATTTGTACTTCTTTCGAGGCTTTTTTAAACCTACTCACTTTCCAAAAGCGACTAGGTAATTTAAGTGCTATATTTTTCAGAGGTGGCCATCACAGAAATTGACCGTGATCACACTATTGTAGCCCTGGATCTTGATTGTTGGATACATTTTGAAAAGATGTGTTCTTCAGTGAGCTGGTTAAAGTATTTCAAAAAATCAGGTAAGCAGAGCTACTGCAATTCAACGAGAAACAGATAACTCGTTGATATACTTCGAAGATTTAGAATCACTCTGAGATAATCGGAAAAACAATATTTTCAAAAAATATATTTGTTCAAAAAAATATATTAAAAAATACCCAACAAATTATTATAAAAAATATATTTCAAAAAATATATTCTTAAAATTATATTTTTATGATAACGATAAATATATTCAACTATAAAAGACTTGATAATCGATTGTAAGAAAGAGCCAAAGTCCTTTAAGTACTGGTAATTTTGTATTTTCACATCTACTCATACAGCATTCTTTGCATTAAGATAAACAAGAAGGATCAAATAAGAGCGGAGATCAAATAAACATGTGGTAATAAACGTTAAGATATTCACGTCTATAATCAATAAGTAGATTAGCAAAATCTGATTAAAACAGATTGATTTAAAACAACTTACCCTTCTTTAACTCTCGACAATTTAATAATATCTGTTTCCACGGCCTCTAATGCAGCAAATATTTGTGATGATTTCATAAACCTTAAAAATAAAATAGTGTCGGTTGATATACATCAAAGAAAGTGGAAAGCCTTTCAAAAAATGCGAACCTTGCTAATTATACACCCCCCCCCCCTCCCTCCAAAGAATGGCTGCACTACCTTAGAGCTAGAAAAACCAAATGTGTTATTATCCTAAAAATACGTCAAAGTAGTGGTTCATGACATTTTATGAGACTTCAGCTGATGGGGTTCTACCTTTTTTTAAAAAAAGCAACGATAGTTTGTTGTAGTGCAAAGAGATGCTACTTCATCCTCCTTTACATGATTAACCTCGTAATCGTGTAATTTATGACACACTTTATTATACGATCGCATTATCAAATATGCGTATTCTTTTGACGAAGAAAATGAAAATGTTAACGTAGCTCTTTTCTCTTCGTCATAATTCCTTGATAAAAATCCCGGTACAAGGGCTAGAGAGTGGGCCATGGTGACCTCCTAGTTTGCACATTGAAAACGACCCAGTCTCTGTTCTGCCCTATTTACCTGCGTGTTCAAGAAGCATATCTACGCAAATCTCTTCTTAAGCCTGAAATCAAAGGAGCGATAATGCTAAACAGGATGGTATTTATGATCATGGGCAAGCTTGGCTTTAGAAGGTTTGACGCTAAGATAGCTATTCCCTCACAAGAAAGGACATCATCAAGATGTAATCAATCTGTTGTATCAGAAAAACAACTATAATCTATTCAAAATTGGATTTCGTATAAAAATATTCTGAGTTTCAATGCAACAAAACATATCTGAAAATAATGGGCTATTATGTCAGATCTGACCACTGATAGAATTCCCATGAAATGGGATACTCCATTATAATCTTCACTGAAAGCACTGCAGACATCCTCAAGAAATAGCACTTGAATTACACAGTGCCAGTACCCCTTGATAATGCAGGCAACAACGACGATCCTAATCCTGTTTTTGTTAATGGTCTGTTACACAGATCAATATCAATTCTATTTTGAAATAAGAACGATCAAGTGTCTGTTTACTGTTAAAAAAGGCGAGGAGTAATTGAAGAATGAACTAAGAGCAATTTCCATCCCATGATAACTCATCAACGTAACAAGATAAAGAAGTTGAATGAAGCTAACTGTATCAAGGAAATTCTTTAATAGCTAATCGCTGCTTAATTTGTAAAAAAGTATCTTACATTTGCCATAGTTGATAAGGACGCCAGTTAAAGATACAAATCAGATGGAAGTAAAGCTTTCTTTTCGATTTTTGTCTGTAGCTGATGGCTTTCAAAATAAATAAAGTGAATTAGTCTGTTTTAACAAGGCTTAATCCAAATAGTTTACAAATTTACTCAAAAGACTTTCACATATGCTGCTACTTATCTAATGGTCATATCTTTGACAGTATCAAATTTTCAAATTACACCAATGGGCTTTCTGATTTTATTTCACAAAACGATTTTAGCCTAATCCAATCAAATCAATGAAGGTGCTTACATTAAGAAGAGTTCACAAAGCCATAAAGTCAGAAGAAAAACAGACAAACTGATGGGATTTCTCAAAGAGCGGAATCTAGGTGTGGTAGATGCCTTTTTGAAGCATGGCGACAGCAGATACAAAGATGACAGGATAGACAGGATTTCTCTGCTTCTGTCGCACACGCCTGATAAAAACCAGGCTTTCCAAGCAACGGAAAATGGATGATTTAAACTATCCTTTATGCATTTTGACATTTTGACCGAGAAAGATTGTCAACAAAAGAGACGAAGATTAAATCGATACGATATCGCTTATCCCAAAACATCATCAGTTCATGCGACGCTGGCAAATAATGGATAAAAATGTATTAGACAAAGGTGACTGCAATGTCAATTAACGATCTACATAACTGCACAGATAAGCAGGATAGAGGTAGCCTCGTTCCTCGGTCAGCCTCGTAAAAGTGTCAGATCAATTAATCAAACCGAGAGTAGCGGAATGTTCCATAGCTTCGAGTTTTGATTAGCTTGTCTCTACCTCACAAGGAATAAATCTGGCCTTTCAAGTGATTATTCTGCCATTCCTCCGGAAGTCACTACCATTAATCTTAATATCTGACAAAGCTTCAGTAAATATACATATCTGACCATTTTAAGATAAACGTTCAGCTGGACAACTAGACGGGTTTTACAGGTAATCAGTTCTTATGGAGTTGGTTCTTAAAATAAAATGTAGACCAACTAAAGCATAGTTTTAGGAATCAAATTTCATTCATTAAAATCAGTCACATATCTATGAAACTGTCGCTTGCAATTTCCCTTCCTTTTCTTGCAAAATTTCGACCATATTGAAGGTGATAATCGCCCACTAAAATCTTTAGGCCCCTTTAAATCAAAGCATCACAATTTTCTCTCGTGATACAGAAGTTATGAACAGCTTCAAAAGACAAATATGAAATGAAAAGTACTCCAAACATCAGATATCATAATGTTTTGAGTAAAAACAGAATGTGTTATGTTGCTACACATGAACATACACAGTATTTAAAGAGTGGCTTGGCAAAAAGCAAATATCTTGGGTCATACTTAAGCTTTCCGTCTGACACTCTTCAGAGTATAAACGTCAGAACTTACATCGAAGACTCTACGCTAGAAAATATATATACCCAGTTGTGGATCGAAATAGGCTAATCAGAAAACACGATCAGTTTCAGTTTATAACTTTTTCGGTGCCGCTTGCCTATCAAAAATGTTACTAATGGAGAATGTTACCCAGGTGAAAACGAACTTCCTCTGTCTACATAATAGCAGTTATTTCATGTTTATGTAGATAGATTCCCAAACTGCTAAATGGAGCAACGCTTGGGCTCTACCATTAATCAAAACATCTTGCCATTGAATTTGTTTGCACAATCTGGGTTTTCTAGTAAATGCTGCCCGATAGCGGAATCGCATGTTTTACTTGTTGTTTTGATCTGCAAGACCGAGGAATGCCGCAATAAAATTCTACTTTTCCTATGATCAGGCTCGACTTATGTCAAGAGGTGTCTGAAGTAGAAAGCGCGTGTCGATTGAAAATTCTGAATTGTTCTGAATATCTTTCTTTTGTAAACATATTGTTGTCTTCCTACAGCTAAATATGAAGAAATTTCTGGGAATATATAATTCTGAACAGACGGTGTTAATATTGTGTATCCCTTCCTTCAGTTCTATGTTGATACACCTGCCATTACAATCAATACTTGGAATGAGGTGAAGGGACGGGGTAGATAAGTGGATACATTGGAGCATACCAGCATGCTGTTCTAATCCAATGCATTTCAAGAATGGTAGATAACCACATACTTATGATCAGGGCTTCTTTAACATTTTAGCCAGGGGGCGATGGCACCTCCAGCCCTTGCGGTTTTCCCTTACTTCAGAAAAAACCTACGTTTCACCAAGAACAAAGGTTTCGATCCCTACCTGTACAGACCATCATCATTTAAGGGCTTTTCACATGATATGCAAAATTTGATGGCACAATGTCAGTTAACCTTTGTTATCAGCACTAGGTCCAGAGGTATGAAGAAAACTGACATATTCTAGCCAACTCACGTGTCAACTTTTATTCTGTACAGATCAGCAAGCCCTTTTAGTCTGGTTTTGAACTCCTTGTAGTTCCGTTCTCTGGAAAGTAAATATAAATAAAAAGAAAATCGCCCTTGCTTATCAACAAACAATTAAAGACGTCAAAGAAAAATTAAGGCCAGCTAAAAAATTTATGTTAATGGTGTGGGGAATTTCAATTTTTCGGACGCTGTGTAGTAGCTTTAATTTTTCGATTCTGTTGATATGGATTATGAGTGAAGCAAGAGAGGAGAGAGACGGGGCAGAACAAACGCTGAGATGTGATTTTTGGCTGGGCCCATCGTCGTTAAATTTATCTAACAAACATTGCTGGAAAATATTGTGGGAATCAACAAAATTCACCAAAATGTAGGTTCAACTCAAATTCACAATTTAAAAAAAGTTCCACATTCTAACACCTATAAAAATTAGTATAATATTAGCATCGATAAGTTGCTTTTAACAAAGAATTTCTGCAAAATTATCTAATACTATACCATTTTATCAAAATGCTCTAATACTGTATCATTTTTATATCAAAAGTGTTTCATACTGTATCAATGCTGCATCACTACATCAAATTTGTCTAATACTGTACCATTTTATAAGATTGTCTAATACTGTATCACTATATCAAAATATTCTAATACAGTATCACTTTTGCATCAAAAGTGTTTAATACTTTCTCAATATTGTATAAAAAATTTCTAATGCTTAATCACTTTATCTAATTATCTAATACTTTGTCACAATATAAGATTTATCAAATACTGTATATAGTTATCATAATTGTATTGTACTGTATCATATTGTATCTAAACTGTACAAAATTGTCTCACTATCGCATTAAATTGTTTAATACTATATCGTTAATCTTAATTTTCTAATATTTTGCCACAATAAAATGATTGTCTAATACTGTATCACCATATCAGAATTGTGAAATACAGTGCCACTATTGCATGAAAATTTTCTAAAACTGTTTTAAGGAAAGAATAAAAGCATACCTCAATATGTCTGCCAGCTCTCGGCAGCTCTAAAAGAGAAGCAAGAACTACCAATTATCTGCGAAAACAAAAAATATTTCGACATCCTTTTACAAAGCATTCAGAATCAAACTTAAACTTCTTTTTAACTTTTTGGTCAGAAACAAGCACCATTTCTAGCAAATTTAAAGTAAATCTGCCTCCGACAGAATTGTGATTAAGTGAAACACCTTACAATCAGTGTCACTTTTCTAAGCCAAGCGAGTGTCCTTCGTAATTCCAGAAACACTATTTGTTTGATGTCTACCTCCGCCTTACCGAATCAGCGGAATAAACTAACGGCTAGTTGTTGCTACATCCTCGTTAATTAAAACTTTTGTGGCATTTCGAAGAAGGATAACTTAAGTTGATTGGGTCCGAAGAATTTCAATAGCACTAGTCGCAACTGATAGGCTGTTGTAGTTTTCACTCTTTCCAATTCAGCATGTAGTAAAAAATAACTCCAAGTTCCAAGGGATCCAGATTTATAGTTCCAAAGGAACCAGGTTGAAAACGAAGTTTTACCAAAGCATCATCATTATAATAAACAACATGTGAAAAGAGAGATGGGTTATCATCTTTACCGTTAAAGAAGCCATAACTTCCCCCGTGATATTAAGATACCACAAGTCGGTATAGGAATAGGGACCTGCAACCAAAACAACCATTGGTTGCTAACCAAAGAACAGCTCGTCAAATAAAACTTTCCAACATACTACGGTGTCCTATGTCTCTATTTCTAGATCATAGCCCTGAAGACTAAAATAAAAGGACACCTTCTATCACCAATCAGAGACATCTTTTATCATCACGTGGCATAAATGAGCATATCCACTACAGGTGTGGCTCTTCATCTAAGAGTGTTTATATGATAAATGGCAAACTTCTTTTATGATAATGATAGTGAGAGTGCAAAACCAGTACTAAGGCAAATCGGTGCAATCTGTTTTTGTGAACGATTGCTTTCAACCAAGTTACTAGAATATTTGGTCAAAAAATGAAGGGACACATTATGGCAAAGATTTAGAAGTTTTTACTGTTAAAAGGTCTATTCAAATGCTATAATTTTAATGCCTTTCGCTGAGCAGAAATAGAAAAAGAAAAAACCAACAGCAAATAACAATCAAATTTAATTGATGTTCATTCATACATTAATTTTTACTTCAATCATTCAACATTCCGGCCATCAAGTTTACATTTGTCAGTAGCTTTGATCCTGCTTCAGTACTATCTGCACAACAGATTGAAATGCTTTTAATATGTTACATTGGGAAGGTATGCCATAAAATATTTCGGGTAATCAATGATTAATTTTCAAAAACAAAACATGGTCAACAGAAATTGTATTTTCTCCAACAAGAAAGAAGGTCATTCATCCGTTTGTTTTTCAACATGATCAACAGTTACTTCCTTCTTCAGACGTCAAACATGGTATGCTCATGGTATGTTCGCAAAATACAGGTCACGATTAGTTTATTTCTTGTAACATAAAGCATGATCCATCATAAAATCTTTTCTTTAACATAAAAGATGGTCGGCTATAAGTTTTTTCTCAGACATCAGGCATGGATTATTTTTAATTCTTTTCTCCAACAACAACCTTTGTGTTTCCCATAATATTTTCCTTTCAAAAATCGAGCATGTTCCATTCACAGTTTCTTTCTTCCAGCGGTAAACAGTCTTCATTACTAGTTTCGTTTCATTACGTAACATAGGCCACTTTTAGTTTCCTTCCACAAGAACTAAACATGATCTGGCACCAGTTTCTTCCATCTAATACCAAAGTTCACTTAACGACTCTTTTCTCCAACATTTTAGATGGTTGATTTTTATTAAGATTTATTATCCTAATTCTTAGAAAGACTTACGTTTCAAGTACGACATATCAGTGCTTTCCTGAAATGACTAGGCTGTTTGCAAAGCTTACAGTCAACGGTGAAAATCAATGCGTTTGTGTTGCCTTCTTGCGAGCCGTCAAACTGGCACCAAAAAAAATTGTTGGATTGATGACTGATTTTAGATTGAAGACCAGCTGAACACTCAACAGGAGGAAAACGCTCATTTCAGCTGCAAAACATCTCAGGGAAGTGACGACTGCATACGGAAATGTGCACAGAACAGCACAATTTGTCATCAGGAAAGCGACGTAGAGGACTCTTTTTTCTACTGATTTTCTTGAAGCTCTACAAGCAGCATTCAGGTTAGGAAAAAGACGAGCTCTTTTTCGAAAAATTATCACTACAGTAATATTGAGAGCAATGATACAACTGACTCCAATGAGTATGAAGATCGATATGACAACTCGGCTACAGAATTTCGTTGTTTCGTCTTCATTCCTTCTAGTGAGAACATAAACGAGCAGCATTATTACTGAGATTGCCCAGCATACACTCAGGTTTGTTAGAACGGCTCTTTTTGACCTCCAGCGCCTGAATCGCAGGGGATATATGACAGCAACTGCTCGATCAAGTGTCAGAAATGCAGTACAGGTCAGTGAGGCGTATTGTCCGTATGACATTAGGAATCTCAGGAGAACTTCGTTTTTGCGTTGTTCCTTGGAAATAAAATCTTCAAACGCCATGTGACCTTTGAAAAAAAGATTAATGTATTATTTACAGGGAAAAATAATAGTGGAGATGAAAAGGCACATTGCGTACTAGTCAATATCAGGCAAGAGGTTCTACGAGAGATCAGGAAAATAGTCCAGATGACACTGGCTGGACTCTCTCAAAATTTGGCCCCAACAAAATCTACATATCCACTGAAAACTAGCGCTATTAAGATATATCATCCGAGTTATCAGCATAAAATTGATCGATATTCTGTAAATGATCGAGGTAGACCTTACTTGTTGCGAATATCAGCTTTCCGCAATATCAAACCCCCTGGACTTCCTATCAACTCTGCAAATGCATAAATGTAATGAAACATCAGTGTAAACGGGATACTTACCAAGCCCACCTACGCCAAGCAAAAAATCAGCAATGACCATATTCATGACGTACAGATAAGGACTGTCATTCCAGCTTGATCTCCCCATCTGTGATTTACAAATATAAATAATCGCAGCCAAGTTCAAAACAACTGACAAGGCGAAAACTGCTCGCAAAGATATACTTAGTGGATGCATGTTGATCGTAAGCCAGTTGAAACTGGGAGGAGAAGGTGCTTGCTAATCCAGCATAAGCCAACCATCCCTATCCAAAAACGTCGCTTTATTGAGTCATCTCATTTTCTGGAGCCTTTTATGAAAACTTATGTGTGCAAACTGGTTAAGGAATACTTAATTACATGCGTATTTGTTGTCGAACAGCCCATATTATTCATAACTGGAAGCAAACAACTGATCTAAAGTTATTCTAAATTCACATCTGAAATCAGCAATTCCATAATTATGCCACTTTTGGAAATGATTTTTGTAAACAATAATAGAGAAATCAAGAGTTTCGACCAAATCTCTTATAATCGCTCCACTGTGTGAATGATAAATTTAGACTCATTAAAAGAGTAGAGCTATAACTTTTGCTAACAGTCAAAAAAGGTACACAAACGTCAAATTTCATTAATCCCCTCCGTTAGATTTAAATATTTCATATTGGCTGATAAAAACTTGGTAGGCAAAGGCAATATAAAGGACGTTAGTATAGTTATCAACCTTGTACGGGAAAAGACAAAAACATACTTAAATGCTTCACTAAAAGTAGTTTATGGCTTAAATGTAATGAGCTTTAGTTTACTAAATGTTTGCTTTTTTCAAAGCCATTTACAAGTTTTGTACCACCAAAAGATTGTTTAAAAGTAGTTTCTTTGATGATTGTCTCATAACACCAAAAAATATGTACTAGAAATCTCAATAATGGTCGATAATGTGGTATTAGCTAAGGTTTGCGGAACACATTTACAGCATTCGCGAGAAAATAAAAAAATCGAGAAAGCAGACGATGACATCCTATGGCCATACAACTGAAGATATGATGAAAAGTGCCTTCTCTTTGTCCATGTACAAGAAACCCGTAAACAACACTGCTCTATTTATGCTTATTTTCTACCAAGAAGTTTAAACATTTCCCAGTTTCCCAGATCTTAAAACCCTTAAAACATTCATATTACATCTTCCTATTCCCTTGCCCCCTATTCTTTATATGTTCCTTTGCATAGATTCATTTTATTGTTGCGTCTTAAAATTAATCTATAGCGCAATTAACATAGCTTATAAAGAAGAAACAGCTTTTGCCAAAATTAAAACGAACAAAAACTAACAAAAAATCGGGAAAAAAAACAAAATACCGAATTATCTGAAGACAATGGAAATTAAAACAACAGATGAAGCTGTCCTTTCTAAACTTAACTACATATATTTACTATGCTACTAGCGTGAGGCCCGAAAATGGCATTTCTCTTCATTAAATTTTGTTTTTATCATTTACACATGTGTCAATTTACATGAGTACTGCCTTATAGCTACCTTATAAATTAAATAAATAAGACTATGTCCTCTGTTTACAATTATAGTTTATGTGCGGAGAATCAAAAATGAAATGTAGATTGAAATAGTGAAAAATTGCGTTATGTAACAGTCTTCTTAAAGACGGTACTCAAGGAGCTCTACTTTTAGAAAGTACAATGTATTCAAGGAGAGCTACTTTTAAAAATATTTGTTTAAAGAACATACTTTTGGTTCTCCACTATGAAGCTGCTCACGCACATCGATGATGCCACCAGTGCTGTTTAGTTTAATCTGTAAGGCAGACGAGAATACAATTGAGAAGTAGGTTTTTGTCTCTGTGATATACCTAATCATACGTTGTCTATTCTGATATGGAAGGGCTCAATGCAAAAAAAGTACAGAGCAATGGATACATAGAACATGGCCAGAGATGAGACACATTTATTGTTACATGGAGCTGCTGTTACTTTTAAGTCAAACTAAGTTTTATAATCTGACAAATATGAATATGCAACCTTGGCTAGTTATTCATTGATACTTAAAAGCGACATAGAAGGATTAACAGTATTTGCATGTCACCTAAAAGAGCTATTGAATTTGAAAAGAAGTGACTAACGATATAGATAGCGCTATTAAAAATCTTAGAAGAAGTATTTGCTTTACCTCAAAATAAAACATATCAGAACTAATGAAGCAGTCAGTTCCAGTTTGTCCGCCATGATCAAACTTCAGCCTATGGTCAAAACAAAATCATTTTTCACAATTGAACAGTTATGTGTTAATATAAATTCATCGAGCGATTCTAATATGGGGCTGAAAATAAATGAGAGAGCTTGCTTTACATATCCACGCTATTAAGCTATGATACAGGAGAGTTGTCAATAGCCTCGGTAATCATCATAGCAAGGAAAGTGCAGCCAGGGAAAGCATGAATGCTGAGGAATTGGCGTTTGAAGGCTTCCTTGCATAATAACAGCCATTGAAGATACATATGAGTAAAAGACAAGCCCATCAGAAAGCCTTGACTTTTTCCATCAAAGCACAAGAGCAAGTGACTACCTCTAAAAATAAGATCAAGTTTCCCTCCACTCTCCCTTCATGGCGTCTGTCACTTTTATGAGTATCACAGGCCTTCCGGGAAAGGCATGCGGTCGCACTCGCACGCGCTGGTACACGCCTCCCCACACCGAGGAGTGTGTTTAATCGCACACCTATTTTTGTAATCATTCGCTTTTTAACCAAAGCGCTGGAAACTAATAAGATGACCAAAAACAAGAAATTGTTTCGTGTTTTTTATTTTGATGTGTTTTACCGGTCTTGTCCACCGTACTGGGTCAACTTGGTCATTTTGAAGAGCTGTTGTGACGACACTTGAATGCAATTAAACACGGACCAAATGAACGTAGCATCAGGGCTAGTAGTAGTCAGGACAGAACGCATTTTTCATCATAGACCTGTGTTAGCATGCACATGTTTCTAAAATACAATTTTTGAATGGTAAACTAAGTTGAATTTTTGAACAAAAGGCTTTCAGTTTAGACAGGATTTGTGCCGTATTTCTTCTGATCTACATTCGTAAACAAAAGCAAAGGGGACAGAAAGGAGCTCGCAAAATTCCTGAATTGGGGCAACAATGACATTTTAAGCTATACTGTAACTAAGCAACAAGCAATATGTAACAAAGATTTGGTGCAAGTTGTGTGTGAAATATCAGATCATCGGGCATCCACCATTCTAAGGAGCTGCAGTTTTATGCGAAAGCCTTTGCCGAAGGCCCATGCTGGGAAACTCGCTTTCTTTACGCTACTGGCTTTACACCAGTGATTTCAGTATTCAGTTCCTACCGCCAGCTGGATTAAAAATGAGCAGAGCGCAACGCAACGCTAAACCCCCCCCCCCCCCTCCAGATGTAACAGGGGTTAGACTTTCTCTCAAACCCTTGTCACTTCGAGTAGTCAACGAATTGAGAGTGAAGACAAAAAGCGAGCGACTCGTGTTGAGGTTAATCACTGACTGAATTACTAAGCAAAAGACTAAGTTTATATACAAACGAAAGCGAGGTTAGCGTAATATTTACGTATGAATTAATGGCATATGATCCTACTACAGTCCATCCCTTCTACGTAAAAAAAGAAAAGAACTGGAAGGGATTTTCTTTTTTTTTCTGTACGACAAGTCCGATATTAAGTTCCTTCAAAATATGCAGTTAGCAATTGAAGAGTTGAAGTTCCGAAGTGGCAACATTTGGCAGTAAAGTTCATGTTGGGATCATGAAAGTGGATTTCAGATGCTGCGGTGGAAATTTCTGCGGCAGTTTTGGTGAGATGATTTTTTCCGAAGATGATCTGTTCTTGTAACTGCGGTATTACAAGCATTTGAAATCGATAGACTTTGGCATTTGGAAACTTCAGAGGAACCGTTATTGTGCCACATGGGCGTAGATGCGAACCATCAGGCGAAAGGATAGCGTGACGTGAAGAATCGAGAGGTTCAATGGATTGGTTATTGCCAGCGGATGTCATTATCTCTTTGGCGAATTCCAATGAAACTGAAGAAGCAGGAAAGCATGTTGCTACGGGCATTGTGATGTTGCGATCAGCACAAACAACGGGAAGGGCCAATATGCTTCTTTCCTCCTGAACAATGGAGTTGATTGGCGTTGTGGAAGAGGGCGTTGATGAGTCACTAATGCCGGAGGATGCCAAAGGCTGAGGCAACTTGTTCTTTGGGTGGTGTTCATGAGTTTTGGAAATGATGTCGTAGATTGACTTGATAACTTCTACCAGTTTTGCTAATGTTGTTGCGTGTTTCTTGGGCAAAGACAACGATCCGATAGTATGTCCACTAACATGAAATGAAGCCTTGCATTCTTCGTCATAGCAAATTGAGCATATGTGGCGACGATTGTAACAACACGATCCTTTAAAGTTACATGTAGGCGATTGAAAACGATTGAAATCGCGGCAAATATCAGCTGGGCAGTTCTTCGTAAGGAGCTTGAGGCAATGTTGCTTGAAATGCCCTTTTCCTTTACAATATGTGCAATCGAACATTGTAGCGTATTCGGCAAAATCGTCGAAAACAAAAAATAGAGCGACGGTTGACCTGAAATCTTTTGAGGGTACTCCACCAGTTGTAACAGGGGTTAGACTTTCTCTCAAACCCTTGTCACTTCGAGTAGTCAACGAATTGAGAGTGAAGACAAAAAGCGAGCGACTCGTGTTGAGGTTAATCACTGACTGAATTACTAAGCAAAAGACTAAGTTTATATACAAACGAAAGCGAGGTTAGCGTAATATTTACGTATGAATTAATTGCATATGATCCTACTACACAGAAAGGGTTACGAAATATGGCATATTTATTCCACGAGGAAGTCCCTTTCTTCCACAAATTATTTAATGTTGTTTCGTTTTCATATGAAAACGGAAAAATTTGGAAAATGGCAGGTTGTGACAAAGGCATGAAATTTTTTAGGATTACACTTGGAAACAGAACGATAGCGCTCTTGATTCAAAGAGTGGGAAATCTGCAATAGAATTGTTCTGCTTCAAGCATTTGCACTGAAACGTTTCGTGCCGTTTTCAAATCGTACCAATTTCAATTGTGCCGTTTTCAAATCGTACCAATTTCAAATCGTGCCATTTTCAAATCGTGGCATTTTCAAATCGTGCCATTTTCAAATCGTGCCATTTTCAAATTGTACAATTTTCAAATCGTGCCATTTTCAAATCGTGCCATTTTTAAATCGTGCAATTTTCAAATCGTGCCATTTTCAAATCGTGCCGTTTTCATAACGGCTTTCATATTCCATTTGATGAGACATTTTTGAAGGTTGGGGCCAAAATTTTAAGATTTTCAAGGGTTTCATGAAGACTGCCACTATTATTGTTGGCAACAGCGATTGCTAGGAACTGCATCTAAAATATTTTCAGAATCAAATTTAGTAAAGATCCCTGTCAATATTTATAAACCTTCCTTTACAGTTATGCCACCAGAGTTTTTTATTGTTTAAGTTGTGTGAAACTGAAGAAATGTCTTAAGAATTGGGGTTTTTAAGGCACCATATACTATGAAATAAAACCTTTGTATAAATAAGACAGAACAGCAATGGCACTCCATCACACGCCTAAAACAGTCTAGGGGTACAAAATGTCACACTTGTGCTAGTTTACTCGCAAGAAGGCCTGTTGTATCATATAGATAATATTGAGTTTTTTTCTGAATTTTGATTGAAAGGTGTTAATGTGACTTATGGTTAGGAGGCAGGGCAAATAATGTAGTTGCCCCATTGTTTGATTATGAAAGCCCTACCACCCATTTATAGGTTTAATAATTTCTGTCTGAAAAATCCTTTTCAGGATCAAATTTGAAAATGATTACGACAAAAATTTCAAAACAAGGTCTCCAAGCAAAATAATTTCATACCCAGTCTCCTCGCTGATTGCTTGAAGCTTTTGCAAAACAGACTTTAGCGTCAAATCTAGATAATTAAATGTTATATCAGGTTATTACATTCTTTTCAATTGATGTGCCTAAACATCCTTAATTTCCTAAAAATTGCATGAAACAAAATTTCCTAATAGTTACTGATTCAAACCATATTTTATAGAATAAAACAATATAAATCAAAACTAGTTTGAATATGCTTAAAAATGTAGTTTGCATCTGCAGCCTGTTCAAAAAACCAAAACAACCATTGAAATCAAATCTATATACATATACTAAAACAAGATTAAACTAAGACTTAACATATGAGGATGGAAAACAAAGATGTGAGGAAGCCAAAAAATTAAGATATTTATTTAGCAGTTATTTATTCATTCTTTTTGCTCAAATTTCATGTATTTTCTCTCTGGCTATGAACCTCTATAGACCTAGACTTCTAATAGACTTCACCAATAAACTTCCGATATAAACAATAAACGATATATTAATTAGATAAACTTCCCCAATTATGCACACAAAAAACAGTTTAAACTACAATATCTTTAATTTTTCAATTAAGACCAACTAATTGAGGCCAACGAAATGATCTTGGGCCAACTGGAAAAATGAAATAAAACTAAAACTGTGGCATTGTAAAACTAGAACATTAAAGACACAATAAAAACAAGCAAAATAATGAGCAAAATGTTTGTTAACCTGGAGCTGCATTCCTGAGTTTTTCAATAGTGTCTTTCAGGCAAGACTTCAATGGGTTTGAAATTTCTTCTTGCAAATGGCTTTCCTGTATGATTGAAATTGAAAACATGTAGCAACCAAGTAAAGACCAATTAGGAAAGAATCATGTAAATTGTGAAATATCCCAGAAAATGGTGAAAAAGGACAACATAATATAAATCCTCTGCCTTGCATTCACAGTTTTGTACTAATGGTCAAAGAAATTAGAGATAGTAGCATAGAGCATAGTGTACAGGGGTGGAGGACAGTTCTGAAAATTATTGGAAGCCAGGTAATCTTCATTAAGGGCAGATAGAACACATAAAAATATGATTGGTAAAATGATTTAACACCAGTATGCAATAACTATTGACTACTCACAGATCCACTGAAATAATCCCAGAAATATTAGAGAAAAACATCAGAGTCAAGAATGCCTAAGTTAAAGGACAAGTGACACGCTTTTGGCGCCAAATTTTTTTTTTCTTTTAACTTAAAGTAAAATGCTGTATGAGAGTGTTGTTGAAATATTTTTCCTTTCTGATTTCATTTTCCCACTTAAAAACCCATTTGAAATTATGGCAGGAAATGAATCACGTGACACCGTGACGTAGATTGTGATAATTTGTTATTGCTGCTACTGGTATAGAGTGCAATATTAATGTTTACAACACGCTTGTAAACGAATACAGTTCATCTGGACCTGTCGCGTCGTGTTTCGTAAACTCTCTATCAATTACAGGAAAATTCTGAGTTATCACAATGTACGTCATAGGGTCACGTGATAAAAAGCAAAATCGCGCCCCCCTGCGCCCCCTGATTAGAATTTTTTGTTCCAAACCAGGAAAAACTTACTTCTAAAAGATGATCTATAAGTTAATGAAAAGAAAAGATAGGGTGAAAAGTGTGTCACTTGTCCTTTAAGTAGTTTTGTAAAAAACTGAAGAACGCAGTAACAAAACGATATATTAATTGCAATGAAACATCTATGATGATGAATAAATCAAGAAACCAGAAACCAACCTGAGAGAATTTCAAAACTTTGACTGCATTCTCTGATGATTTTAGCTGATCACATCTTAGCTTCATTGCATTTATTATTTGATGAATATCTCCAAGTTCTCCATAACTATTGATTGGGCCATACGGATGAGCTAAAATGTAAAAACTCTCAGTATATAAAATATCATTATAAATGAGCTTTCATTGAGCAATTGTAGATGCTTGATCAGCTCAGTAACATGACTACACTGGTATTATTCCCTATTGACAGTCAACTGACATTGAACAAGAAAAGTAAACATATAAATCAAGAAACAGCAAGATTTGAAATCGCTGAGGAATTCCAAATTGCACAACCACATTCCTTTTATTGCTGGTTGCTTTTGCTCTCTTATAGCTTGATGTTTGAACTTATCTTTATGCAAACAAATTGTTTTGCAGCTCGCCCTTATTTCTAGCATTATTCAAGTTTTCTTCTCCTTAGTAATAAGTATAATTAGAAATATGGAGTATTTACTAACTAAAATACCTCAATTTACCTCCACTTTTCTAGTCTGTTTCTCAGTGCAACAGGCTTTATTGCCTTTACAGGGTTAATGAAAACAGTTTTGAGTTGTTTAGCTTTTGTTTGGTCTGATAATTTACTATTTTTATTCGTTCTACAGTTGACCCCCCTTATAGTCATTTCTCTTGCAGTCATACTCTGGTTATTGTCACAATATTGCTGATCCCAAATTCAGGTTTGGTCAAACCATTATAAGCAAGCTCCTCTTACAGTCACTTTGCTTTTTATCAGACACTGCTGATATTCAGAACCTTTTTCCTTCCTGAATAGCAGAACACCCTTTATACAGTCACATTTATGCAATAAATTTTTATTAGCATTTTTGACAACAAAATTTAATTCTTCTATCTACGCACTTTCCTGTTTGCACTTTCCTTTATTTTGATTATTTCCCTACGCAAGAATTCTTAAATTCAATGTTATCACACAAAATATAAGAGAAAGTTGCCTTCCACACAGTTACCTTGGCTTAACATTATTTTCTCTATTATCTTGCATTAAGGGGGTATTGGAAAGGGAATAAATCCCTAAATATTTTTTTCAAAACTAAACTTCATTGAATAAACTATACTTTATTGTATTTCTAAAGTCTTCAAAAATACAAAGACAATTTTGCTATTGGTATTTTGCATGTTCAACCCCTCTTCCTAAATCCGTAATACGTTTGACGGTCCCTAGCATTGAAACCGTTAAATTTCAAAAAGGAGGTTGACAACATTGAATTATCATTGCTTGTTGAATGCTTGAAAACAGGGCCAAAAAATCTTTTGCCAATATAGGGCCACAACAACTTATTTCCTGCAACATATTTAGCTCTTTTAGGTAAAGTAACATTTTTCTGGAAAACATTTGATGTGACTATACAAGCGGAGTCGACTGTAGGCGGTTCAGTATACTGTAAACCGTATACATAAACATACCTCTTGCACCCTTGTCTTCTTCGTCTAAAAGGCCAAGGCCATTTCCAAACTTTGTAAGATATTCTTGAAGCTGTTCAGTAAGTTTTCCAAGATTCATCTTGCCGTAGGGATCCATATCTATGCAGGATCATAAGCTTTTTTCGGGTAAGCTTTATCTCTGAGAAGGCCTATTCTTCCACCATTTTGTCGACCGTGCTCACAAATCAGTGACCGTGCTTCGAAACGACCAGCCTCGCTTCCGACATTTCCTCGAAAAACCACAGGGAACTTCAGTACAAGTACCATTTCTACCACTGCTCCACGTTCTTCACAAAAATGTCTAGCAGCAGAGTTTACCAAACCATAGTACAAAGATATTTCACTTCACATTTTTTCACAGGTGGGTTTTTGATCATCTTTATCTTTCTTCGAGAACATTCAATAAATTGCTCGTTTCAAGCTAAAAAGTAATTGTAAATAAGGTTATATATAAACCGTCCTTAAGAGAGGAATATGGGAACTACTAACAGTGTTTTCTTGGTGATTAAAGAAAAGTTTCAACAACTTTCTAAGAAAAATAAGATGATGCAGGAAGGTAGAAAAATGATGTCTGTTTTAAAATGTTAGTTTTTTCTCGATTTTTTTATTGTTCCAGCTATAGCCATAACTTACCTTTCCATTTGCACCGTCTTGTATAACTTTTTGACAGGTTTGTTTCATGTGTACTTAACTCAAGGGGAAGCATCATTAGCGTGGTGGTTCTAAAATCTAAATTATTTATACTTATAAGTAAAAAAGGGTTTATTATCATTATTGTTTTCAAATATTGTGATTTTTTACAGATGTCATGGGAAAGGCTCTAGAAGACCAATTAATATTGCAACATTCTAACAAGTAACTGTTTTTAATCAGCAATTTTTACTGTAAGAAAATGCGTACACTTCGTGAATCATTTCATGCTGCCAATCTACTGAATTTCTAGTATTCAAAAGTTTCAATTTGTGGCCTAATTTTAAGCTATGTGCCATCTAAGATTCACACATTCCAGACCGCAAAGTTCGGGTATGAGTAGTTGCTCAAATTCTGTCCATGTATTTTTGCAAATTTAGATTATTTGGCGCAGTTGGAACATGGAATATTTGTGTAAATTCCGCACATAGGCTCATCGCAAGGCGTAAAAATGCTTTTTAAGAATGAAATCCTGCAGCTTTTAATCTGCTATTTTGCAACATTATTGAATGGTTTGTTCCCATGTAAGTGGCAGAAAATAATTGGCACTCTGGCACACATTCAGCTACAATATTTTAATCCTCCCCCAAATGATACAAAGAAAAAATATCATTTCTTGGTGCATATAAACAGTGATTTTTAACTAAGCTAAATGTCCAAAGATTAAAATAGCTGAAGCTTTCTTCACAAAAAATCCATTTCATGCTTCTTTTAAAAATCTTAATTCATGGATTGTCACACAAAGAATTGTCATTTCCTATTTTCATGCAAGATTAAATGATCAATAGTACATCAGGCAAAAACATTGCCTCCACCTACATTAACTGTTGAATATCTTGTATGAAAGAAATACTTTTATAATTTTCCTGGGTCAATAAAACTTCGTTTTCCTACTACACTGTGCAGCTTTTGATACTTATTTCATTTTCATTTCTTTTCTTATTTGAAATTTTACATACATTATTTATTCACATTATGGCTGGGTCTAACTTATGATAATTTCTGTTTAAGAATCTGCATCATAACTGCCGCTCCATCACACAAGCTCTTCCAAGATGGTGAAATATTAAGTGTCAACTTCCAAATAAAAGGTAGAAAGGATAGAACTGAAAATAAAGTATCTGGTAAATCAAAACGAGGTGGCCAACAGTTGGAATATAGCTCTGTGCTCTGTGAAGTTGAATGTGCAAGTGGTAGTAAATACCTTTTAAGAAGGTAGGTCTTTTTAGATTTACTTTATGGGACTGTGGCTCTTAAAGGTATCATCTTATTGACAGCTTGAGTTTTTGTTTCACCTGTAAATAATTAGACTGGCTGGGTATAAAATGGGTAGCCTTATTTATAATTACTTTACAGTTTGCAGCAAAAATACCAGAAGAGTGGCAGGGCAGGAGGCAAAGTGCCATGAAAAAAGACAATTTTTTCAGGGCAAGGGCGGCCACCCCCACTCCTCTTTCCCCATGGTGGCACCAGCCACTAGGCTCATGAGGGGGGGGGTGTGGGACAAGACAAAAATTTCTAGGCCATATCCTTTTTTCACCAGAAAATGCCTTTTTTATCAGCATGGCATGCCAATTTTACCTGAAGGGAGTGCCCATGACTAACTTTTGTTACAAAAGGGATGTTGCCAAAAAAATTACCCCTCCCGCAACATTCTCTCAGTGAATTTAGATGGAATACAAAATAAATCCTATCAAGAACTGGGGGTGTGTCCCCCAAGTCCCCCATGGCACCGCTACTGCTCTTTCCCTCTTGCTCCAACATCACTCATTTGCAGTGAGTCATTTGATATTCTAGAGTCAGTAAACATTATCTGAGGAAGCTACTTCCACTGAAAATACTTAATCAATTCATAATATTCAACACATCTAAGAAGAAATAACACCTCATCGTGTTTAAGGAGTCATTCAAAGTAGAAAATTTAGGTTAACCAAGCCTCTCTCCTCTGAAATAAAGACACTAGATGATGTTTTATCATCTGTGGTGGTATAGCAATATTGCAAGTACCCCAAAATGAGCAGCCAGGACATGAAAAAGTAGAATGCTACATTAAATTTTTGTTTCAGCATTCTTTCATAAAATCTAACAGCTTTTATCCCTTCTTAAAATGAGCAGATTTCGCAGAAGGCCAATATGCACTAACATTGATGTTTTCATAAAATAAGGTTTTGCCCAAAGAAGAAATAATTCACTCTTCATAGTCATTATTAGCTACATCTTTATGCAAGTCAGAAAGACGAGGATGGACATCTGGGCGCATTGTGGGTCTTCTGGAAATCACATTGAGGATAGATCCTTTTTGGTCGCTTTTTCGCTAACGAAACCTTTCACAACAGGTTTTGAGCGAGGTTTTCTGACCCTTTTTATTGGAAGTGGGCATCCAAAAGAAGTGAATAAGCGTTTTTCTATGTTGTTTTTCAAAAACTTTACACTAATCAAAGATAGTGGAACTCATTGCGCATTCAAAAATAAGACTCTTATTCATATTAATTTTATACAGGTATAGTAGAAGCTAGGACCATCATAATCGAAGAAACATTAAGTTAACAATATTGAAGAGTGAATTCAGGAAAAAAAATTCTAGGGGATCAACCCCAGCATAAGGTTTAAAAGCCTCTATTCATAAAGGTGATAATTTTAGTACTTACCGCTGTAACATTAAGACAAATTTCTGTTTTTTTGTTCCTTTCTAAGTTTGGTAGCTGCAAAATTTAATCAAACATACTTTTTCAATATAGCTGCATTCAAGGAAAACTCATTGAGATCAATGAAGAGCTTATAGAGAATCCTCAACTTTTGCTTGAGTCAGTAAGTAAAACTAAACTGAAAATATACTTCAAATTTGACATTTGTTTAAACTGTTTTTCTTCTCATTCTTACTTAAAATACATCTTATATTATTTGTCTTTGTTTCTGTTATTTTTACTCATTTCATGAAAACTGCTTTTCTCTGCAACATATTTCAGAATGATGAAATAATGATGTATTTATTATATTATTTAACCAAACAGCCTGAAAATGGTGGTTACATTGCAATTGTTCTGCCAAGGTTGAAGCCAATTGAAGAGATTTCAAAGAACGTTTTATCCTCAGACCAATATCAAGAGGTTTTAAGGGACAGAACTAGACCAGAAATATGATGACGTTTCTAGTACAATTCTACTGAAATATTTGCATACTGTTGAAGTTATATGTTAACTGTAAGCAACAATGTCTTTGATACATTATTATATTTGTACATAATTTTTTAGAATTTCATTAGAAAAAATTGATATATTATATAAGTATTCATGTACAACCACATTGGATAGCTAGATTAAGAAAAAACATGCTAGCTGAATTATGCGAGAATTTCTGCGTATTTTCATAAGCCAAGACCATATTGTTGTGAAGATTTTCTCATTCAATCCTGTTTTATATCGTTAACTTTCCTCTCATTTCCAAAAACTATAATTACAACTTAATGAGGCTTTATGAATGAAGAGTCTTCAAATTTTTACATTCGTTCAACTAGACTTGATACCCCTAGTTAAGTTGAATTCCTATGCGAACAATCATAGGGAATTTTTTTTAAGAATTTTGAGAAAGTTCTTGCAGAAAGGCTCGTCAAATCTTAGTTTGGATAAGAACTTTCAATTGAAGGGCGTTTCCAAACATTTTCCACTTGTCCTCATGATTAATTCCGAACTCGTGAGACTAGCGTTCTAGATCCTTGTGATTAAGTTACTTCTTTAGGCTAGTGAATAGTGAGCTACCCAGTCATCTTTTTCTTTACCAGATCTTTTCGTCATATTTTCCAAATTTCCATTTTTGACTTTTTCTACTTCCCTCTTTACATTTTCTTGCAATCAAATATCCATCAGATGGATCGACATCTAGACATCGCCCTGTAACCACATGCGCTATTTCACCCTAAAAGAGAATGTACGGCATCAACAATAAAACTTATAGCTATGCAAGGAAAAGTTTTTGATTGAAACATATGATTTTCAATTTGCTCTGATACAGTGATGGAACTATGGGGGCATGCTCGGGCTTTCGTAAGATATTTGACAAATGTTACTGGCTGTAAGACCACCCAAGATGCTATCTTGTGGGAAAATCGTGGGCCTGAGCCCCTTTACAAAGCTATTAGTAACAATTTCTGCGATTAATATACAATTTCTTACCTATAAATGCTATGAATATAAATGTCAAAACATCTGTTTTATTAGATATACTGCTACTTCTGCATCTTGTAATGAAAATTTGACAAATCGCCAAAGATTTTACACATTTCTCTTAATAACGGTGAAAGTCATTACAAGCTTGATAGCTAAGCTAAAGCACAGACCTGCAGAGCTGGAAAACAGAGAGGGGTTTTCAGGTTTCGTGGCAACACTGACTGAGATACTGCGTTCAATTTTTTTCGTCGCCCAACATTAAATTTTCATATTGATTTAGAAGCTGTAAAGAGCCTCATAATGATGACGAAGATTCCTATGAACAATTGTAGCAGCTTGCTAACAAGTCTTGTAAGGTCCGTTTCGTTCCGGTTGTCCATATTTATATCGTAAAATGAACAGTACAGCTATGAAAAAAGCTTTCTCGAAAAACCCTGTAGAATACTACTAGGAATTTTATTTTTTCATCGTTATTTCTTTAGTTGAGCTCATGAGCGAGCTAGGTTGTAAAGCTCTGCTGTTGAAACATGTTAAATCTAAATGTTGCGTTTAGGGTGCACTTACGTTTTCGCGATTATGTTTCCACTGTTGGTTTCCTTTGAGTCCATGACATTCCCACATTTGAATTCGACTCTTTTCGTTATCGGGTGAGTAGTCCATGCAGCTTTCGTCGTTGAATATCACTTCGCCGCGTTTACTCAGAACAAAGTACTAAATTGAAACGATAAAGACTTTGAAAATACGTTAGACGAGCCCCAATTAGCAGTGAGATATTATTTTGGCATATTTCTATAACCTACAAGCAAGACAACGGTAATGTCAACTGAATTTCAATGAATTTCACTGCCATCTCATATAATAGGAACTTTCAGTTTTGGAGCATAATCAAGAGGTAGGTCGTATAATTAAGTGTTTTTAAGAAAACCAAGAATATTATGCAAGTTGTGAAACACCCTTGTCACCCTCTGTCTTTTAAATCACTGCCTTTCAATCAACGGGAATCGAATCTCCCTTTGCGTATGGGGAGGGGAGCCGTTGTTGCTTTCCCGAGTAGCGATGTTTTCATGGTCTAGCCAAAAGAGCATAGTTAGAAACGTTTTCAATAAGTGTTTGGAATTTACCTGATTACCACCAAGACCATGACACATGTACAACTTTAAGTTCGATTTTTTAGACTTTGCACCCATTGAATCGATGCATCGATCAACATCTTGATTGCGAATCTGAAAGGAAAAGAGAACGAATCATCGCAAAGTAAATAAGTATGCCTTAGTCAAGAAATGTTTGGTACGGTTTGATCAAAAAAGATTTAAACCTAAGTTCATAAAATTCAATTTCGTTTTTTCACAAAACTTGATCATAACGTGATAGCTTTGCTTGTTTAAAGTCAGTTATATTTTGGAAATTGTTTTAAGTAGCTTTAAGAATAACAAGGGCTCCAGTTGTTGAGTCTATTTTGCTGGTTCTATTATGTTCTCGACGCGCAAAGGACTAATGTTGCCAAGACATTTTAAGAAGTCAACTTTGTGTTACGCTGTTGCTATGATACAGTGTTTCCTAACAATTCTAAATGCAATCATAGGTATCAGTGAGTTCCCACCTCTCCGTGAGCTGGAGGCTGTAGGTCTGAGCCAATGAGATCAGGAAGAATCGTATCGAGGTACCATTTGAAACTTTTACAGCCAAGGCTCTTCCTTAAACGTTTACGTTCAGATATATCACCAATATCAACTTTTCTATCCGCATCAGGTTTGCGCCTATTTTGAAGAGAATTTGCGTTTATTTACAAAATTTTCCATAAAAATGGCAACAGACATGCATGACAAAAGATAGATAAGTCTTACATTTAGATTAAGTAATGATGTTTGTTACTTATACCTGTTAAATAGCTATTATATTTCAAGTTATCGATTTGAAAACATGAGCTCTGATTGATGAAAAAATGTTTGCCTGGGCTGAAAAAGAACCAAAAGTTTTCTATCCAGTGATTGAACAATTGTTACAATCAAAGAGCATGTTCAACAACGATTGAGCTCAATGCTCCAGGCTTCACTCATTCAACACAAAACATTTCTTCTTCGCTTCCAAACGAGCCTAGAGGCTGCACATAATCAAATAAGATCTGAACCAACGACTTTTTGAAAGAAGCTTCAATATGACACTGACCTGTAGTACAATTCTTTGTATTCATCCATCCAAACTTCGGCAAGTCGGTTGAAATTTTTGGCCAATGTTTTCGAAACACCATTTGGAAAGCTGTATGGAGAGTTCTCCTTCCGGAAAATGTGTCCGACTCGAGAGCAAGGCACAATCTCCAGATTCCCACCGCACATCCATATCTGAAACAGAAATTGATAAATAAATTGTTTGTTTATTGCATTGCTATAATCTATTGCATTTTACTTTACCTTTTCTATACTGTATTTGCAACTTCGAAACAACGCTTTCTAAATACGCTGCATTGTGTTAAGCAAAGTTCTTTCGAACCAAGTTGAGAAATTTCCTTTAGCGAGGTACAGCTTCAAAAAGCTATCAGCAAACCTACCCTGAATGACATCTCCAAGTTTTCACCTCCCCATATGTCCATTTCAGTATCATATGAGCCCATTTTGTAGAAGTAATGTCTGTCAATCGAAAACAATCCACCGGCCATTGTTGGTGATCTATAATTAAAGTCAAAATTGTAAAATGCGAGTGTACTTAAGTATGTATCATTGAGAAAAGAATTGGATACCAGCAGCAAAGGATACATTTTTTGTTGGTGTCGATATAGATTGTTGAAGGAGCCATCAGACTTGTGTCGCTTACTTGTTTACCATGAATTTAAACAGTATCATATGTATACAAAAACTTTGTAAGCATCACAACATGTATACAAAAACTGATAGGTTGGATTATGGTGAAAAACTGAAAAAAGAGAGTGGTGAAAAGATGTCTATCACATTAGTATGTTCGATAATGGTCCAACTGAAAATGGATTCGAATGGGGTGATCTGAATGAAATTGTAGAGGAATAGTCTTCCGAACCAGAGGCCTGTTTATCAGTGCCTAATTTAGAATGGTATTGGCTACTAATAGTGGTCTTGGAAATTCAAACACTAGTGTTGGAAAAAAGAATCAAGGGGTGGGAAAATTGGGACCTTTTGATTTAGATGCTTATCCTGTGGGTGACATTCTGCCAAGATGCTTGTTGCCGGTGGTGTAGTGTCTGAGTATCGAAGGTATGAATAAATACGTATGAATAAATAAGATTCCCAGAAAAGCATAAAAAACTATATGAAACTATAATAACTTAACTTGTTTTAGGCATGATTGATTATGACTATTTTTGCTGCTCATTCTATCGTATTGATTTAAGATGTCTAACATTTATGCAAAAATGAAAAAGCCTAACAAAGTTTGCTTTAATAAGACAATTTGGGTGTGTTACCAATTTCTGGTAACTTGAAGGGCGTGGCATGCAACATTTTTCCTGGGTGTGTGCCCCTGGATCCCCCTTCTTTTCTTTGACAAAGTCAGTGGTCTTGAGAAAAGGTTTGATTTGGCACTGCAAACTACAAACATTTTGCGTCATAAAGAAAAAGCTCAATTTGCAAACCGTAGAGGCTCTGTTTCGTCTTTCCGCTGTGACCTCTCTTCCGGTGAAAGCTCTTTCCAAGTGAAAAATAAATCCCACGTAAAGCTTCCTACTTGTGTCACTGCCTTGAGCGTTGAACCTTTGTATGAGAAATCAACGGCATCTATTACCTCTATCACTGGGCACACTACATTGTTCCGGTCCTCTTTGATCCTTTGAAGAAGTGGCTCTATCCAGCCATCTGTCGCCTCGCAGTGAGAATCTAGGAAAGTGAGGACCTCTCCGTTGGACATAGCAGCTCCGCGCAAACGTGATCGTACCAAGCCATCTCGCTGCTTGTTTCTGACCACTTTGATCTTGTTCCGAACTTGGGGATGCTGATTCAACTTAGATACGTAATGGTCCAATGGTTTTCCTGTGTAGTCTAGAAACCAACAGAGTTAAAAGATGGTTTATACAATTTTTTCAACTTTTTTAGTACAAGAAAATCTTTTGGGGGTTTCAACGTCTACAAAAATTCAAATGAATGTAATTTTATACGGTTTTAGTTTAGTTTTAGCGTAGTGTAAACTTACTTTAGCGAGTAGGCATGGCTAGATATCACATCCACTGAGTAAAACGATGTTCAAGATTAAAAAGTCGAGAGGAAGAATGTAGAAGGTTAAATAAGTCTTAAGGCTATAAAGATGAAACCAAAGGTTCTTCAAACAAGAGGGCGTTGTTTCCCCTACCTTCCATTGCTAAATATCAGGCAATGACCAATTTTAATGGAAAACTCCACCCTGCTGAAAATGATTGTCATCGTAAACTGTAAATTAATCTTCTGTACCTACCATGCAAACTTGCATCGTCTACAAGAATGATATCTGATAACAGATAGGCTGGGGTTTTTCGTAAAACGCTGTGCACTGTTCTCACTAAAACTGACAAAGCCTCGTTGTGAAAGCAGATGATTACACTTGTCGTGGGAAGATCTTGAGAATAGCTTGCATGTTTTGCCTCGCATCTAGACGACAATCAGAAAGGTATAAATTTCAGCAAAGGACGTAAAGAAATGCTTTTCCTAATATCGTACTACATCAAATAGAGTCTATTTCTTCTCGCCTAAAAACAGCTACCGCAAAGCATGCCGGTTGCGCAATAGTCTTAAGCAATTGACACAATTTGTAGAACGATATACTTCATTGAAATGGGAATTGCTTCTTTGCACTTAATTCGAAATAATCGAGACTGAGTAATTATTATCCTTATCAAATACCAAGGTGAAGTGACATTTATTTTGAAGCATAGATCTACAAAACAATGCAAAATGAAGCTACAAAATCTCATTGAGCAAATGTCATGAATATGGGCGTGGTATATGTATCTTAAGAAATTTATGGATACATAATATTTATAGAAAGGCTCAATTAAATGCTGACTTACTCTTTGCCGCGTGCATCAGGTAGTCGTCTGTTCATCGACATATGGTCACTTAACACAGAATCAAACGAATGATTGTTGAAGAGCTTCTTGGAAATATTTCGAAGCCCATCAGGCAAATCGGCCTTGAGTCCTTTGTCACCGAGACCATGAATCACCAACTCAGGGAACAACTCTGATCTCAACTGTACAGGGAATCGATCAAAAACCTGGTACTTTACTTGGTTATCAAGGTCTTTAGTTCTCTGATGAACTTTGCTTGACTGGCCTAGGTACGCAGCAGTTGTAGTTTGTAACGCTTTTTTATTGTTTTCCTTGTTGATTACAACTACATCTAGATCGATGTTCGTTGACTGCTTGTGCACAAAGAATAGAACATCCAGTGACAACCAAAATAGAGATGTAAGAATCAAAGCTTGTACTAAAGTTTTCCTTCTAGCTTTTAGTTTCATTGTATTACCAACTTTCTGCTTACATCATTGGAATTAGGTTTTTGGCGATTCAGTGGAAGGCCCGACATGCTCATGCTCTTTGAGCTTTGATGTTGTCGATCACAGAACAATACTGATCCTTGATCTAACTGGGCTAGTGTGTGTTTAATAGCATCTGTACTGGCTTAGCTAGGCTGGAAACGTTTTTTAATGCGATTCCACTTCTTCCAGCATTTTTAAAATCTCTTTAATCAACTGCCATTAAAAGTCGCGAAATAACTTTAATAAATATCAAGGTGCCGGTACTCATATAAAGATCCATTTTCCTGCTAGTTTCGGTTTTTATTACATTCATTCGCCATAGACATAGCTAAAATAAGATTCAGGCCTAACAAAACAATATTTTTTCATTTATTATATGTTTTGAGACAGCGTGCATGGTAAATTACAATGTAGTGCCACTGGATTTTAAAAACATTTGAATCCTTTTTTATCAAACCTGCTTATAGAAACAATCTTACCTCAAGAGCAAATCGCTGTGTAAAATCTTTCTAGCAAAAACCTAAGTAGTCTCCTTCAATGCACCTTTTACAAATCGATACTTTATCTGGCATCTCATTTGTTGTAGATGTGTAGCACTGTAGGTAGACATTATCAGAAAATGACGCCAAGCATCAACAAGCTTGGATCTCTTTCGCTGTTCTGCATTCCCTGGGTATTACAGACTAAAATATGGAAATGCAGGATTAACAAACGGTTAACGGTTTGAATAGCATCATCACAATAGTAAATTACGTATCACCACGATTCTTTTCTTTTTAGCAATATATGTTTAAGGCTTATGATGTTGAATGTTCAAGAAGGAAGAAGTTTCAAAATCATCAGTTTATTTAACATAAAAAGTTTGCTATTTGGCAAAAATGTGAAAAAAGTGTTGTGGCTTCCAAGACTCTTGGTTGTAAAAAAACATATGATTTGCTAAAGGCAATTTTAAAATTTCAATTAAAAAATTCCATCCAAAACATCTGGAAAATATAGTGATGCAAACAATTAAAGAACTTCAGTTTTGAACATTAGGTATGGATATCTGTAAAAAGGGTTCACTTTTACAATTGATTCCAAACTGGAAAAAGTTTATTTAAGAAGCCTATTTCAACCAAAACCCAACGAATCAAACCATTTCGACTTAAGCGATCAATGATCATTAGATTACAAGGGCACAACCAGCTCAGTTGTGTTGAAAATTTGTAGCGTTTGTGCATTTTCTTGTCAATAACTTCATTCGAAACTACAGGTATGATGAACTGAAGCTTAGCAAACAATTTTAACAGGTGGAAAGTGTTCCAGCAGTCAATTCTTCATAGAAAATACTTCACGGAAGATTTCACGGAAAAAATAGAAATATATTATATAAAATCTAGAACCAACTTGCGCGCATGAATACTTTACTACTTAGCACGACCTCAAAATTGTTTTGAATAAGCTCTTTAACAAATCAGATAGGAATGGAGGAAAAATGTTGTTTCCAAAATTCCTATACAAGGATGAATTGAGTAATAAGTCGAGTACTTATTTTTTTAGACATTTCCGTTTCCAAGATTTCCTCCATTACCATCATTAACGACACTTCAGTGAAACTGTCTAAATTTATTACAACACTGCAAATGCACGCTAAGACCATGTTAATTGGTTTTGTTGTACGTGTAAACGTAAATACATCTAGTTCTGTTGGGTTTAATCGGCAATACGTATAGGTGTATATTCAATCTAAGGCAAACAGGATCTTGTGCTTCGAGCAGGAAGGAGTGGCGAAGGGCCCCATGCCGGAAGGTGTTACCAAACAGACATAGCGAATTGTCTGAGCAAGTCTCGATGCACTGAACTAAACTGAATGCAGTCTTGTAAAGTCTACAACCAAATGCGTTAATACGGCTGAAGTTGATGATTATTATCATGACGATGATGATTGCTATCATTATTATTTATATAAAAGTTATTGATGATTAAAATCGAAACGCATAGACTCCTTGGACAAGCTAAAAAGCTATTCTAAAATATGCTTTAACTGAAAGGTATTTTATAGATTTAAACAAGAAATTAAAAAGAAACAGAAGGAGAATTCCGCATATTATAATGCAAAAGATGCATGGTATAGCTAGAATAATAATGAGTTTTGTCCAAAGAAATCCTTGATAGACATCAACATCTGCTTTGCTGGATTCACTTACAGAATTGTGCATACGAATTGAATTCATACTCGAAAAAATGACAAGAGTGAAGAGAGATGCAGATTCAAGTGAATTTAGAATCTTGTTGTTGAAAGGTTTGCAATATAGGTGATGCAAAAGAAATACCACTTGTAATGCCAGCAAGAGGAACGATTTCAAGATTTGATTTTGAACAAAGGTTACCACTAAAATCAGAACAAAACGACGAAAAATGTAGACACCTTCCCACCATAAAAACTCTCGCTTGCCTCCCACCTTCCTGAACGGTTCTATCAAACTCTTTAGAATTCTTTCGACAACGGGATCGCTAATTGTCTGAGACTCGTCATCCGGACTTTGCCTTTTCATTTTGAACACGAGGTAAAAGAGGAAAGGTAATGGAAATATGCAGCCGATCAAAATTCCGGTTTTCTTTGTCTTTTTCTGCAGCAACAAGCTAGGGAGAAAGGAGACAAACAAGCAATAAGGTAAAACCCAGAAAAATGCAAGGAACATAAGTGCAACTTGCCAGACTGTATAGCATTCTATGCTGCCTTGTATGAAAAGTCTTGTTTTAGAGTCGACATCGATGCAGTGCAGAAGTTTAAATATTGCTGTTGTATTAGCCCCATATGCCAAGACAAACAGCTCGAAAGCAGCAAACAAGGCTCTTTGATGAAGGATGTTCCCTGTTCTGTTGAACCTCCTGCATGGTGATAGCTTACATATGCTTGACATTATAATTATTATACTTAAAACGATGAAAACCATTGAGATAAGCCCGATACGAATAAACATCTTCGTGACGGGTGTCATATCGTCCAGTGCACACAGCCTGGAATCACGAAACGCAACCGCATTGAAGTTGAAGAAACTTCGCGGCAGCTGTTGCAAAAAGTCAAATTCGATGTGATAATCATCCTGATTCACAATCAACTCAATCTGGTAGAAATAAAACATAATCTTTAGTAATCCTCCTCCTAAACCTTCATCCCTGTAAACGTACTCGGTATCACTATCATCGAAAGTAATCTCTTTGGAGTTCACATCAACCAGGTCATCATTTCTGAAGCCAATGTATGAACCATCAGTGGAAGATAGCGCCTTATCAACATTTCTACCAAAGCTGGAATGAATTTTTTGAAGCTTTCTTTTGACAAATGCGAACATTTCTGACTTGTATAAAAATAATGTGACGTAAATGGCGACAATCAATATACCGAGCAGCCAGAACTGTCGCTTGTTGCAATCCTCGTTCTTGATGCATTCTTCAGATAGCATACTTTCGCTGTAGCCAGTGTCACATGTTGCACACATTATCTGACTTCTATTTGGAGCACAAGAATTATATTTGATGCATTGTCTTCCTTGACAGCCATACCGTATTGGTAGTTGAACATAGGTAATCCCCCCAAGTCCCTGCCCCCCAAGTCCAAGTCGCTAAAAACCCCAAAAGTTGTTCTTAGGTCGCGTAAGACCTGAAGCACATATTCCGCCAGGTGAGCACAAATGGCAATTTGAATTGTTAGTCCTTTGCTCGAAAAACACGCTCGGAAATAGACTGTAATGATTGTAAGAACACATCTCGCATTTTATTGAAAATAAAGAAAAACTTTTCGTGGCAGAGTCATTGCTTTGAGACTGTACAGCTGCCAAAGAAACGAAAAACCCAATTGGACATTGAAATTTAGTCAAACGGTCAACGGAGATCACATCATTGTTAATGAAGATAGCATTTGTCTCATGAGCAGAGCTCACCACGCTTACATTCTTCAGGGCCATCTTTGACATACTGTATATCATATCGCCTTCAACTGCCCGATTAGTGTGCCAATGTGATGATTCAATGGACACCTCAGAGAGCTCGATTTCCGATGGTCTGAGATTCGAATAGAGCGTGCCTCCTAAAGCTCTGGCAGTGTTTGAAACAAATGTACTCCTATTCACAAAGACCTTTGCAACGCAGTCTTTCGGCCCAACAAATGCCAACGCACCACCGTAGCCTGTCTCGACAACGTCAGAAGCTTTGGGAAGATCACAACTATTGTACTCAAGCCTACATCTGTATATTGACACTTTATTAGGGCCATAGCTGCATACAGCTCCACCTTGCAATGAAGCCTTATTATTTGTAAAAACGCTGTCAAGTACGGTTAAAGATAAAGGGTAAACAGTGTAAAGGTTTATGCCTGCACCAGAGGCTGCAGCGTTATTTGTAAACACTGAATTTCTTACGACAAAGTTCAAGAACTTGTCCGGATCTCCCACCCCTTGATAACTTATAAAGACAGCACCATCAGATTCACGGAAGATTCCAATATTTCTGAATGTGCAATCTGATATTGTCATATTAAGCCGTCCGTAAGCTCCGATGCCAACATTTATTCCAGATTCAAAATATTGGAATCTAGAGTTGTAAATATGTATATCAATATTATGATTTCCATATATACCTGATGCGCATTCGGTATGAGTGCCAACTATACAGTATTTTAAAGCATATTTAGAGCGTCCATTTTCCCCTAGAAAAGCACTGTTTCTTATGGATACTTGCAAAATTGAACTGCCTTCTCCAAATGCATGCACACACAGTCCTTCCCGGTTGTGGGAAAAGATAGTTTTCTCCACCGTTAACTGACACCCGTACTCACATTGATAATAAACGCCAGGTTGTCCGGACGAAATTTCGCAGTTTGAAAACCTGACAGATGCATCCTTCACAGAGACTACCTTCGTAAATAATCCTTTTCTGTTTGTACCATTCAATAAGGTGTTATCAAAAGAAACTTCTACTGTTCTATCCTTTCTGTACGGCTGTGGGCTTGTTATAACAAAGTTGATGTTGCAATTGTTGCACTGAAGAGCTGGCTTTCCACTTATTCCTTTAAACCTGAGTGACTTATTAAGAAATACGGTGCTTTCCACATACACAGCGCTAGAAGTGCCCCAAAAAGTGCCGTCTATCAAAACGCTGTCATTATCTTTACTTCTTGTATTAACAGCGTGAAGAACACTTGAGCATGCATTCTGTAGAGAATCTCCACAGCTTTCGCTATCATAGCCATGGTGTGAAACGTATATATCGTACGCATTCAGCCCTAAAACATTCAAAAGAATACAACTGTTACAGAAACAGTTATCTGGGTACAGTACAGTACAAACAATAACCAATCTTAAGATCACAAATTACCTCACTCTGCTGCTACAAGCCTCCTTAAAAGCACTGGCAGTTATTACATACAATTCTGCAGACTTCATCGATTTAAAAAAGCTCGCTTCTACTGAATAATATTTGAGAGAAAAGCATCAAATGGATGGATCTGAAATAATTTCAGTCATACTTAAAACCTCATAGACAGTGTTGAGTAAACTTAAATGGTAAGACTGGGCTATTTAAAACATTGATACGTGTAATTATTCTACAAGGTTCTTGTCCGGGATCACTCTTTAATTAACTGTACACCAACGATCAATCATTTGCTTTAAATAAATTGAAATCCACTTTATATATTAATTAAACTAAAATCTTTTTCCACAATAATATATATGATCTGATCTGATAGTTACAACAAATCATTTACTAGTAAAGATCTAATCAGTAATTGATGTGTGGTTAGGCTTCAAGCAAAAGTTATGCAGATATAGCCTTTCTACACTGGCATTACCATAAGAAATGATCATAAAGAAATTGAATGGGTGAGAAATATTAAATATTTCAAATTTGCCAAAAATCTCGCATGGAGGGATTAAAATAAAGTATATAATCCTAAGTTTCCCAAGCTATAGTAATTCAGGGCCGTCGCTAGCGGTGGGGGGGGGGGGGGCGGGGGGTGCACTCCCCCCCCTCTAGAAAATTCTTGTCGGCAAATTTTTTCAAAGTAGAGTTTTGTCGGGTTTTGCTTTCAAAGTTCCCAAAGCAATAGCTTTAGCAAACAGTTGGGATAAGATGAGGATGTGAACTTAAAAGTATTGCCCAAAATCCCTCAGCAATTCAAAACAGGAAAAGATAGCGCTATGGGTGTCACGGAGGGGCAAATGTCCCCCAAAAACTTCAAATGACTCCCTTTCGGCAGCTGGAGTCTAGAATCTAATGTCCAATATCCAGGGCGACCTAATTTCTTTCTAAAGTTTGGGGTTTAGGGAAGGGTCAAAGTTTATTGAAAAACTCTGAATGTTGATCCTGGAGGTACTGGAAGCCACTGTAAGCAGGGAAAGGGGGCAAAGTGCCTCAGGGCCTTGAGGTCGAGGGGGCCCCAAGTAGTAAAGAACTCCATTTTAAGAATGAAATCAATGAAACGTAGATATGCCTAAAAATAGTTAAAAGTTCTAAACGATTGCAAGAAATGACTGCAAGAAAGACTCTGAAATGCATTTTAAGACAATCTAAAGGGCGTGGTCGCAATCTAAAGATCAAAATTTCCTCGTCTTTCAGTTTTGATTCAAGGCCTTCGAAACCTAAGTACCCACAGTCACTTGAAAATTGAAGCGATGATTGATTAACGAGAACATCCTCTTTGATAAACAAAATCAATTGCGTCAAAATGCCACACCCCCACATTGAAATATCTTAGGCCACGCCCTATTTTGTCGGCAAATTGGTGACTGGCACCCCCCTAAGTGAAAGTGCTTAGCGACGGCCCTGTATAGTATAGCTGAAATATGCAAGAAAATGCCTCAAAAAAGATCCTGCAGGGCTACTCCCATTATGGCCCTAATAGGGGGTCCACTCAGGGTCAATGAGGGCCAAAGCTAAAAGGTTAAAAAATTACCCTCAGGTGTTTTGGACAATAACCCTCAAATGGTAGCATAAAGACAGAAATTATGTCATTGGTAGCATCAATTTCTTTGAACAAGCTGGGTCTTTTTTCGAAAAAATTTCTTTGCTATTGACTGTTGTTGATTCAGGAAAGATAAAACCTTGTTCATTGTCTATAATAAATGGCAAGGTAAACTAAGCCTTTGTGTTATTATCGAAACTGGACCATTTGGTAGACATTTGGTAACCCTCACATAGACTGTCCCCCTGTCAGGCCTTAATAGGAGTACCCCCCTTGGGGGAAAGATCCTTTTTATAAAATGTACAGCTGCTTAGTTGAGCCACATTTCAGTTTTAGCTGTTTAGTATGGGGTTGTTGCATGGGAAATGAATGTATGGGAACCATGTGGGGGAGGCCAGAGGCCACAGTGGGGCTGGAAGGAGGCTTCTTGGGTTTATCCACTATTTGTGACCTTGGCACCAACAGCCCCCCTCCCCCCAATAAAGTTTCTCCTGGTCTCAGGCTTGATGCAGGGGCTCCAGAAAAACACTTCAACAAGTCAATTAAACCTGAACTGGCACCATCATATCTAAATGATATGATAAACTAAACCCTTGTTCATTTCAAATAAACAGAAATGCTATAAGCTTTTGAACAAGTTGAATAATTAACAAGAGAGAGCAACTTTGTTTAAACATTCAAGAAATTGCTTGGGGTTTATAGGATTCCCTTTTATGATCTGGAAATTCTTTTGCATTTTTAGGAAAAAAAATTATGAAATATTCCTAAACTTATCTATGGATTGTTATAATAACTTTTTGCTGTAGCAGGGCAAATTGGAAAACAGCTGGATTTTTTCTGAATCGTACCCTGTACAAATATGCTAGAAAAGAAGAAAACAGAAATAGCCAAAGAAGAGGTTCTCAGTTTTTATGTATTAAAAGAACTAGTCTTGATTTAAAGTTTCATCTAATTGATTCAGTTAAAAAAAGTTACTTTTAAGGAATCTGCGAAGGGCAGCCACTTGGAGCCTAATTTTACAACCCTGATTGCAAACTTTCCAAACACTCATGACAAAAAATGCACAATATGCATCTTCAAAAGTGTTCCAAAATTATAATATTAAACAATTTTTCAAAAACTGATTCTCGTTCCCCGTTTAAAAATTGAATTCTCGAAAATTGAATCGTTTGAAAATTCTCGTTCAATTACCTTGTTTGAAAAACAAATGCTTGGTTCCATGTTATTTATGAAAAGCATCAAAATTGAATGCTTGAAGATGCAAATTTTCACAAAATTATCTTCAGGAATGGCAAAATCTTTCCAAATCATCTGTGTCCATAGAAGGCTCTTTGAAAAGATAGCATAATCAAGCAGGGAGGCTTTGTAGATTATTTCCTCATAGCTTGTTGCTCCTTATATTGTTTTTTGTTTCTAAGGATTATTTTGCAAAAGTGATGATTCCACACATGCTAAATTAAAAAAAAACTTCCAAACTCATTTCTACTAGGAAATTTCTTTCTCTGATTCCAAAATTTGAAACATTTTAGGATTCAACCCCTTTTTGAATACTGTAAAACATACACCCTGGTGGGGATTGTATCTGCCAAGAGGGCCTCCTTTTCGTCTGAAAATTCTTGGACAAGATATACATTTATCTCTTTTCTTCTGGCGCAAGTAGGCCCATCGAAAATACCTTTCCACTGCAGACCAAATTTGTCATGAAAATGAGAGTGTTGCCAACTTTATAGAGTTGGAAAAAGTCTATTGAAGCTCAAATTTGAAATTAGGCTAGCTTTCCATATCAATTCAAGAAATGTATTATCCTTAAAATCATGTTTAGGCAAAACGTTAGTTTCCTGGATCTTATTCAAGGGCAGGTATCACTTTTCAGAATTTTATTCCTGGATAGGACCATAAATTTTTTTTGACAGTCATATCTCAGTCATTTTTCTTCAAGGTAAACTGTCAGAGGACAAAGACGACAGCGAAATAGACGAACGTTTTTAATATAATGCAATCAAGTATCGATAGGATCAACGGGGATTTCTGTAGAAACAAAGAGATTGTGGTAAGGTGTAGCAGGGGCGGATCTAGACGTTCGCACCGTTCGCACATGCGACAGTCAAATTTTAAAAATTATACTAAAAGTCCTTTTCCTCAACAACAACTTTCTCGCTTATTAAAGAATTTCCCATTTGTGTTTTAATTAAATTTGTTCAGGAATTATGCTTCAGTTGAATTTGACAACTGAACACCGTGCAGGAGCAGGAAGATCCAAGGTCTGAATCATGTATGATTCAAACCTTGCCATAAACACAAGCAAAATCTTAAACAAAATCTCGAATTCTATCTCGATCTTGATTCAATCTGATTCAAATCTCAAAGCATCCTGATTAAAAAACAACAGGGTACCAATGTAGTCAGATTAGGGTATTTCGGTGCACAGTATGATTAGTAGCACGTTCGCACCGATTCGCACAGCTTTTGTTTTAAAATATTTAGCCAACCAAATTGCTAGATAGTGCGAACTTCGGTGCACAGTATGTTTTTTAGTAAGGTCGCACCACTGGGCAAAGATTAATCCGTCGACATTGTGTGCTTTGTACAGTTTTGAGCTGATTCATTCCTGGCATGGGGAAGTTTTTCACTGGCGAAAAGGAATTTTGTGTTATGGAGTCGACTGGCTACATGTATAATGAGTACGTTAAACCTGATAATTTGGAAGACAAAGGTCGCTAGATTTTCAGAGTAACATTCGACACGGGATGTTTTCAAGTATCGACATTCATTACCACCTCCATGGATCAAGGGCCTACAAATGTCAATAAATGCCCTGGACTGGGGTGATACCCGCGATTTGGCTCTGGCGAATAAATAATATTTAGGACGTTGGCAGCGTAAAATTTTTATTTGGACAAAACTTTCAAAGTGAATCTTTTCAATGTGGATTTTCAGTTCCTTATCAGCCTTCAGATATTTCCGGGTAATGTTTACCTGCTTGGGTATTCCCCTGAATTCAAAGGGGTTTCTTCGGAGTAAACTACATGTTTACAAGCTGATTTGGTTTAGCTATTAAATAATATTAGTTATTAATGCAGGTTTTCATGAATATTTGTGTAAATTTGTTCTTTTTGAATAGTTCTGAAAATTCATTGCAATAATGTTTTTCATTTTTTTGTGTGACCTCGTTTGTCATCGTATACCATAAAAACAAATCAAGAGAGACAACTCGAATTTTTGCCTGATTATGAAAGGAAAACTGTGTCAATACGCTTAAGAATAGAGTCTCTTGATTTACGCTTGGCTAAGAAACAACACAAGATTGATTAGATTATATGAGGGTGGATGAGTAATTGAGACATAGGAACATATGAAAAGCTAGGGGGCTTGCTCTATTGTGTAAAATTTGTTAATGATTCTGTAGGATCAATTGAAAACTCAGATAAGGAATAAACAACAGTTTGACCACGTTCTAATTGAAGCCAATTTAATGTGCACATCGACTGTTAAAATGAGAGGGGGGTGAATATCCTTAAAAACTATGGGTGTGGTCACGAATGATTTTTTCGACCACACCCTTGTGTGCGACAGTCAGAATACTTTCTAGATCCGCCCCTGAGGTGTAGCGTACCTAATGTTTATCAAATTTTTCAATAAAAGTGTCTGGAGTTAAGTGCGAATCATCGTCTGATCAGGGTGGGATCTGCTTATCTTCTAAGACAGTTCGTCTAAGGCTCGCCAAGCGAATATTTTCTTGAAATGCAAATAGACAGGACAAGTCCGCTCTGGAGATCTCTCGGGCTGGCTACACGGTTTTCAGCCCACTGTCTAGTGCATATCAAAAGTGGAAAATGAATGAATTACCTGTGATTTGCAAACTTGTTATAACAGACAGGTAGAGCACTAACTCGATAGCCTCCATTTAACAAACTCGTCAAAACGATTCTCTCAGTTGTTCGCTTTTTCTGACTTCCTGGAATAATCAACTCAACTCAAACCAAGGAGGCATATCACGTGCTTAGCTTGCTTCATTCCTGCTTTAAGAGCGGTTGGTGGTGCTACTGTAGAAGGAGGGGGCTAAGAGAACTAGGACACCCATACCCTGTCGTAAATGCCGAAAGTAACCCTTCCTGCTATTTTTCTTTCAGATTTTCACGAGGGCCTCTTGTTCGTTCAAAAGCACTACCCCCCGCACCCGGTCTAGATTTTATGGCAGTTTTCGACGAGATCCCGGGAGTGCATAAGCTGTTACCCGGGAGTGCATAAGCTGTTACCCGGGAGTGCATAAGCTGTTACCCGGGAGTGCATAAGCTGTTACCCGGGAGTGCATAAGCTGTTACCCGGGAGTGCAAGGGTGCATTTGTGATAAGTGTTTGCATTTGAGGGTGCATTAAAATTCTCAGTGATTCTGAGTGTGTGCATATTTTGTCCTGCACTTTTCCTGTTTACATCAATTTTACATCTCAGGGAATTTCATGATTTAAAATTGAACTATGCTTACTTACCTATCACTACCATTAGTGACCGTTTTTCAAATTCCTAAAGATATGGTAAGTAAAGGGACAGCTTAAAAAGGTAATGTTTAAAAAGGCCAAAAACATGATTTCACAAGCAGGGCCACGGAGAGGGGGGAGGGGGGAAATTCCCTGAGGTCTTTGAACCTCATAAAAAAAGGAATTCCATTTTAAGAATGGAATTTATTCGTTTCAAGTTGAATGATAGTTATCCATTTATAGAATGGAATTAATAGTAAAATGTTACAATGAAACAATTTAAATAAAGTAATATTAAAACAATTGCAAGAAAACGACTGCAAACAATATTCTGCAGCGTATTCTGCAGTCAATCTAAAGAAAGGGGTCACACAAATTTTCTGCTCGCTTCGCTCGCAAGGATGCCTTTCTTTTACAGTTTTGCCTCAGCCCCACTGTAATTTTTTTACCGGCCCTAATCTAAAGTGGATCACGCAATTTAGAATGACACATTATTTTCCAATCTCAGTTGTGGAAAAATTTAAAAAGTAATTTTGCCATATTTGAAAAACTTTCCAATTTGAGGTACATCCAAAAAAACGCCCAAACCATGCCCATCTTTCGGGTATGCACCCACTATTTTACAAAAATCGCTCGGGAATGCAGATGCCATGGAATCCATACTGGCCCCACACGAGCCCCTTTCAATGCAGCATCATTCATAGGGCACGTTAGGCACTGGTTTAGGGCCTCTAGCGTGAGAAGGGCCCTTAAATTTCCGACATGGACGGATTTTTCCGAAAATATTAATGACACATCATCTAAATCTAATATTTTGACAATAACCGCTTCGAAATTTCTCAATATTTTAAGCGAGGAATAAAGGTCCTGAAAGTACGGGACCCGACGATTGGTTTACTTACAACCTACTGAAACACGTTAGATTTACATCAAGAGAAATACTTTTTACATTGGGTTGCCCCTAAAACTTAAACAAAAAACAACCCAAGACCCCTTGCAAGAGGCACACCCAGTGGTGTAGCTTGACCTCCCGGACTAGGGAAAGCAGGACCATCAATATTAAAATTTACCGACGAAGACATAAATGACAAAAAAATTTGAAAAACAATTTTACCGATAAACTAAGGATTTTGCTGACCAACTGAAGATTTACCGACCAACTCATGCCCCGCTAGCTACGCGGCGAGCGTGTTTTCTACTGTAAATGTAACTTTCGACCTATGGCAACTCTATCTAAATACTGGAAATCATCCACAGCATACCACAGCATACCTTTCCGCGCTAGCGCTTCCATGTCATTGCTTCCGCAAGAAATTCTTGGAACCGAAACTGCGTCATGCTGGTCAAAACGAGACTGCATGTACAAGAGACTTCTTACTTAGGCCAGCAAAATCTCTATTCTGTTGCGAAACGAAGACGATTTGATCAGTGACGAGTGAGGTGCTGTCCGTAAAAATGCCAAGCCAATCACCCGAGGAAGCAAAACGACTTGCGTTTAGAACACAGTTGGTTCTAAGTCGATACCGAACGCGAAATATGCTCTTAGCAGGATCGCTAGTCGCAGCAGTTTCAGGAGTGTGTATCTTTTCAATATCGTCCTATTTTTGTGTGGTCACGTGTTACATTTTTTAGTCCAACTTCGAAATACCATCACATTTGATAGGCAGCTAGCGTTTCACAAAGTATTTTTTAATCTCATTGTAATAAATCCTAAATCTTACAAAATCCACAGGGCTGTCAATGTTTACTTGGAGAGTTCTATTTAATACACTAAAACTGAAATACAACGCACTTAAACTTCATAATTAATTATTTTTTAATAGAATCGCAAGTTTAGGAATATTTATTGATGGGTAATCTAAGTTTTATACCATGGATATTCATCCGTTATGTTTTCCAGTTATTTCTCAAATAGGTCAGTCTGTATATTTCTGAAGCAATTTTTTGGGTATCCTTACATTCAAAAGCCCTGTGATACCACCCCTGTTTCTTCACCAACCACACCTCACCTTCTGCCATTTACCATGATACAGACCTGCCAACTTTTCTAAGCTCAAAATCTGGAGGGCAATCAAAGATCTGGAGATTTTACAGAGTTTCCTAATGCTCTTTTCAAATCCATAGGTTAAATTGAACTGGTGATTCTTCTCTGTAAAAGTTTGTTAAAAAAATATTTGAACAGTTGAATGGATACATTATAGAATAGAAGAAAAAGTTGCAAATTTGTCCTTCCATCTTTGGAACTTTTTGGATCAAGTATGTAGCAGGCATGATTGAATAAAAGGGATAATTGAAATTTTGCTAGTTTTTGTTTTTCTTTTCAATCTATTGAAAAGAGAAAAATCCCAAAGAGTTGGCAGATTAGCTGATTTGGCATAAATCTCATGCAAATACAGAAAAGTAATGGTAAAAATGTTCTTCAGAGCCAAACTTCAAATGTTTTCATAAATTGTTTGAGGTCTTTGATGAGTCAGTGGAAATTTCAACCAAAACATAGAAATGTGACCAAATATTTTATATTATGAAAAGCTGTTATGTCTAGTACTTAATTTTATGTAAATTGTATTGAAAAAAACAACTAAGCTACTTTTCTGTTTAAATAACACCAATTTGGTACCATTTGATTCATGACAGGTTGTTTCAAGACTACTCTTCAAGATCTGGTTACAGCCATACCTATCCAGGAACATTTAACTTTTCATGTGTCAAATGGTTAATTTCTAAGTAAAAAACCATATTCCTTTTACATTACCCAAAAAGCCATACTCAGTTTATCATCACACAAAAAGCAACCTTGTCAAAGTTCAAGTAGAAATGTGCCAAATACTTGTGTGGCCTTGCTATCCCAAGGTATTTTGGAAGTCTTAATGGTACTACATCTTTTTGTTTAAAAACTGCAGGGATTGCCTTGACTAATTTCTAGATGCCTACACGATCTTGCAAGTAAAGCAAGAAGATTTCTCAGAGTATGACAACTTACCACGACAGACAAAGTCTTGAAGGCAAAGTTGAAAGATGCTGTTTTTGTAAATGTTAATCATTTGGTGGAAACAAAAATATCTCTGGAAACTGATGTGAACTATGTGTGTGTAACTTTGTACAGCAGTTGTGGAGAATGAAATTTTGTTTGTGGAAATTGTCAAAATTATAAACAAAACAGTGAATGACAATTGTTAGCTGCAGCAATTAGACTTTCATTATTAAGTATCAATTTGAAATAAACTTAACAAGCTCTTTCTGCATCAGACAAACTTTTCTCCATCTTTGCTTATATCAGTTAGAAGCTTTAATAAATAATCAGTCAGAATTTTGTAAACCATTATTGAAGAAATCTTAGTACAAAGATAAAGTAAGTTATTTATTTCAAACAAATATACATCTATAAAACATGTAAAATCAAAATGATCCATCAATTTTAAAATAGTAAAAAAAATCCTTTACAAAAACTGAGAACTTTTGAAGCAGAGCAAAAACCCTTCTGTCTGTACAGAACTGCACTATTATACTGCCTCAAAAAGGTCAGCATCATCATCATCATCATCATCAGAAAACCTGATTGGTTTTCTAGACTTCTTTGTTCTACCAGTACTTTTAAGTCCAGCTTTTGTTCTTGTTTTCTTAGGTGTTTTGAAATTAAAATTCTCTTTTTCCTGATCATCATCAAAATCGTCAACTTGTTTTCCTTTTCTTTTGTTATCACCTGTTTTGAGAAGAGGAATGTCACTATGAAAAACAAGTATTTGTTGTCTAAACTGGAATGTGAAGCATTTCCAAAATATTGTTGTTTTATACACAAATTCTGAAAGACTTTTTTCACCTATTTTGGTACTAGGTAAAACGCAGGGAAAATTATCAAAGCAAAGTAAAATCAACCCAATAATCTGATCATTTGCTAAACTCTTCACAAAAAGGGAGATGATTTGCAAAACAGTATTTTAACCCATCAACTTTGATGTACCATCATTCTGTGTGTCCCCATCTTTCTTTGATTAAGTTTTCAATCTGTTATGTTATTTGCCAGCAGGATGTATATCATGTCACCTACTCCAGCATCAAAATAAGTTTCAGTTAAGTCATTTTTTCTGATGGAAGAACTTCTTACAGTTTGATAGGTTTCAGGTGAAAGTTAGCCAAAGCCTCAAAATCATAATGTCATGATATCACATGTTTTCACAAATTTGTATCTAGATCCTCTTTGAATGAGTTTTTTAACACACTTAAATGCTAACCTAAAAGCAACCCACTAACAACTGAAAACAAATGAAATGGCAAGGTGGCACAAATGCTTTCCATAAGAACCACATACCAACTGATATATAAATATAAATTTAAAAGAAATATGATTGGTAAAGTACTAAGATATAATAATTAGTTGCCTGGTTTATTTTTCTGTTTGTTCTTTCTCAGTTCTGCTTTATGAGAGGCTTTGGCTGCACGTTCAAATCCAGCTTCATCATCAACTGCTTTATTGTGATAGTTGATCACTTTTTGTTCAAATTCTTCAAGTGTCACCTAGGAAGAGTGGATTTACTTTGCTTTACAAAATTCTACAAAGCCAGATTGATTTTTGATATATAGATGAAATTTGACATAGCATTAAAGTCTGTTTAGGTTTGCTATGTAAAAATGTCATTTTTGAAAACAGGAAATCAGTATGCCAAGGTTAAATTATTTTTGTTAATTCCATACTAAGGCTTTGGAAAGAATTAGATGATGTGACAATTTTTAATGGCAACTGTAACATACTTTTAAAATGAAAATCATTTTGTATCACGATATTGTAGTGGTAATAATTTGCCTCAAACACACACCTCTTTCAATGTGAAATTTCTGTGGTGAAAAGCTAAAAGAATTACCAAATTATTAACTCATCAATTTAAAAGACTTATTGGTTTTAAATTTTCTCACCTTGAAGTCCTGCTTGATAAATTTCTTTGACTTGGAAATTATACTTGCAAAATATTCAAATACTTGTTGATCACTAAGGGCTTCTTGGAAACAAGAAAAGTTCTCTTGTAGCTTTTTGAAACACTTTTCGTTGAAGGGCAACTGAGCAACACAAAATGCAAGATCTCGTCTTTGCCTTGTGGTGCTATGGAAAAAGCGCGTCATCAAGATACATATCTACACAGTCGCAAACTAGACTAATCTAGCTTTATAACTACTATCTATCTGCTGGATAATGTACAAAGACCCAATAATGGGCATTACACTCAATTTTGTTAGTGGTTAGTTGTTAGTAGTTAATTAATAAAATTTAATGTGTTGCACTTTTTAGGAAACTATACTGCTAGATATTTTCAAACGAAATGAGTCTTAGTAGTGCAATGAGGGCAAAATTTGTGAGTTGGGGTGATTGGTTTGTGTTGAACAGTATTAGTTTCCCAAATAGAAACAAATAGAATGGTAAATGAGGTAAATCAAATTTTAAGTTTCTTTTCAGTTCTAAGTAACATAATTAGCTAAAAACTGTTTTTGTACTCTTCAGTATAAACTGGAAATATTTATGTGATCTATAGCTGCCTTGAAGTTATTTAATGACTGATTTTCCCTGACATGGGATAAAATTTGTTGATTGTATCACAAAAGGAAACAAAAATAAGCATAGGTTAGTGATATAACAATAGTAAACTGACAGCCTTACTACAATGTGATTCCTGCAATGCAATGTGATTATTCAAAGATAATTTATGCAAAAATACTGTTTACTGGTCTGTAATAAACTTCTAGATTGCTGTCATATTGGCAGTGCTGTGCAGAAGAGGATAGTTCTTGGTTGCTAACTCCCAAGTTTCATGCTTAATGCGATCATCAAGCAACTTAGAACTATCCTCTTCTATAAACCAAAAACGTCTAATGAATATAAGATGTTGATTTTAATATATTCAATAGACAACCTAGTTACCTTGTCACTCTAAAACGATGACAAAGTTTTTCAATAAGAGCCTCTGACTGCTTGTCTTTCTGTATAAACTGCAACAAATATCTAATAAAAATAAAAAGAATGATAATTAGTTGGATCAACAGATGGGAAATTTTATGAGAAAAGTTTCAAAGTTATTTTTCCTTACATGCAATCATATATTCTATATAAATGTGCTTATTTCTCATGACCAGAAGGGCCATTTCTCATGCCTAGATAGGGATCATCCATAACATCATGTGGGATATATTGAGTCACAGGGCCTGTAACAGACAAAATACAATGAATCAGTATAATTAGCCATTAGATAAAAGTTATACATACTCCATTATTCTCTGGAACTTTTTCTCATCAGTGTTACTGTCTGGATCTGAGAGTCTGCTGATTATATCTGGCAATACATTGTATAGGGCATTTCCCTAAAAATTAAAAGGTTTCAATAGTTTCAAAAGTAAGTCATGATCATCCTAAACCACTTTCCATGAAGCATTAGTCATGTAGCAATGTGAAAAAAGTATGATTTTTCTGAAAACTGTACCTTTTGAGAAAATTCTGTGAAAAACAACTTTGCTAAATCAGCAATTCTCTTTTCCTCATCTTCAAGACGAAACGCCATTTCTGAAATCTGTCCTTTGACTTTGACCATATCATTCAGTATAAGATGTGTCAAAACAGTAACTGTTGTTTGTCTGACTTTGACTGATTCATCAGCCAACCTGAGGAGAGGTTAAAATTAAAATATTAAATCAAAACGTGCGCAGAAACAAAGGATGCATTTCAAGATTGAGAACACATGTCGGCAAAAAAGAGGCACCTCCAAGATCTTCAAATAGGTTCTTTACCTCTATAGTTTTCCCACAAACAAAAGGGTATTTGCAACAATTAAATATATGTTTTATTCAATCTTCAGATATTTTGACCCAACTAGCAAAAAAGGATTGAATATCAATTATATCCAACAAAGTTTTTTGCTATGCAACCAATCCTGTAAATTTAAAGGTCCTACTTTGTTGTTGATCACAAAGACTCAACATTGGCAGGAATGTGACATTGTAGTGTCACCAGAGTACACAATGACATGTATTTAGTGAAAAAGCAAGCAAGATTTATTTGCTAGTGCAGATAAGGATCCTTGTAGCTTATATATAGCTAATGTGGAACAACAGCTTGTGGTTCAAAATTGATATCAATACCCCCAGATACTCATGTACAATTCTCAAAAAGGATGGACTGCTAAGCTGCCTGGAGGTTTTCAAAAAATGATCCAGATATGACTCTAATTCACAATGTTTAGATAATTAGCTGAGTGCTTTGACCACTGGTCCACACTATCAGGGGTAAATCATTTATGTAGATAAGGAACAGAAGTGGGCCAATATAAGAGGCTTGTGGGACATCACCATTTATATCACTTGACACTCAATAAATAAAACAACATTGATCTTGCAAAATTGTTTACAATGGTTTTAATAAAATGCCAACCAGTCATGCTGATAACCATACTTTTCCGTTGTTATGTACTTTTTAAATTTTTCCAAAATAATAGTCTGGATCACCTTGCCATTTTCTCTGAGGAGTGTCGTTCAAAAAGCTTTTAGCCAATATGTTAAAAAATGTTGTTGGCTTTTTCAAACTGTTGTTGGCATATTAACATTGGATGAGCTATAGATCTCACTTGTAAAAACAGTTTTGATGTATAACAGCTCTACTTGGGGACTGACACAAAAAGATACGAAAGGCCTAGATGCTTTTCACAGACAGCAACTGAGACAGCTAATAGGAAAAAAGTATCCTATCAAGAACTTGTACAAAAGATGCGAAGAAGGACCAATTTCAATTGACATCCTCAAGGGTAGATGGCGGCTGTTTGGTCACATATTACGTTTGTCCGATGATACACCGGCTGTGAAGGCAATGAGATTTTACTTTGAGGGATCGGAGAGGGGATTCAGAGGCAGACCTTGAGAAACTCTCATGACAACCTTAAATAAAGATATCACCAGAGCAAGAGCAATGGAATGATCTTTTCCACTACCGAACATGAAGAAAAATGGAGATTTTGAAAAGATACGATCCACAGCAAAGGACCGCAAAGAATTGAGAAGATTATCAGAAGTAGTGTGCAGAGCTGCAGAAGCAGAAACAACATGAAACCTACATGTTGGGGCTGCGCAACTGCAATTATATTTATATATATGAGCTAAAATAGGCATGTCTTACTTCAAACTTAATCTCTCCATTTTATTTTATGAAATGGCCAACAAAGCTCAATTTTTACTGTAATTTCAAAAAACGAAGTTACTTGGTCAGTTGAGAATACAATAAACAACCGATTTTGTGCCTAATGTGTGAATGAATGAGAATTATGTACTTTTATGGCAAACATACCTCCCATAAAGATGTGCAGTCCATGGCTCAATGAGGTTGGGAAACCTGAATGTCAAATCACCAAGTGCAATTATCGTATTTGCTCTTATTATTGGTTCCTTGGACTAGGAAAAAATTATAAAAAATTATATAAACCCTCGAGTTGCAAGGAAGTGGCGAACATTCAAACACAAGTCAAGATTCTTTCTATATAGATAATATTATATCATTATGCATAAGATAACAAATCTAGAAGAAAACATGGACAAAAACCAAAATTAGGTAAATGTTATATAAACTGTCGATTGCAATTGAAATTCTAAATCGATAAAACCGAGCATTTTAAAGAGTTTTTAAAGAATTTGTCTTTCTGTAGTGTGTCCAATTTCATTGTTTGCAGCCCTAACATGAAACGTTCCGGATACGATAGAAGTACAATAATCCCTTATTTACGTTTCCCTTTACCAATGAAATATTGCTTTTCATACAAGTCGTGTTGATAAACAGTCAAACTGTCTTAATATTATCGTGATATTAATATTATATATTATTAATATCAATATTAATCAATAGTTCTTACTTGTTCAAATAGAAAATTACTTCCTCAAGAAAATACATTAGGTTGTGAAAATGTTCTGGTTTATTTCAAAAGATTCAAAATGAATTGGAAGCAAATGTCGCAAACGTTCTTGTTTTTTCTTTATTATCCTCTACAGTTGCTAAAAATTATTGAAAACTAAGGCTGATTGGCAGAGCCACAATCGCCAGTCTCCTACGTCCCTTGAAACAATCTTGGTGCACTCCAAGTATTATATGCTTTGAAATAAAATTAATGTTTTAGAACATAACAAGATTCAAAAGTTAGCTTTGAGATAAGAAGGAGATGGAACGTGGCTGTATCAGTGAAAAAATAAACAATAACAAAAAATGGAGATTTAATGCAAAATTTCATAGAATCTTTTTTAGAGTAATCGTTTCAAACAGACACACTAACCGTTTACTTTTGTCAATAGTTATAAGTTTTTATACATATTTCTATTGCCGAGTGCATTTTTTTGATAGAGGATCCAGATGTTTTCGATTGACAAAACTGTACAACTTGTGTTTCTAGGTACCATAACAAAGCTTTCGGTTTTAGTGCCTGGGTATTTGGTAGCTTTGTCGATATTTTTGCAAAAACACAAACTTTACTTTGTAATGGCAGGCAATTCTATACAAGATGCTTGTTGGACTTGATATATTTCAAATAGCATTAAATACTACAAGACGAATACCAATATCATTTCACTTTTATCAAATACAATCAAGAGAACTCACCTTTTCGAGAATTGTAAATAGAAGTTGCAGGTTAGGCTCACAAAATTCAGAGCTGGAAAAAGTTATATTTGCTTAACAAATCAGATCAAGACTTCATCTTGTGAATTTGTGACAATGTAATGATAGTTAAAGATATCAGTGGCCAAAGTACCTTGTGCAGTATGACCTTAAAATTATTCGAATTTATCATCGGCCATGATGTACACTTACAACCATAAAATAATCTCGAAATCCCGATTGAACCTTAATCTCTACTTCTCCTTGTTAACAAACGAAGATCTTTGTCAAATTATCTAAAATTTGCTAGCACGTTGTTGGTGCCACATTGGATGATCATAATTATTGTTGACTGGCTCTTTGGTCCTGGTTGCCAAATAGACAAGCTCTGCTAACTTAGCTAGTAGGGCAAAACATTATGCAACTTGAAAATATTAAATAAATTGTTTATGTGTGAATGTATTGTTTATGTGTGATGGTTATTCTGACATGCGTTAGCTCTTTAGAACATTTCGAAGATGTTATTTGTCTTTAATGCTGATGGGGACAGCAAACATTGTCTTCGCTTTGTCAGGGAAACAGTACATATTTGAGTGTCAATACTTTTATAACACCATCTCGGAATCTGCGTATTAGCCAAGATATTTTGAAAAAGGGATGGCATTGAAAGAAAATTCGAGGAAAGCATAATAAACAGTACGAAAGGGCAAGGTAACCAAGGAAGTGATTTTGCTCGTTTTGATGTTTTCTACCATGATGCACGAATTACGCACCTCTGTGTTGAATTATGGATGATGTATTATAACATAAGAATTTGAAAGAATTCTAGGTTTACCTTACAATCATGAACTTAGATAAGGCTAAGCAAGCAGAAGTGCGCAATTCTTCGTCAGCAAATTTGACAGGATTACTGCATACGGAAATCAGCAATGAGCCAAAAACTGCCAACAGATTTGTTCCTGGAAACACAATGTAATAATTAAGAATGGCACTCGCTGATAGTGCTTTAAAATTTGTTTTAATTGCAAAAATACAAAAACTGGGCACAAGGATGTGCGTTCTAACCACGGTTTGCGAAGAAACAAAGGCAAAAACATGAACCAGCAGAAAAAAGATAAGGACTGGGGGGGGGAGGGGGGGCGGTTAAAGTTTTCTTCGTTGCTGCTTGAAAGCAAATGGTGCCACGGCTTCGATTAATTGTGGAAGGGATTTGTGTTTGACCAAAGGCTACTATAAGCCAATCACATTCATTATGAACTTGCGTATTCAAGGCGTCCTATGATTTAAAGAGGAGGTGTTTTTTGACTGTTCCATTAAAGGTTAACTTATACCGAACGTTTTCTTCGTGTTCTTAAAGACTGTTATGTTCACCAATAAACTAACTTTGCATTCACATTAGCGACAATAATTTTTACCTGTGACAATATCTTTTTCACAGACATTACGAATAAATTCAGTTTCCGCATCTTCTGCCGCAGCTCCACCAACTCCCAGCTCATCTTCGAGGCCTTCTTCGGTAGCCGTTGTTTCCTATAGAGCAGCATCATGGAATTATCATAATCGTTATCAAATACAGGGATGTGCTGGAAACTTGTGAATGTAAAATGGGACCAAAACATGCCAGTTAAAACAAACACATCTGAACATAGAATTTTCGTTGAAAAATAAACCTGTAAGCAGAGTCGTGTAAGCCCACAAACAAGAATAAAAACAACACGAGTATCAGCAGTTATATTTCTGAAATTTTTGCTAGCGTGAACCGCAGTTGAATGAAATATAAAATCGACTACTTGCTTAATAAAGATCGGCATGTGCGACAATAATAGAATCACATATGAAAAAGATGTGTCTTGTGCTGTGACGTAGCAATGATTTGTAATTCCTCGGCTAGTGATCCCCGTCAGTCATAACACAATCAAACTTCCTACCTTCACAGTTTCATTGACTGAACTACGATTCCTCCTCCTTTTCCCTTTCTCAGCTTGTTTCATTTCCTTTTCCTGCTCCTCTATCCGATGCCTCCTTTTCAACTCACTCAAAATGTTCACATCCATGTGCCCAAGCTGCTGGAAGGCAACCTGACCGATGACTGTGAGAACCCTTGCGAGGACCTTGGGTTGACAGGTGCCAGTTTCTGGTGTGCTCAAGGAGTCAGCTTCGGGAGAGCCTATGTAAGATTATTTATTTTATTACAAACAACTTGCAGATCAAACATCAAATAAGAAGCGGTTTGAGTAATTTTACGAAGTTGTTGTTTCCAATTTCTATCTAGCGCCAATTTAGAAACTTGCAGGATTGCTTTATTTTGTTTAGGTAAGTTGATAGGCGGGAACCCATTAAAATGGCCAAAAAGTAGGTCACAAAGAGTGAATTCTGGACTCTTGGTGGCGTGGTGCTAAACAACATGAAGAGAGCAATGAATTTTGCAAAACATGCTAAGCTGTGGAGCATAATTACCGTTTTCTTGGGGGGTGGAGGACTCGTCATCAGCTTCATTTGATGGCTTGGAAACCTGGTGTTCCACGACTAATGCTCTGATGAGGTTTTTGATCAGCTTTGCACATATTATGTCAGGATGCTCAGCCAACTGGTATATGACATTAACAGCCTGAAGTGCGAGGCTACTCCAAGAGGATACATCTGTCCTTTGAAGACCTGATGAAAAATCGGATAAATCATTCTCTAGTCAGAAGACTGCAGGTAGTTATTTCATTCCGTAATATAAATGATTTTCCTGAGAAATGAACTAAACTTTCAAGGTATAGTAGAGTGCTCTGTCAAAAGGCACAGCTAAAAGAACGAGTCATTGGCCTTAATGGGTACAGATGAATAAAAACTATTTGTAAGCGGAAATACATACTTTGTGGGCTCATCTATACTGTTACTATAGTAATCACTTTTTTCAGTCTTATTCATGTTGTTGATTTCTATCAACACATGAAATACCTAGTAGCAGGGATTAACAACAGTTTTCAGTTCTAAATATATTATTTTGCTGACAAGTCTATTCAGGCCTCCAAGAATAATTTTTTACAACCAACAGTTGTTGTAATTGCTGTAACTAACAATGAGAAATGAAGAAGAACAAAAAAAGAAACAGAACCAAAGGAAGAAGGAAAGGGAGAAGAACAGGATGAAGCGGAAGAATGAATAAAAGATTAAAACAATAAGAATATAAGATTAATAAGAAAAAGGAGAGTGAAAAAAAGAAAGAGGGGGAAATAAGAAGAGTAAGGTGGTCAAGGGAAGGAGGGAAATAAAGAAAAAGCATAACAGGAAGGGAAAAGAAGATTAATAGGAAGAGGGAAAAGAAGACAAAGAGGAAGAAGAAGAATAATGAGTAGAAGTATAAAACGATAAGAAGAATAGGAAGAACAATGAGGGGGGAAGGGGAAAGAAGAAGAGTAAGGAGGTCAAGAGAAGGAGGAAAATGAAGAAAAAGCATAACAGGAAGGGAAAAGAAGATTAATAAAAGAGGGAAAAGAAGAAGAAGACAAAGAGGAAGAAGAAGAATAATGAGCAGAAGAATAAAACGATAAGAAGAATAGGAAGAACAATGAGGGGGGAAGGGGAAAGAAGAAGAGTAAGGAGGTCAAGAGAAGGAGGAAAATAAAGAAAAAGCATAACAGGAAGGGAAAAGAAGATTAATAAAAGAGGGAAAAGAAGAAGAAGACAAAGAGGAAGAAGAAGAATAATGAGCAGAAGAATAAAACGATAAGAAGAATAGGAAGAACAATGAGGGGGGAAGGGGAAAGAAGAAGAGTAAGGAGGTCAAGAGAAGGAGGAAAATAAAGAAAAAGCATAACAGGAAGGGAAAAGAAGATTAATAAAAGAGGGAAAAGAAGAAGAAGACAAAGAGGAAGAAGAAGAATAATGAGCAGAAGAATAAAACGATAAGAAGAATAGGAAGAACAATGAGGGGGGAAGGGGAAAGAAGAAGAGTAAGGAGGTCGAGAAGAGGAGGAAGATGAAGGTGTAGAAAAGCAGAACACGAAGGGAGAAGGAACGAAGCTTAGGATTTTACTTTCCATGTTTAAGCCAAGAGCAATCTGCTAATTTTCGAACTTGCATATGCTGCAATTAAAGAGGCAGTATACATTTTACTTAACATGTCAAGCTCAATAGCAAGCAAATGATAAAACACTACTTGCAAATGATGTAAATCACCTTTCACTAGGATAAGTTCCAGCTTTTCGAAAATTTCATGGTCTTGTGGAAATCTAAACGGCTCTTTATCAGCATTGTTGATTTTCTGAAATTGACATAGAAAAAATTGACTGTTACTGCCAATCGGTAGTTGATAAGTCCAATAATTTCAAAGTTCAACAACAAGATTGTACTCTCATTCTTTTAAGGTTGCACTAAAACATATTAGAAGACAGTTAAATCGAACATTTTGCAGGAAAACTAAGACAACGAACCATTTTTAGTTGCTGGATAAAAAGCATTTCTGACCTCCTAACATTGCAATGATAATTTTCCAAAGCATAATGCCCCGATCAGGTTCCAATAAACACACCAGTGTGTTAAAATGCAGTCGAAGCACTTCTGTCTGCCATTCCTCTCTCATTGAATCACTGTCTCCGTGTAAGCTACATTTAAGCAACATTAAAACAATAATTTACAAGAAATTGACAAACCTTGTCTTTTACTGTAAGTTTCAGTAATGCAGTGCACGTGTTGAAAGCAAGTGGAAAGTCTTCGTGCGCACGAGGTCCGAGTCCATTGCTCACTAGAATATCGATGTTGCTGCTCACAATCGACTTCTCTGCCCTGCAAAAAAAAATTCAACCATTGACCAAAGTTTTGCTTTTAAAAAGCAATATAAATATATACAACAATCAAATTTATTATTTACCGGCAAAAAACTACAATAAAAGCAAATACTACTGAAGCGGCAATGGAGTGCTTTCAAGGCACAGCTAAAAGTCTAGAAAAAGGTGGAAATGTATCACAAACAATAGATGAACAGATCTCGAAGATGACAAAAAATGGATATAGTTTTTGATAAATGTAAAAAAAACTGACAACTTGGGCGATGCAAATCCATTTTCATAATATCATTTTATTTCATTTGGTAAATCATTTCATCTTACGTAAGTAGCGAAAAATTTGGCAAGAAACGACATAGGATGAAACACAAGGTAAGGGAAGTCAAGCAAAATGTTACCCTAGGCCGTTCTACATACAATCCTTGCTAATGCTCTTTAAAAAGTTGATAGTTCCCGGTAGCAAAGATCGATATCGATCCCTTTTTCTTACAACTTCCAACAAAATGTTGCTAACAGAGGTGGATATCATGCGACAGGAGTCAATTGGACGCCACTGATGCTATAAACATTATATAAAACAACATTTTTTACATAGGGCGAGGGGTTGCTAATGACAATGTACAAAAATCTAGTGTACAGAGCCAAAGCTTTCACATGGGTTGTAGGTCTGTAAACTGAAATTGCCCTTCGCCATTAAGACAACTATATACAGTATTTGTGAAAATGAGAGATGTGTACTAACCCGGCAAACATTCCGAGAAGAAGTACGGATGAGCGACTTTCCATTGGTGTCGTTTGTGGAATCTAAAGAGCAAGCGGAGACAATAGTTATTCTTATCGTGATGAAGCAAGTAAGGATTCTTGCTTTTTTCATCATTCTAGGGTTCTTGTTTTCAAATTTTAAAAAGAAAAATTCACTGACAGGCAATTTTCAAAACTGGCAGCTCTAAACTGCAGCCAAACATTGTTGTCCAAAAATTCCTTTCTTGTGGTCAAAACGGAGAAGCAGCAACTCAAGGTAATGGACAGAAACTCTGTCCTGATAAACGTCAGTTACATGAAGATCCCCCTATAATTGGAGCAAGACTACCAAAACTGTCCCTTTTTGTATTTTGGTGACTGAGTCTAACAGCATAGGAATATATTTATTTCATTTCTGTCACATTTCTTTGGACCTCACCGTATCTGAAACTACTGTGTCAACAACAACAAATGTGATCATCATTCAATAATGAAACTCAATTCATGTGCTTGAAACTAAAAAGCTTTTACAGAGAGAAAAACAAGATAAGCTTACGTTTATAACTTTAAAATCATTAAGGGCCTGATGCATTATATTGTCGAAAAGATGTGTCAAAAGACGAGGTTTTCAAAGAATTGGTTAAAACTCATATAAATGAAAACCTTGAAAGTCTTCCTAATGCATGGAAAAGGGGATCATTATATCGCGAAAAAGTGTGGGATAATTTGCCATGCAAAAGAGTGGGAATTTTAAGACACAGTTTCTTGCTGAGTGAAATCATTCGAAACAGAAAATTGTTGCAGGGAAAATGTTTCCATTTCTGATAAATAAGAGGTCATACTTGGCAAGACACGTTTCTCCTGAGGTGAATATAAAATCAGAAGAGAGCAGGGAGCTTGGAATAAAGTACATGTTCTTCCTACCTTTAAAGAGAATCTTTGCCACAGCAACTGCAAAACACTTTGAGGTATCAGCTCCATTTTGTATAATTCTTTCAGCTTTAAAATAAGCAAAACTCTTCAACGACATTTGAAATCAAATATATGTTTTTATGCATATATATATATATATACTTTATAAAAATTTATTAACTCGAGGCATCAAGACTTAATATTTTAACAAATCCTGGGCAAAGTAAAGACAGCTTGCATATCATATTTTGGGGAAGAAAGGTTTTTTATGATACTAAAATGTTAGTGGATACTGCGTAGGCCCTCCTAGCCAGAAAAAAGATCTAAATGCGAATGAGAGCTCACTTGTATTCAAACGCAAAACACTTTTACTGAAGAAGCTACTTTCTCTAAGGAAAGCCTAGTTAAGTTCTTGCTAAAAAAGAACGTATAATGAAATTGATCAAAATAGCAATATTGAAATCTCACCAATTCTTCTAAGGACGTTAGTTCCCCCAGCGTTGCGTCATAGGTAAGGGCTGCTATATTTTGTACAATTGACAAAGCCGTGCTCTTGCTGTATAAAAGAGAAAAGAGAATCGCTAAATCTTACAGATGCTTGTTACTGTTACATCGTGAGATTAAATCGTGTTATCACGCAGAAACAATATTTGTAAACACGCAGAAAGTAAAGAGAAATAGGTCTATGAAACTAGATTGCAAACAAATTTGGCAAAATGGTTTGCATGTTATTCTATAAGTATTTCTAAAATATGTAATAGGAATCTAGGACTCTATTTACACCATACCGTTTTAGTTTAGGGAAAAATCGCTTCAGTGTAAACGCAAAAAAAGAATCCGGTATAGAGTAAACGAGACCTAAAAATTTCTATTCTTTAAGATTATCAAACCGTTTTTTAAAACTGTGCTAATTTCAGCAGTATCTGTAAAATATTTTGAATAATGCTTTGAATATTTTCGGCTGTATTACAATGACATTAAAAATTTATATACTGTATACCTATGGGCATCATTTCGAGACTCGATATACAATTTGCGGTAAGCATTGATAACAGCCTCTCTCACAGCACTATCACGTGACCAAATAAGGGCCAGCATCTTTCTTGTTCCTGCTTTAACGTCCGTGAGGCCAAATTCATTTGCAGACACAAAGAAGTCAACAGTTTCTAAAATGTCTGAGTTAAATTTCGATCCGAGCAGTTGGCACAGGATCTTGATCGCTTTTTGCATTTGTGTTGCGAATCTCAGAGAATCCTAAAACCAAAAAAGCAAGATTTGCAAAAATTAGCTTCATGCTTTGATTTCGTTGACCAGAATGAGTCTAAATGATTATTGATTAATAAACTATCAGTAAGGTAACAAGATAAATAAATTGTTAAAATGGCAATACTTTGGAGAAACGTTTAATTTCAAACGTAAAACATCTTTATTCTATTAGACATAAAATATTTCTAGCTTTCTACGATAGGTTCTGGTCTCTCTAGTCTTATATTCCTCCTGTCTCCTACACAGGCTTTTGGTTGCATCTCGCATTCTTTTCTGCTTGTCGAATCTTTTTATTTCTTTGCTCATCTTATTTCTTTTCTATTCACTTGACGAGTATATCCTCATTTCTTTTCTAGTCAGTCAAGGAGTACATGCTTGCAACGTCGCGCAAAGTCTTAGTCATTTTGTTGGCACATAAAATACCTACTAATTAAATTGTAATTATTTGGACTAAGTACAACACGCGACTTAAGTATGTTATTAGATTCTGCTGCTAAAAGCTCCTACCTCAAGGTACTTGACAAGCAGGCGCTGTTTCTTCAATTCGGATGACTCATTATCTGATTCGTCATTAGTACCTTCTGCATCTTCTTCAAGCTGTTTGACTTCGTCGAATTCTAAATCCAAAATATGGTAATTTTTTTTTGCAGCAATTAAATCCAAAATTATAAACAAAATATCAGTAAATATCGACTAAAACTAAATCTTATGATAAAAGTTGAACTATAGAAAAAAATGTTAGGCAGGAAGCAAATATGCAGCAAAACGATAATCGAACAGGAGCAAAAAGGTATAGTAACGATGTTTGTGATACTGTAACGAAAAATCGTAAAAAGCCCAGACATATAAATAAAACGTATTTTGTTTTCTACCTACTTTACTTTGAGAAACAATTCCAGAGTAAGTTTCAAATGGAAGCTACGTTGCAAATAATACGAGAATTCAAATAATATCAGTGCTTTCTTTAATAAACAATGAAATATATCATAAATATTCAACAGCTAAAGGCAATATATATACTTCTGTAAATGGCTTCAAACAGTTTGATCTTCTTTTCTATTTCTAATTTCTTTTTGTTTGCACTTTCATCATTTTCGGAACTTCTGCAAAAGTACGATAGAGTGACACATAACAACTTGATAAATAACTAGGAACAAATCAAATCCAATTTAGATAGCTGCTCGGGTAAGGCAAGCTAAATAGATAAAAAGCATTTACATAACATGCTTAACTAATGCAGCATTGAAACTAAAGTCTCTAAATTCAAAGAGAGATGATAGGCTAAAGATTTTAAGAAATTTAAAATAAAAATGGCTAGACAAACAAAACAATAATGCCAAACTAAACTAGAGCATTGGCCACGTATTACTTTAATTGAAGGAAGGTTATGACAATGTCACAAATTTCAAGCAAATTCAAACATTAGAAATTATAAAAAAATACCTGGAGCAAGCCAATACCGAGGAATTGCCCAAGAGTTGAAAATGACAGATTCTTATTTTAAAAAAGGATTTTCTGATTCAGTATATGATCTTGATTAAAAAACCAACAAACGTACTCAGCGTTATGATTTTCTGCATTTTCGTTCGTATCGTCGGCGCAAAAATGTTCCGGGAATTTCGTTTCTGCCAATTTATAAATAGCAACTGCTTCCCTGCCTTTGCCATCTTCAATTTTCTTGTAAAATGTTGTCAGTATATTTTCAATCGCTTCCTCTATACTTGTATCCTCGTCAAGATCAAAGTCCGAAATTTCATCAACAGAAACACTTTCGTTCAGAGCTTCCAAGATGTTCGGTGCAACTTTGGCCCATTTGTCTGAAAGGAATTTAAATCTGTGAAAAAGGCAAGCAGTACTCAGTTTTAAATAAATTGTCGTGATCATTTTGCTTTTAGTATCACCATTTACTGAGGGGGCCTTCTAAAATCTTATGCTTTGCAAATACAGGCAAACAATCATTATTACTCTTTAAAGGCCATCTTTTAATAATCTGATTTCACTTGACTATAAAAGTCAGAATGTACTTAAAGCGGCACACAAGAATTAATAATCTGCTAAATGAAAAACCTTGTTCTGGAGAAACTTCATCAATGAGTGTTTTGAGTTTTTCTCTCTCTTTATCTAATTTGCTTTGCAGCTCCTCTGATGATAGCTATGAGAAAAATGATCATTATTAACCCTATCTTGCAATTGATAAACAAAAAATGTACTTGAACAAGAACCGACAACGCATAAAAAGATAAACTAACTACATACAAAAGGTACCTCGCTTATTTCCAAAAGGTCTTAAACAATTATTTGCACAGTCTTCTGAAGGAGCTGGACAGGATGATGGCAATCTGTTATGAGGTCTTGTTCCATTGACAAAATGAAATATGTTCTTTATAGATAAAATTCTTAAAGTTTGTTTTTCAATTCATGATATGCTAAAACTGAAATCAGAATATCTTGAGACCTAAAACTTTCTCTGTTATAAATTGACTACTCTCTATTTTCCAGCTCATCTAACATGATAATTAAGATAACAAATAACAAATTTATTCTTCCAAGGTTTTATAAGCTAACTTTTGATAATGAGCTTATTTCAGTTTTAATGAATAAGCAGTAAATTGCAATGGTTAGTAGGAATACAATACACGTCCTTGTCCGAATACGTTTTAAATCAAAGCCATTATCACTATTACGAAAATGTTATGAAAATGATGTTATGAAAATGATGCTATTCAATGAGGTCGCGGCTCTTGAATAATCTATGAATACGAAATAAAAATCTCATTAGTCTTCAACATAAATTCCTGCATTTCAAAAGTTGATTAGAAAAATTAAATCGCTTCTGGCTTTCAAATTCGACGTCTCTTTAGGATTAAATTAAGAAGTTTAAAGGCTCACTTTGGCAGAAAATGGATTACCACAAAGAACTGCCTTCAAAAGCTGTACAGCGTACTTCCTCACTTGACTAGACTTATCATGCAGTCTCCCAATCACCAGGTCCATCAAACGACCCAATCGACTCAGAGGAATCGCCTGCAAAATCAATAAAATTGTTAAATACATCAGCTTCTGCATTTATGTATCTGATTTTTTGAAGATTATAAACAATATCTACGAATGAGATTTTATTTGTTAATACTATTAAACCGCTTTTTTACCTGCAATTGTAACATGTTCATTGTAGTATTTTCTTTTAAAGCACTTTTCGTTTTACAGGACAAACATTAATAAAAGCAATCTTGTAATTGTTGAAGTTTTTATCCTGTTTAAAATATTCGTCATTATTATTATTATTACTATTAGGCTGTCGTGAAAACAGGCTGCCTATTTGGAGATGGGTACAACTTCTAGCACCTAATTCTTAGTAGTTTTACAACAGATGCATACACTTGAAGTGATTTCCACCCATCCTTAAAATTAAGTCAAGAACAGTAAAAGAGTTACTTTACGCGCCTAGAATACAAGGATTATAAAATAATTATTTATTAAAGCATTAGAAGGAGAACAGTTAATCAATTTATCTAATAAAATAATTGTAAACAATCTAAATAAAGATTTCGAAAAATTCCAATGTTTTTTAGAAATCTAAAACATAATTCGATGTTAAAACATAATAGCTCCTTGAATGAATTGGAAACAGCGTTTTTATCGATTATTGATCATCGGATACAAATAGACCTGACGACTGCGCATCACTGGAGAGAAATGTGACTTGCCATTAATGGCCACTAAATGATTACTTTGTAGGAAGTGCAGTAAATGTTTCTCTCGGACATTAAGAAGCAATGGATATTTTGCCCAGGTTTCTCAAAGGGTAGGGGTGGCTAGAGGAGACATATCCCCGTGCAGCCAATGTTGAGGGGTCTCTAGGGCTAATCGATCGAAACCTATTTCTTCTCGATCATCAGGTTTGGAAACCGATCGAAACCTATTTCTTATTCACTTACTGGGTAATTGTAGAGCATTACAAAAAAATCAAGATCCTCCAGAAAGCATCCCAAAGTACAGCAAAACTTAAAATAAACGTGATGGAAAGGCGGCTAAAAAGCTAAGATTTTATTTCAATTTACCCTTTCTGTGCAAAGTGTGTGCCAAATCTGCAATACTTTGCTTCTTACAAAGGCGTGTACATCATGCAAATGCTCCTAGAAGATAAAGAAACTAATGATCAATCGAAATGTTGCTGATGTTTTTAATCATCGAAAATCAAATGGCAAAAAATACTTTCAACTTGATCATAGAGTACAAAAATAGTTTTTTTAACAATTACCAAATATCATGGATAGCTTCTTCAAGATTTGGCTAAAAATTACTTTTGCCAAGCTTGGGTATAGTAAAAGCATAAATAAACCACAAAGAACGAACCCAATTCTGTTGAAAATTCATCACGAAATGATTACAACAAATTATAAATCCAACTTGCCCTCTTGGCCCCAGTAGCATAGCCAAGGTGGTAAGAGTGGGGGGGGGGAGAAGTGAGTTGAGCGAGGGGAAAACGAGGGTCCACGCCTTTTGGAACGCCGGAAAACGCTCATTTTCAAAGATATTTCTTTCCATTTGAGGGAGGGGGGCGTCCGTCCCCTCTTGCCACCCCTCACTATGCTACTATTTGTCGGTTTCGTCGGTTTTAAATGTGTTCGTGCAGTACGAATGATCGACTACATTACCTCAAGTCGATCCAAAAACTTTTCGCGCGTGTTCTTCAAATTGGCATCTAGGCCTTCCTTGCTGAGAACTTTGACAACAATCTCCCCAATCACACCAAGAACACCATTTCTCATTGAATAAGACTGAAATTTAAACGTTAATTTCTAAATGTCGACATTTCTGTTCAAAGGAATAAAAATGACTTCAACAGAGTAATTATACGTTCTGTTGCAAACCATAGCGAAACTGGTACCACGAATGGTGTGGTTTACCATTTTATTCTTTTGAAAAAACGGATATTAACTTCAAGAACTTTTTCTAACATCAATCGAAAAAATGCAGAAGCTTTTGGTTGTAATTTCCGATAAGAAAATAACATGAAAAATTTTATAATGTAAAGCCTAGATAAAAAGAAAAACCATGATATCAGCAAACAATTACACTAGATAATACGGCAAGATGACTTTGAAATAAACAGCATTATTAAACAGGGTCTAAAAGGATTAAGAATTTATTATGACTTACATCACCATCGAGATGGCTAAGCAAAAGACTGATGTTTGGCAAAACCAAAGACGCTTGTCTGTCAGCCAGCTCAACAACAAACTGGGAGAATGATCTTGTGCCACTGACGTCACGAGACAGGTCTGTTGAATCCATTCGGCCTATTTCTCTGTAAAGGAAAAAAACCATTCAGAAAGTACTTCAGACTGCAAAATTTTAGGCAAAAAACAGTGTGGACGATCAAATGGATGGTAGTATCAAAATAGCGGATTTTTTATACAGTTTTTGTTGTCCACAATGAGACTTTTTTGCTGTATGAGGCATTTTATAAAATGAAGTCATATTGCCTATACACTTCGATGAAAGAATGACCATGAGAGCTTGTATCAACCACAACCCTAAATCGATTCTTTTTAGCTTCATTTGAAGTGAAGCCTTCAAAAAGGTGATATGGTTGACTGGGGACTCTACATGCCAGCGATTTCAGCAACTGGAAATAATTCAAAGCAGATAAAGTTAGGGATTAACTTCGAAAAAAAAACGTCCGTGGCCTGCTTGAAATTGTTTATCCATTAGTAAGGACGTTTATTTTATGGGGGCGTATAAAAGAGGGGAGCAAAGGTCTGTGCTTTCATTTTCTCAACAAAAACAAATCCAACACATGCACTGCAACAATAACTGGCAAAAGTCAAAAGAAAGTTCTACTGGTTGGACCATAGTAAGACATTGTGCGGAGATATTTGATAACAAGCTTTTGAAAAAAAAACAATTGTTTCCTACAGTTTACAGTTACATAAAAAGCCTATGGTACCGCAAAAACAGCACAGTAAAGTGGTAACATAAAATACGAGTCCGATACTCTTCACGAACGGACAAACGGTGAGCAGAAAAACCAAAAACTCAATAATAACAGCACAATATTTTCATAACATGCTAGAAAGAGTACAAAGTATTTAAAATCTCCATGAAAACAATGTAGTAAATAACGAGCTCTCTTTGATCAGTGACTGGAATTATTTCTTAGGAGATCCGCTGTAAATTCAAAACACCTATCCACAAAGGACGTTCTTTAGGTAAAGCACAGGATTAGAAAAACAATTTGATGAAAAGCTGCTGCCACATCAAAGTGATAATAAACAAGGAATCGGACTGTAAACGTCGTTAAGAGCATGTTTGCTTTTTACGTGGAAGACAGCGTCTGATACACAGGAAGATACAAAAAATATTCCTGTCCTTAACGTTTTGACACGAAATTAATGATGGGTCGTTTGAACAGAGTACAACTCATAAATACCCAAATACGGTCAAATTTGACGACGAGAAAATGAAATAGAAAACTTTGTTTCTTAAAGAGACGGAAGAATTCCTTAGCGTCAAGAGATATCATACTGACAAAACGGGATAGTTGTCTGTTAAAAACAAAAAAATCAGAGAGAAACCTTATGATATCTGCAACGATTCTTTTGGCTCCAAACTCGACAACGAATGTTTCGACGGCTTGGGCCAGCGGTGTGACAAGATGGGTAAAATGCTGCAGAAGCTGAATAATTTTCAAGCTTGCACCTAAAATATAGACAGGTCAGATATCAATTGAAAAGTAGGAATCTTCTAACAGAGCCAAGTGCGAAGACAGCTAGACTGCGCGTAGACTCTGTTGAGGAGAGAGGGAGGGATTAAGAAGTAAATACAGCATATGTTTTCCCCTTTTCTTTCCTTCATAGCGTCTAAAAGCAGGTTAAAAAATGTATTACTTTCTAAACGGGCTTTACAACTGCCATGATAAATATCTCCGAAGATAGACTTTACTTCAAGCTGTTTATCTGTAAGTTTTGTCATCAGCAAATGATTAAGACGAGAACATACTTGTAAAATAAATATATTTCGATATATCTTATTAATATAGATATACGAACCAAGATAGTTAAAACGTCAAGACAACAATAGAAAGCTATGAAGATTTTACTGAAATGTATAAAAATAATTAAAATACAAAATTAGATTATGTACTTAGGCCATGGTCGTATTTCTTTATTAGTATTCCCAAGATGTGAAATATCATTTCCTTTGTTTCCTTCAATTTCACAACAGAAACATTTTCCAAGAACTTGTAACAAACAGAAGTAAAAAGGCTGCAAAAAACAAAGCTTAGATCAAAAATGAATTTCTTAAAGTAATTTCATTTTATAAAAAACGATAGATTCTTCAGTGAACTCACAACTTTAAATAAAATTATCAACTCTCTAATTCCAATCTTGCATTTCCAAGAAAAAGATATTTTTGAAAAATTCTAGCACTTTTAAAATATCATCTTAAAAATAACAACGTTCCCTATATGAGTATTTCAAATGAAATAACTTGCTCGACGAGCCACTTGTTCTTATAAAAATTCTCGTCTACTGAAAAATTTGGGTACTCAAAGTCCTCGGCTATTGCATTCAGATATTTCGTAATACTCTTCTAATTGAGGCATTGATATCTTATGTCTTAAATTTTCATGGAACAAAATATTTCATTGTTGTAATGAAGAAACAACGTTTTTGATTGACTAAACAATAGAATGACAGTAAAAATGTCTGACAAATTTCAGTATCGACAGACTACAGCTTAGCAAAAGAATAAAGAGCACATAGAATACTAAGAGTGACGTCATATTAGTTTACGGTGCACGGCGTACTTCACGTAATCCTCTTCGATAACTGGGGGATCCCACAGCCTGTGCACATCCAGCTCAAGAAGCTGTCCAATCACGCGTAAGCCAAACTCTCTCTCATTCTCCCATGACCATCCGTCACTTTGCACTTTCTTCTTCGCTGATTTTCCTCTTCCCTGAAAGAAATACAGCTTTAAACATCATAGGCAGCATTTCCTTACAACAAATGCCACTTGCTTATGCTGCAGTATATACCAATGGAATGGGTATTGTAGATCTTTCAGAAAACATCTATGGTTCATATGAAGACAATGGGTAGAATCTAGAAATAATTTTGCATAAAGCACTGCGACCGTAACAATACCAGTCTGCTTTGTCGTAACGAGAACGACATTCGTTTGCCAATAGTATCAATAGTACCAAGATATCAACTATACTAAGGCACTGCTGTGCTACAAAATAAAGGTTGAAGTACTGCAGTGATAAATGAGAACGGCTGTAGAAGAGTAGACTTTGAAAGACATTTATTGAAAATATTGGACTAAATTGAAATCATCTTTCACAAATCAAGTAAACAGGCGTTGTCCAGCAAGCAAGAAAATACATTTACAATTGAATTATTATTAGCTAATCTTTTAATATAAAACACATTATAAATTATGGTTTCAATAAAACATCGCAAGTGTTATGTAATCTTTTGGCATGATCGGACAATTGATTGCAATCTGTTTTACAAATCTCTGCTTCCACTTAAGTTTCTTAATGCTTGCATTTAAGCTAATAGACCATTGGTGTGATGACGTCAGCGACATTAAAAAATCGCGATTCTGTTTACCGCGAATGCGCGAGTCTTCATAAATTTTTCCTTCGCCTTACCATTGGTTTAAAATGATAAGAAATGACTGATACCGGACACTCGCTGATATTCATGGGTACTCCAGAAATTTTCTGCTGAGGATACGCAGCGAAATTGGACTTTAATAAATTTTACCAAAAAGCACATGTACACGAGATGCCAAATCGCTTTTATTTGCGTTTATTCAACGCATTAATTTTTTCGAACTTTGTATTATTCAAAACTATTTTAAATGGATGCATTATTAATATCGATATCATAATCAACAAGATATCTAAAGTTGGTTTGCATGCATTGAAATTGAGTCTAAATCCCTGAATCCAAAGACCCTCTTTTGGAGAAATGACATATAACAACTACCTTTCGGGTTTCATCTGTGTGTATGCTTGGCGTGGTAGCTTCCCCTTCAAATGCTTCCATCAACTGTGTAAGTAGGTACGACAACATCTAGAAAGGAGATCAAAATGTTGTTGTCGTCTGCAAAACTGCCAGTTTCTAGGTAGCTGGAAAAACGCACCCACTTTACGCCAACTGGTCGATGTATTCCAATGATTTTAGGAAGACCGCCAATGCATTGTAGATGTGATAGTTTAAGGTGTATAAAGCAGACTTATCGTCTTAAATTTAAACAGAGTGAATACAAAACTACATTTTGCCAAATTAGTGTGTGCAAAGCGTACATTACTAATTCGTAATGACAGGGTATTAGAAAATGGAAAAATAACAATTTCAAACAAAAATATTCCAGTTGTGTATTGTTAAAGGCCAATCAGAAAACTGTTCTCTGGTTGGCCTATTTCCATCTAAAATCATAGTTATTGTATTGTTGATTGGAATTAATCAGATAGGCTACGCCATTGATCATTATAAGCTAAGAAGGACCTTCCAAAATGATTGGTTTTTATTTTCTAAGCTAATTATGGATGAAAATCAAAGGAAAAGTGATTTAGTGACACACACCTTGGTTGTGTTTAGATGCATGTTTTGGATTTGATAATCCATTCCTTCTGGGTCAATTATAATACCAAGCTCATTCACGTGTTGACTGAAAGCTAAATGAAACATTCATCAGAATCATTTTACAATTGATTATTTATTCAACTTTATTCAACTATAAATTAGTCAACTGAAAGTGTGTATGTGTTGGAGCATGGATGTACCATGAGTATTGGAGACCCTTGTATCAGACCCTTGTAACAGTATAGAAACTTCATTCAGAGTCCAGGCCTTGCCCGGAAAGGCGCTCGATCGAGCGCGCGCGCCTAGAGCGCACCCAAAAGAAGCCTTGGAGAGCGATTTATAGAGCCCCTCAAAACGTAAAAACAATATTAACACGGAGCAAAATAAATTTTTGGAATTTGTTGAATCAACTTGATCAAGCATAAACAATCTTCCCAACAGACCGCAATATTATGATTTGCGTAAGATTACCCCTTGAGAAAAAATCAGCAAATTCAACGTTGGGTTTTCGATATCATTTTAAATCTAATAACCCTCTAATAACCATCAAGAATACAGGCCATCAAGCGTATTCTCTGGCAGATTTATTTGATTTTTGAGCAAGCGTTAATCTTCTATTGAAGTAAATATTATTTTCTGTTTTTCTTAATAACTTAAAATCGCCTGTGCAAATCAGCGATCACGTTTCCGTCCAAATTATCGCATTGCTTTTCATTTGAGTTTGCGAGTAGTAGATGTTCTAGCGTTTCTTATAGAATGGATAACATGAAAAAAGGAAACAAAGTTAATTGTTCGATTTAAAGCCATGCGTTTTGATGAAGCAATATGTGAAGCTAAACATAACAGTAGTGATACTGACACTGATAAAAGCTCATCGCATGATGGCAACTTACATATCTAGAAAAATCTGAACAATTTTGCGACTTTGTTCTGTTATATTTATATATTTACATTAACATAGTGTTTGTTGCATGTTTTGTTATTTCATATTATGGTGCTTTCTGGTATCACCGTTGAAATTCATATTTAACATTCTTCCGAAGCTTTTAATATGAAGCTCTCGATCTTCTAAAGCTCTCGAAGGATGCTCTCAAGGAAATTTACTTAGAGGTGCGAAATAGAGCGCCTAGAGTTTCTAAGGGGCTCTTTTTATGGAGCACCTTCATTTTACTTAGAGCAAGGCCTGTTCAGAGCAAAGGTCATTGCTAATCTCATGGTGTACAGCAGTGCATAAGGCTTTCTTCTAGACGGCCCTCAAACATCAAATTAAATCTGATTAGAAAAAAAATAATTTAGACATTTTCTGTATCATTTGACCGATTTCATCCTAAACCTAATGAAATTCCTGTTTAAAGCTTTAAAAAGTAGTCTGCAACAAAAACCGGTTGTAGCCTAAATATCAGGTCACTGGGCTCAAAAACCTCTTTTGTTCTCCCAGTGTCCTGGGCAACTTACTGCAAATTGTATTAGATAGAGCATACTGTATCCATTGATCTTTAGCTTTCTATCTTTTATCAATATATCTTTGGTTAATTTGCATTTGATAAATTGCAAATATGTTGCTGAATGACATGAATTTGAATCTGAATTTAAATTTGAGATCAAATTTAAATATTTTATTCGTAATTTCATGTTCTCTTTCCTTGCACTGGGGTTTCCGAACTTAATTAGAATGGGATGGTTTAATATAAATGTTGCCTATCATTACTAAAATTCATCTGGATTCTTACACTTGGAATTCAAAACTTATAGTTGATTTAGTATATAGTTGATTTGAAAACTTTATATTTATTTAATTTGTAATAGCTTTTGAAACAAAATTCTGTACACATGCGAAGCATAAAATATTTTGCTAATTGAAGACACCTACCTTTGATGGTAACAGACCATGCATTCTCTTTCACATCTGCTGACAGTTCATTGAAACGACTAAAATGCAATTTAGATATTAATGACAATGTATATAAAAGACTGATGCCACCAAAGTCAATTTCATCAACATGTGATTCAACAGAAAAATTTCATTGGAAATTTTTTTTTAAAAAGAGGTAGTCTATGGTTGTAGCAGAAAAAAATAAGACTAACAAAACCTGACACATAAAGAAGGAAAACTGTTTTCAAGAACAATAGGATATGCCTTCAAATTGACATGACAAATTTCTTAGTAAAAAAGCAAGTTTCTAAATTCAGAAACATAAATCTGAACCCTTGACAGATACATACAACATTATCAAAAGGACATGTATCATCACTTTCTGAGGTTTCACAGTAATAAATGATTCAATTCCTTCCTTTTAATTGTTTTCAACCAATAGCTGGCTTTTTACCTCTGTGAGATATCTTTATACACATAAGCATTTACATAAGCTGCCTCAAAGAATATTGAAAAATATGGTAATCTCACATTTGTCTGAAGCTGATTTATATTATAGAAATAGACTTTTTCTGAGAGACATGCATCTTGTATTGTAATATTAGTCCTACTGGCAGAAGGAGCTGGGTCGTTGGTTGAAATTACAGAAGGGGGAGACTATAGTCCTTCAAAACGTTTTTAAAAGAGAAAAAAACAAGACCCTAGTGGATGCGGCTCTTGATCCTTATCAGTCTTCCAGAAAAGCTGTTATCTCTTTTCAACTGATTCAACTGAACAGAATTTTTATTTTCAAATAGCTATGCTGACAGCCTTCTCTTCAACAAGAAACCTTGACCCAAAAAATCAACTTTTACTTGGAAAATTAATAGAACTCACCTTAGAATGCTGAATATTGTATCAAACTCTGATAAAATTCCTGTTGGGCCTTTTTCTTTCAAAGCAGTCTCACTCTCTGAAAAGAGTATATAAAATCATAAATCTGGTCTTTACAGTATAAAATTGAATATATGTTTTAGTTCAGCGTTTTATGATTTTCAATAAAAAAGCAAAAAAAACAAGGGGGCAAAACATTATCCACCTACAGATAAAATGTGTACATAGGACTTTCAGTAAGTTTGTCCCAAAGAGCAATAATAATTATCTTTCAAGAATGATTTACTTAGGCATATACATATAGAATATATAAGAAAGTTTCAGCTTTTTATGAAACCAAACGAGTTATGCAAACTGAAAACTGAGTAGAGGTAGATTAATAACTTGAAATTGACAAGTTAAGAATAAACAGGATCATACAAGTTGTCAAACCCTGGTATGGATTTCAATTTTACTGTCATTCTGTGGCTAGTCAGTTGAAGCTTTAAAGTCTATCTCTAAAGAAAGTTCACAAAACCCACTACATGAAATGTTTCTTGGTAGGAGATTTACAAACAAAACTTGCTTTAATTACTATTATTGACATTTGAAGAAAGACAAACCCCTTTTGACCAATTATCTTCAAGCCATGAATTCAACAAAACATAGTTTTGGTAAAGGTCTGGAAATGCTGATATTTTTTGATGGGTAAAATGATGGGATTTGGTTTCGCGTATGCCGCTTTGAATTTTATCTTTGTATAAATTACTTTCGTTACATTAAGTGTAGCTCTCAAAAACAACTCAACTCTTTCAGTGAAATACCATAGAGGCTTTCAATGTAAAAATTTGGACAATTTGTCATATTTTAATGTTTTTTTGCAAAACAACAGTTTGAAGCATATCACTTGTATAAGCCATATCAATGTTTTTCTTTTACTGTGGTCGCCAGGGTAATATAAGGACCATACAAAGTTGAATCACTTTTGAATGTTTTGGACATACAACCTATTAAGAGTAACTTTCACCAAAAGTGTGATCAGGCCGAGTGACTTATTCAAGTTAACAGTATATACATATAACTGAAAATATATTTTTAGAGTAGTGTGTCATTCAACTTTCAAACTTTGCAACCGGTAAACTGAATTGGCGTGTAGTAAAAAACGTTTGAATCGCAATGGTTAGACATCTGCTCCGTACTGTAAAGAGAAATTTTTTCAAAGCAATAGTTTTGCACTTGAGAGAAAGAAGATAGATTTTAAAGAATAACTGAGCAAAGTTGCTATTCATTCGGATCCTCAATAAGCGAACAATACAATCTCTTACTTGCTTA